GATTGGCGCTCCCTCTCCCTCCCTCTCTCTCGCTCTCTCGTTCTTTCCTGTTCTATATCGTTTCACATATATACATATATATGTATACGCAATCACAATACGTATACATATATATGTATATTTGTTTATTGGATCGATAGTTTTAATATTTTTAATTAATTTAAACACAACTAACAGCAGCACAGTATAGTCCGGTACTGACCTATAACCATTACGGACGGATGGATTCCGGGAGGTTCGCACGATACTTCTCCATTATCGGCCCGTATTCATTTTCTTTACTCTTTGCTTTTGTCACACTCATTCGTTTAGGTTCAGTACTTACACCGTCTACGACTCTTATTCCATATAAAAATAATTACCGTTATATATATAGCGTCTGTTGCCATATGCACGTTATATATATAACACTTCCTTTATATATATATAGATATATATATTTTTTTCCAAGTACTTTTTATTAAGTTAATCGCAGTACCATTCGCTTCGCAATACTCGGCGGTATTGGTGTAACGTATCGTTCGATGATCGATGTTCGTTTTAAAGAAACGTATGCTTCTTTTAACGGAGAAACGGTCGGAAGCGGTAACGAACTAAAGAAACAAAGGAACTTGCACTATGAAGATTTTTTTTCCAGTTAAACTGAATTTTAATAGGAACTTGCTTGCGAAATAAGTACTTCGGGTTTAAATGTATTCGTGATTCCCGATACGCGACTATTGTTAGCAATTTGTTGTACATCCGTTTTGTCAAACATTCTTGCAAATTAGAAAATCTCACGGTTACGATTTTTAATCATGAATTGTTTCACCGAATAAAATGTGTACCCATGTAATTCAGTCGAGTTCGATCGGGAAACGTCGGTTCTTTTTAGGTTAGGTTCGGAAGTGTTCGTTGAGACTAATCGTGTCACTGGATTTACACGGTGTCGTAGGCTTCAATTCACGAAGATATCAGCATTCTGCGTTAATGCATGACGGTACCTGCATTTCTTTTTTTTTCTTTTCTAACAAGGCACTAGCAGAAACGGTTGCACGTGTTAATTACAGGTCATTAGAACCAAACGTACACGCGAGATATTGCGATGTCAATGGCTGCGAATATGATGGTGCACAAACTTGCTACTATCGATAGTGAATTTGTGAGCAAACAGTGGAGGGACTCGGTCTGAGTTCGGCTAATTTAATCACCTCATTACAGAGCTTTATAAATTATGTATAAAACGAAGGAAATTTTTAATTCGAGCTATTAGACGAGACTCAGTGGACGTGTTCGCGAATGACATGAAAAGGAACGTTTAGTAGAAAAAAAAGAGTCAGTTGAACACAAAATGCTTCGTAGGATTCCTTTCGTCGCGCGATTGAAACTTCGTTCGCGCGTCTTACCTGCCGTGAACTTATAGCGTACCATTTTTCTAATCTAATACCGCTCGGAGGCCTAACTCTATAATGGGATGAAAAATAAGCCACGGTTGCTAGCTGGCAAAAAGCCAGCGGTGCAATTAAGAAAATGAAACAGGGTAAAACAAACGGGAATGAAACAAAAAAAAAAATGATAAAAATAAAGAGACAAACGAGAGAATGGAAAGAGAATTAGAAATTGATTAACAATTATGCGATTGATAATCACAGTAGTTCGTGTTTTTCAGGCACCTTTGCTTACAAGCTAATGATCAAATAAATATAAATAATAAACGTTGTTGGCGTTGACACGAGTCGATAAAAAAGACATCGTACTGTCGATAATAAAAGTGTATAGAAGTAATCGTATTAAAAAACAAAAACAAAAAAAAAACAAAGAAAAAAAAAGAAGAATAATAAAATCCTAGTCTGCAACCTTGTGAGTATTTAGCAAAGCATATATATACACAACATATATATATATTTATATATATATACTTTTAAAATTTATATAGTGTATATTGCGCGCGCGCATGTAGTAATGATGATCGAGTATCATAGTTTCGTAATAACAGCGTAATGAGCGCTTAAATGCTAACCTAATCGATTACGAGCGATTAATTAACGAACGCACGTCAGGATACGTTGTCCCGAACGTTCATTTTTTTTTGTATATTTTTTTTCCTTTTTTTTGTGTGTGTTTTGCTTTTCATTTTTTTTTTTATCTTGCTACGAGCGAGAATCGTGCTTGAGCCATTTGACGAAACGTTACGAACCGCGCATGTACCACGTGTCGATCGTACGTGCATATAAAACTCAGCGTTTGTGTATGATCCTTTTCCACATTGCGTGATTAACCGGGAAAAATACGGCATCTACGAACTCGGGGCTGGATCCAAGGCGACTTGACTTTTTAAAAAAACTGTCGGGAATACAGAAGGCGCACGTGCGAGATTACTGATTACTCTTTCGATTCAGAATCCTACTCACAATCCGAAATAACAACGTAAAAGTAAAAAGGAATACCGTTTGTGCGCGCTCGTTAAAGAAATCGATTATATATGTATTATTATGCTATTATTATACAGGGCGTCCCTTAAAGCATATCGTACGTCGAACAAAGAAGAGATTAATCGGTCAAAGACGTGACGGTTCCGTTCATTTGGCACGATCGTTACGTTATCGATTTGTGCAACCATGGAATGAACTTGAACTTCGCTGCATCCTGCCTTTTTATACAGTTCGTGCAGCTTCTACGCATACGCAGTGTAACGTCACGACACACAATGCGCTTCGATATTTTCAGGAATCTTTACTGCCGAGAATTGAACGATGAAATAGTCTTAACACATTCCCTACCATCAGTTTGGTTCAAATTATATTTCTAGTAATCTTATTCGGTTTAGGGTGTGCTTCTAATTATATATAAACTAACACGGTCACTGATGACCAACGTTTCTAACCTTTTAGATACTACCGTCCATTGTTACCCATTAAAATTTCACGTACAATACTAATCCCGACAAATATAATAAATAATCCAACAAAACAATTTCAGTACGATATTCCATGACTCAACAATCCAGTCTTCATTTGTTTATGCAAATAAAAAGTAGACAATTGCCACTGTCACAGATAAATGTAACGCGTGGTAGAGAACGTGTTAATGTATCCCTATTAAATTTTTGTTTAGATTTCTTAGATTGAAATTGATACTATTTTGACAAAAAAATGTCAATAAGCAATGAATCAAATACTTTAGACGTTCCAAACTCCTCTTTCAGAGAGTTTAGTTTTGCTGAAGATTGTTTATAAGCTAATGCAGTAAATTTATAATCAATGTTCATATAACATACAAATTCATCTTGATCCGAAAATCCCTTCATTGTTATATACGGTACACCTTATGGAATTTCTTGCATATAATCATATGAAAGTTGCTCCATACTTTTTATTTTACATACAAAGTGGGTACAAAAGACTCAAGACATTTTGTAAGAGTAGACGATTGAAAATGTTGCACAAAGAACGTTATTGTTTCTGAAGATATCAACTTAATGGTTACAGAAGTATCATCAACAGCTACAAAGTACTAATGTTTTAGTTTTTGTTCAGTTTCTATTATTGGCTTAGCACACGAATAAGCAGAACACTACATAAACCAATAAACAGCAACTTTAAACAAAATACCAGTATACGATCATGCATATTTTCATACAGAGTGTTTTCAATGTCTTGCGATTTGTATGCCCACTTTATATCTGGATCATTAGCCATACTGTTAGTATGATAATAGTTAGACACAATTTGAGCCAAACAGTTATAACGATATTAGATGCAAGTAAATAATCTAAATTAAATTTCCCAGGAAGCCTATATATGATTAAATAGGGCATTTCGAGTTTTTATAAAATATTGATACTTTAAAATAAGCATTATTAACCAGGTTTGTTTGAGAAAGCCTGAGGATTAGCCCTCTAAATGTAATAACACCCAAATTCTTTTGATGGAATAAATAAGTAATTGTCGCATTGACGAAAGCACCTGATCTGTTAATTGCTGAATAATTAGAAGAAAGATTAAGTATGTAATGGACTTGTATGTTTTTCCGATTCTTCTACAAATTGCGAAAAATTAAGACTCACGTTTTATGATACAAAGATTTTTAATGAAATTTCAAACCACAATATAGAAGCTTCGTCTCTAAACTACCTAAGCAAATTAATTTGTTTGAGAATAGGATTAAAATATTAAATGTGAATCGTGAAATAGTAAATAATACAGTGACTGTTAATTAAGGGGTTGCGGCACCTTTGCGACGTAAATAAAAAAAGAAAAGAAAAAAAAAAAATCATAGTAATAACATAAACGACACTTAAAATGAGTCGGTATGCAAAGATCGATGCATCGGGCTAAACGTCAAACGCATTTTTCTCAAAATCATGCTTTTCGTGTTAGTGTCAGTATTAACTCAAATACCATTACTCCGATTCTGACGCAATTAGCACCGATATTCTTAACGACGTTGCTTATCGTATGACGTACGATGTTTTTTCCATTGATATCCTAAATATAACCTGTATTTCTTTTGAAAGCCATCGTGTTTAAAATGTTGCTGATTTTAAGAATTTCGTATGTCATACAATAGAGACTACATTTAAAAATAATAATATTACTCGAGTTTGAATCTTCAAACACTTGTTCGAGTCGAAATCAGTGACGCCCAGGGTAACTACACACATCACGCACACCGCGGATGGAATAAACACCATTTTGTTTGCTCGCATCTAATATACGTATAAAAAATTTCATTCTGAAGCTTATTATATGTTTTATTCATAGTAAACAATTCATTTCGATCGAGCATATAGTATTATAAAGAATTCGTCAAATACCCTCTTGTTTTGTCGCCGTTAACGTGACGTAACCCCTTAAGAATATTAAAATCGAACCGTGGAACTCGAACATTTTTAAAAATAATATAAACATACAAAGTCACAATAAAAATGACGTATTATTGAAATAATCATTACATATAAGTCCATACTAACACGTCGAGTAACTATTATAGGGATTGTTACAGAACCTACTAATACTTACATTTTCTCCTGGACCTCCAAAACCACCCAGATTATAGTCACCCATTCCACTTCCACTGTCTTCCCGTGGTGTTCCGGGGCCACCGTTAGCTGGACTGTTTTTCATTCCATCAAGACCGTCACCATTCAAAACAGGACCCATTGTGTTCGGTCCCATCGGACCCATTGGACCACCCTCTGGCCCGCCACTCATTGGAAAGTCCTGATACAATCAAATGTATTATTACATAAATAATATTGTAAAAGTACATTGTTAAATTAAACAACAGAAACTTAAAACTTTTTTTAACGTATTATATCGTATTGACCCCTTCACATGCAGAAAAAATATATCAATAGATAATAATTAAGTAACATTAGAAAGCAAAACTTTCTTACTTTCTAATTTTTTACTTCGTTCGGATATTTCGTTTCTTATAGGATTCTGTAAGGGGAGAAGAGGGGTGTCTTGAATATTTTAACCCCTTGTTTTACGATTTAATTTCCAACTGTGCGTGCCAAAAGCGACACCAAGGTTTGACCCGGTAAACTTATCATGTCTCTGAGACGTCATTGTAAGCTAAGAAGTATGAGTCACGATTGGACGGGGTTTAATAATTTAATGGTCAGCGTTCGCAGGAAAAGTTCTCGACGTCTTGGAAACGCCACTGTTCACAATGACGCAAGAAACAAACGCGAATGACGTCTCTCAGACATCGTTGTATGCCAAGGGGTTAAAGTAACGAGTACGATTGAAAGGTAATAAGGATAAGACGTACTTACACCAGGCATATTTCCTCCAGGTACAGGTTTCATCATGGTATACATATTTTCGCCACCACTATTACTACTATCTTGTGGACTGGGCATAATTGGTGTACCTGGGCCTGGAGGACCTGTTGATCCCGGTGGTCCTCCATAATTACCCGGTGATGAAGATGAATAATTCATTGGCTAAAAATGAACAGAAATATATTGAAAATTAGGAAAATAGGAAACATACAGGGTGAAACACGAATTAACCCCCAAAATTGTTCAGCCTCTTTCGACTGTCCGATTAATTCGTGCCTCACCCTGTATAAAAATTCTAACGAGACAAAGTAAAACAAGCAGGCTCTAAATTAATAATCGCATGCATACCGTGGACGTGTTAGGTTGCCACTGTTGTCTACCAGCTGGTCCAGCCATACTCATTGGTGGCATTCCAGGACCTCCGGGGCCTCCTGGTCCTAAACTACTGTTAGGAGGTGGTCCTCTTATTCCAGGCCCGTAACTTCCTGGTCCCATCGGACCCATTCCAGGTCCTCTTGGAGGATTCATCCTCGGGTTCATGGGATTCATGCCTGGAGGAGCTGGCAATAAAAACAGTTTTTGATGTATTCGTTTCAAAACATACAAATATTAATACTATTCTAATTTCATGTTAATGCTAAATGCTAATCGTGAATCTCTGGACTAACGGCAAATCATGTGAGTCTTAAAATTGTTTAGTATAGAAAAAAAAAAAAGTATTGTAACTTCCCCCATTTTGAAACACAGAACACGTAATTCATGCTTTGCCGGAGTCGGGTATGTAGTAAAGCGAGTGGATGGTCATGCTAAACCGGTATTTGCATCTACGGTAATGAATGGAGTAGAAAAGCTCATGCGAAGGATGAAAACAGCACTACCGAGTAACTTTTACAACTCTTTGAGCTCCAAAATCGATAATAGAAAGAAAACGGTGCAATGTGTGCCAAATACGGTAACAAACAAGGCAACCATTCAGCTGGTACTTATTCGAGTAAAACAAATTACACTATCACAGCAATATGTGCGTTTAATTGCCACGATTCAATACTAGTCACGATATCGAACTTTTTAATGTTTATACAAAACCGTTTTTATTAATATATTCATATTATTTTATGTATTTCATGTTCGCGTTCATCGGTAATTTATTACTTTTGAAACGATACATGTCTGTAAAAATATACTAATTAACTTGATTTATAATATCCGTTCAGGCACGGGACGATTAGATTCCGACAAACATTGTTTTACGTAATAAGATACGAATGTTTATACGATGGTCGACATAACTGAAAACATATAAGAGTAAAGTCGACTGAAAATGCATTTAGCTAAGGTTGATGAATCTTGTGAGCCACATACTATCAGTGAAAATTAAAAATATTTTAACATACGTATTAGAGATAAATACATGTTTATGTTTTTACTAAACAGTTCTAATCGTTTATATCGAAATTTCGTATATTCGACTTCGACACGCGAGATAAATGAAAATATAAATGGATACTGTTAAAGTGTAAATTATTTGTAACGAAGCTGAACGTACGTTTGGATGTATTAAATTACAAACTGGCATACTGGACGCAAGATCGGGTGAGCAAGTATTTTTACATAGAAACAAAGCTAGTGCGATTATTTGTGAAAGTGAAGAACAAAAATTTTAAAACGAGCAGGAGAAAAATTAAAAGTTAGGCTTGACTAAGTCATGTGAGTGTGATTTGGTTGCTGGGTTGCTTCCTACCTTGCCACCCTACAAATTCTCCAGCTTCGCCTGAGGAACACAAGAGCACACATTAGTACGGCAGGTAGGTAAGGTCAGGTTGATGGCGGTAAGGTCTAGTTACTTTGCGGTCGCATAGTGAATATTGTTGTAAATACATTTTAACTGTGAAAATATATTCATTACGGTATATACTGACATATCAAATCTTACATACAAATACTAGTCTCAGCAAACCTGACGTCTATGTACTCATATTCACATTAGATTCTCTATTAACATGCTTATTTGTGCGCAATACAATAAAAACCATGGAAATTTAGAACAATACTAGTACATACTACATATTTCCATTTCTCGTACTATATTCAATGCTTTATAAAAACAAATTTAAATAACGTTGAATGATACATCCGAAAGCAAAGCATTCTCTAATCGCAAAGTATTAACGAAAAATTTAATAGTATTTTCTCATGTACAACGATGCTCTTTATCGTTTCGGTCAAAATTTCTGGGCAAGTGAACATCGAAATTTTATGATCTAGATGTTTTTGTTCCTGACGAAGAAAAAGTAATAGGAATATTTATGTATCGAATTATGTAAAAGTATGGTATATTATAGTTGCTCGATTTGAAAAACTACACCACTGCATGTAACTAGACAATTCAAAAACCAATCCACTCCACATCACAGCAATCCAATCCACTTTTAATAATTACTTATTTATTTATTGCTGTGTGGTTTTTGGTATGCATGCGTCTATGCCATTCTCCTCTCGCAATTATTGTCAATGCCAGAAAAAAAAAAAAAATCAATGTAGATCTAGCGTATAAGTGAGCTCTTACCTTGTCTAGTTGGATCCATGCTATTTGGCATCATTGGTTGTCCCGGTGGCTAAACAAAAACAACAGCGTGTAAACAACTGCACCAAAATCATATCCAACGTTATAACATTTACTTAAAAATAAGTAAAAATTGTAGAGTGACATTTTTTTGTACGCAGTCTCATTTTTGAATAAATGAACAGTACCAATGTTATCGTATCTGATTTAGACTATTAAAAGATTTTTAGAAACAGAATAATTATACATACCCCGTTGAAGTCATTTCCCATTTGTGGCATACGTACTCCAGGTCTGGGTCCAGGTGGGTATCGTGGGCCCATGAACTGTAACAAGTCAGAAATTCGCGCGTTGAGTAAACGATAAGCTGAAGATTTATCGTGTAAGTAAGAATGCAGAATTACGAATTACAACTATTGTACATCACAAAACTGGCACACCAGGCAATCGCATTAAGCAATTAATCACACGTTAGACTGTACGATATTTGCATCCGACCGAAAATCATCACATCGCGCCTTATGCATGTGTGATGTATCATGTTAAAACGCAAATAAGATTGTAAACGGTAACGGTTATTATTCGGTAGAATACAGGTTAAAGTGAATCGAAATACGATGTACATTTATTCCAAGTCTTACCTTAAAACAAGTCATCTCGATACAAACGATAATTGATTGTCATTTTTACAGGATTTCACAATATCCTTACCTTACCTTGAAACTTTGAAGCTACGCTACTATTGGTACTCTTGTTAAAACTACTTTACACGCAATGGTTTTAACCGTTAACATACACTAAATACATTGTAGGATACATGTTGTTTCTCGCTCAAATCGTCACTGGTGTATAGAGTGTCCGTGGAATTGCAAAAATATATACTCTGTGCTTGAAAAACTACTATTTATCGTGTCTATCGAAGCCCCCTGTGACAAATCCTATTTGAAAATTCCAGTAAATTAGAAACAAAAAATCACAAGCTGAAAGTTGTAGAGTAGACGTAACTTTGATAGGAAGGAAGCAACTTCGAGCAAACAGTCATAGGTACACAATGATATGGTGTAATGAAAGTGGAACGAGTGATTCTCCATGAGTGATAGTGTACGTGTCGAATGAGGCTTACCTGAGTGGACATCATCTGCGAGTGTGGGGGCGGGGGTGGCTGGGGGTGCTGGGGGGATGGCTGTGATGAGGGGTGTGTGGGCGGAGATGGTCGCATTGTCGAGTTGTTCTGCAACAAGCAACGCAAACGACAGACATGTAGCAACACTGCGATCCAGGCAACAGCTAGACTAGAAGGCTTGGGTATGATTGTGTTAATACTATGTTGGTCAGCACCTTAAAAATCTAAAAGTTATAATTACGAGAACGATTCATATAACGTAATAAATAAGTTTTTTGATAAAACGAAATTTTTCGGTACTTCATTTAAGCGACACTGTTTACAACCAATATAATTTACAAAGGTTTCGACGTGTACACGTATTCTTCTCTCGATAGAAACAAAGGTAACGCTAGAAATTTTTATAATAAAAATTTTGTACTTTTATTGTTTTATAATACCGTCTAAGATACCGTCTGGACAGGCTTTTCTATTAAACGTATTGGATACTTTGAAAAATGTGACCTTAAATGTTTATAAAAAAAAAAACAGTATATCCGTTCCTGAATATCACATTTGTAAGGTACTAAAATATAATTCAAGATAAAATCAGAATATCATTCTGAATATCAGTACATGCTTGCATGTATAAAACTTATAGCTCAAAATAGTAACATTCATTGTATATGTAATTAATAAAAATATCGAAGTATCAAAGTAGATAAAAATATAGCAAACGTATTTTGCAAAGATGTATGAATAAATAGTATGGTTCAAAAGACTATTATAAAGATCTTGCATGAAAATTAAGTCAGCGCAAGGTAGAACACTATCAATTCGGATACCTACTGAACAAAATTATTAGAACTAAAACTATTTTCTAACATCTATACATATCTTTCTTGGTATATTTCTGAGATCCGATTTATGCAGAGAGGAGATCAGAGAGTGAAAATGGTACAGGACGCACATACAAGTGTTAGATACGTAGCAGAGAGAAAATAAGTACATAGATACAGTGTAGACAAGCATGGCATGAGAATCTTATTTAAACATACACTTGTTTCAAAACCAATATATTTCAATTGCATGTTGCACATTTTACATTTATCAAACAAACGTAATGGAGTGCGATGTATGTTATATTTTCTTGTTGCAAAAATGTTTGCAGTAATTAATGATGAATATCTGAATATATTATCTTACGTTTCTGATCAAAATCTTAAATAAAGAGTAATTCCATTCATCATAAAATATAATGTAGATTATCGAATCAATACTAAAGCTCTATATTGATTTTTATTAATTAAATAACATTTATTAACAACACAAAAAATACTAAGGAAAATATAACTAATTTAGAAATATAAATCTAAGCTTATAGACTTTGTGGATTATAGGTTGTTGTCGATAATGATTTAAAGAAAATGTCTCAATTATTATGTAAATAAACTTCTAATTATTTAAACTTCTATTATTTCTGTTGAAGAATATATGTAAAACATCGAAGAAAATATTACCAGCTTTGAATCAAGTGTATAGTAATAATGAATGAGAATTGTAACTAGGCATAACAATGATAACAGATATTTATACATATTTATGTATGTACATGTAAGTACTAGTGATATATACTATATACAATCACATGTTTGATTCCTTCATTCCTTTTTCTTTCAATTTTATGATCATAAAAATTATAATTCAGCCTAAAAAACAGATTGTAGACCTTATTATAGTCTACTGCGAACATATATATATAATCAAAACTAAAATATATTTATCGCGTTTTTAAAACATTTAAATATGTTTCTCTTTCAAGCATTCTTTCGTTTCCTGGCTCTCCTCTTTATGTATATGTACATATACACACACACATACTATAGATATTTAAAAATCTTCGATATTACATTACCCTACAACTCGTACGAACGGTAAAAGAATTCAAAAGTTCGCGTAGATTAATTAATCCTCCAACATCACGTGTTTGCAGTATCACGATTACGATTGAACTCGGCGGATGTTTTCGGCAAACAGAAAATTATATATACAGGGTGTTCGATCACCCATGGGAAAAAATTTTAATGGGAGATTCTAGAGGCCAAAATAAGACGAAAATCAAGGATATCAATTTCTTGATTAAGGCTTCGTTAAAAAGTTATTAAAAAATTGAATTAAAAAATTTCAAATCATTCTGGAAAAATTATTTTCGGTTGCGGAGGTTAATTACAATCGTTTTTGGTAAGTAGTCATACTCCCGAAATGCTACGCATTTTCGAGAAAAAAATTCCTTATCGAAAATGTAATGTGAGGTTAGAAATGGTTCCACGAAATTTCATGCGTATCTTTAAAACATCATAACTCCTGAACGGATTGAATGATTTTAATGATTCAAAATTCAAAGAATGCGTACTAATGGAGCTCCAGAGCCCCCCAAAAATACATTGAATGTAAGGTCTACTCGTATGCCCTGCCTGTGATGAGAACTACTATCGCACGTACGCAGTTGTTCGCAGATTGCCCTTCTACAGACGGAACTTTAAACGTTAATAACTTTTTAACGAAGCCTCAATCAACAAATTAGTATTCTTGATGTTTGTCTTATTTGGCCTCTAGAATCTCCCATTAAAATTTTTCCCAGAGGTGATCAAACACCCTACATACTCTTTTGTTACTAATATTAAAAGTGGTATTTTCGAACTCCTATCGATTAGTACTTTCAGCTTTAAAAACCACCCAAAAAAGTTTATCCGCTTTATCAATATATTAAATAAGAAACTTAATGTTGTTTAATTACTAATTAATTCCGTAAGTACAAATTATATATTTGAAAGGAATTAAATGATATAAAAATGTTACTAATCTAAGGATATATAAAAACTTACTGGAAAGAATGCAGAAGGCATTGGACCACCGGGCATACCATCGTTTGGTGGCATTTGTCCTATGGGGGAAGGCGCTGGACCAGCATTCTGCAATAATTTTATTGTTATCTAGCAGTCAAAACGATAACTAATAATAATAAATCGAAGTAATATTTTAGTTCTGCCTTTACGTGCAATTTTAAGTAAAAATCTGATTTAATCCTCCGTCTACATAACCTATTTTCACTAACGCGGACAACATAACGGGTCATTTAAGTCCAGGCCTGGTTTTTTGTAGAAATTTTCGCCTGGACTTAAACGACCTATTATGTCAATGGAGGGTTAATTATGTTGCAAGATATATTTTGAAAGTCTATGAAATCAATATCAGGCAAAGTACTAAATCCGATTAGTTAATTAATATTATTTAACTTACATGGGCAATACCATTGACTCCATAACCACTGTTCACAAAGCCCTAATGGTAACAAAAAGAATAATTATAAAAAACTTTATATGTTTTGTGTATACAATAACATAGATACGTGTATATGCACTAACATAGTCATGGAAAGCTTTTGCTTCGCTGCTGTGTTCGCAAGAATCCCGTCGTTCTGGTGCTGCAGAATATAGGTCCCAGAACACACTGAAATATTTTAGAATGTTTTAGCATAAAAATTGAGAAAAGAAATTATAAATTCCTTGTATATTATACAATTAATATAATAAATGATGCTTACCACCACCAAGAGTGTAAAAATCCAGGTGGTTCGCCAAGAGTGATATTTTTTTCCCATCGTATCTACATAGCAAAGTAATGTGAGATTATAGTAACATATACTCATTTATTTTTGCAATTTTTAAGCATACGAATGGAATCAAAACGATTTACCTCTGATAAAAATGTCTGTGCAGCTTTTTGTGCTCCAACATGTAATAAATACTCATACACGTACAAGGCTAATCTGAAATATTACAAACGGAAACGTTACAATTACGAGAAAGGATATTTAATGTCTGTCAAATAAAATAATGCCTGCATATAATTTGTAAAAGTTTGATCGTATCAGTTACGATATTTAAACGGGAAAAATGAATATCTGTATGAATTACTATTAAAATGAATCGAAGTGTCCGATGTACGTTGTGTCGCATAAGCAAAACAGCGCTGCCGTATGAAGTGTCATCGTACTAATATTTTGCGTATGCCACTTCTTGGTTTGCAAACGATAAAAACATGGCGTCCAATCGGCCTGCTTCGCGAGACAAGTGACTCTAGTGAGTCATAGCATGCAGTTCGGTAAAATTTACGAGAAGGTAGGTTGCAGGAAAGGCTATCAGGTAAACAACTCGATTCGTGAACGTCTCTTGGGAACTTGCTTAAAAGATCGTCTATTTCAAAACCGGTTTCTCGAAAATCGTTCAAGAGCGAACCGACCGTCGTCTCGGTATCTCAAAAAATAACAAGAAATTTCGCCTCGATTACAACGTATTAGACGTTCTCGATACAATTCATATTATCGGGAGCAGACTTCTCGAACACGAAGGCAGCCGACAAAGTTTATGAGTATTATAATCAGTAAGCCGGAATTATCCGACGAATCCGATTCCTCGGTTTTGGACCAACAGATATGTACCTGTACGCACGCTCGGTGCAAAGAGAGAAAAAAAAAATGGAGTCACTGGTCGATCAATCGGCAAACATTTTTTTTTTTTCTACTTCTTTTACTTTTTGACACAGCGTCGCAACGTTCGATCGAAAAGATACGTACTTTTCTCTCGCTTGAGAGTCCGAGGGTACCGTGGACCCCTTCCCCTTCGCGTACATCCTCGAAGACTGTCAATTTTTCCAGTGTAAACAGAACCACCAGTTTCGTCCTTAGCCAGCAATGTCCGACACCACCGCGGATCCCGCACGGGAATGGGGAAACAAGGAAGAATCGAACGTGCCCGTTCGACGGTCCTTTCTTTTTTTGCTCGGTCCGTGATAGAACGATGCGGAAAAACGTGCGCGCACCCGTTATGAACGGAAAACAAAAATAAAGGAAAGAAACGAGCCGAAAACGGGAATCGTTAACTTTCGGTCACACACACGTCACGAACACGTCGTGCCACAACCGTGGCCAGCAGCCTATACTAGATACAGTACTCCGCATCATGGCTCGGCGAATTGCGGACGCATGACCGCGGAACGAACGCGCGTCGTCATCGTTTGCAGACTTCGCGCTCTTCTTTCTCTCCCCCTCCCCCGTATACGATAGCTCGCTTCGCCGTTTCCTTTTTTTTTCGCCTTTTTCTTTTCCACGGAGTTCTTTCACTGATTAATCACAAACCCGCCCGCGCCGATACCGTTCTCGCGTCTTATTTCAATTCGTGCGTAAACGACGACGCGTCCTCTCACCGAAGTTGCGCTCGGTCACTTCACTCTCTTCGCTCTCTTTAGTTTCGACTCGCTCGCCGCTCACCTTACCTCACCTCACCTCACCGCACTCCCGTCCCGTCAAGCTTCATTAAAAGTACAGACAGACGGACAGACGGACAGACGGACGAACGGACAAACGGACTACACTCACGTTTCACCTCGGTTGTTCGTACGCGTCGTAAAGTTCACTCGGACGCGATACCTCACCGATTCCGAAATCCTCGATACTTGGGTACGCCGCCGGTTCGATGCGCGTCTTCTCGTGCTCTCTCCGTGTCTTTCCGCTTTCTGTGTTTTTTCTATCGTAGCTACCTATTCGGTAGTGAACGAGGACGAAGCGCGGTGTCGCTTTTACACACGCTCGTGCGCGCGCGACACGAGTGAACTTATTTTCGTGTAAACACGCACGGAACCTCGGAAGTGTGCCCGTCGTACGCCGCGTATACGCGCTGTGCCCGCACACACACGCGCGTTGTACGAGAAACACTGACTATCTCCCTCGTTCTCTCTGTCCGGCTGTTCGCCTTTGTCTGTTCGCGCAGCCATTGGCTTTCCACGGCAGGACCGTACGTACGTCAGTCATTATCGTACCGTTTCGTTATTTGGCCTGGATGCTTTTGCGGTTTTTACCGGATCGCTCGTTCGATTAATTGTCGCGGTAACCATTTTTTTTCGAGCAGCTAAAAGTATCGTACGTACAACTAAAAATTTTTGAATTCTTGGTTTCCACGGAATTAAGATTTTCCATATGAAAATATCAAACGTAGATTATTTCTTTTCGGATTTAGACGTTCATTTTATTCATTCTCGTTGATTTTTGTAAAAAAACTTTTTTTGCAGATTTATTTATTATTAATGGATCAAAAGTTTGTAATATAAACTATGCTATTTATTTTCTACGAAAACGTATCCACTTTGTTATACGATTCTTTTTAGCTAGAGGCCTAAAAAATAATAGACACCACGACGATAGTAATGTTTCGTCAAGCGAGTCATAACTTTTTGAACATTCTGATAACATCAAAAAGTGATCGAAAATTATTGTCGTGAAATCGACTGCTTTGAAGTCTCCAACGGGAGAATCGGCCTGTAGAAGAAGTAGATACAAATTGTACGAATGCGCCTATCGATGTTACGTTCCTGATTGCATCTGTACATGCTATTGGATGCCGATCGCTGCACGGCGTACTATATCTGTATATGTATACAAAGCACGCATACGTTAATACAAGCTATCGGCGCATATACACTAATAGCGGGGATATCCGAACACGACCGAACACCACCGAACATTGCCGATGCAAAATAGCCGACAATTGACTGAGCGTCGAGGAGTCGGGCAGAAAAGAGACAAGCCATTCCTTTGGGTGTACAGCTTCCCCTTTCTCGATTTTGTCATGAAATTAACGCGTATTGCTGCTCATTTTGCAAACCGACGAGCAATCAGTGATTATTTAAAAATATTATCTTTGGTGGGAAAAGGGGGAAGACAATCAAGATCGAAATAATTTTGTTCGTTTACTTATATGCACTAATAGATTGGATTCAAGTTTTATGTCTAATGAATAGAATGATTGTAAAATATTGTTCAGTCGTATCCTGTCTTACATTTCCTCCATGACAACATCCAGTAATAACCTTGAAAGCGTTCAATAAATAACAAATAAATAAGCCAGACATATGTCCCCCTCGAGACTAAGAAATACTTTCGTGCTTAACATTTTTGTCAAAAATGTGTTCATTCTGAGATACTTAGATATAAAGTTTCCAAACGAACACCTTGTTTATCTTGACTTTTGTCGGCTATTCTGAAACTAATCAGTACATACGTAAGTTCAGGGTACGACTGTGTATAATAGATAATTTATCGACGATCGATAAAAATCATTACACGTTCGTATTTTACTTCTATAATTTTTTGTCCGGTCGATCGAACGCAAATAGAATTTACGTTGAACGTATTATAAAGCATAGCACGCACGAGAATGAGAAACTGTTGAGCTAAAGATTAGGTTGTCGTTGCTCTACACGAGTAGAGCTCTACACGTTGCTCTCTAATTTTTCAAGTTATCGATAATCAGAGTTTCCCAATCTACGTAGACCTGTAGTACACATACTTCCCGTACGTTTTAAAGTGTATTCGATAACGCAAGAAATTTCAATGTACGATTCAACTTACAATGCCATTCCCGTAATCAATAATATAACATTACATAATTGTTTGAACTATTGCTTATCGTGCTATTATTATCGTTTCGGTACTGAAGTTAATTCGATGTTTGTAGACACGGGATATACTTTAATTACATGAAAACAATAGGTTAATTATATTCCAAATAATATAAAAGTACCTTATCGTATTTATTTAGTTCTGCAAATATCGATGGACGTTCCAGGGACGATCACGTGGGAAGAATTTCTCGAAAATGCTGAAGCATTTTTGGAAATGTCGAATAAGTTGTCCGATGGGTGGGAACTTCGAGGTTACAAGGTGAACGAACTTCATTTCTTTCGAGTATTCACGATAAAATTAAAAACAATTGTACGAAGAATTTGAAATTAATGTGTGTGCGTGTGTGCGATCTACAGGATGTACCCGGGAAAGCGTATATTGCTCGACAAAAGAAATATATTATTCCCGCCAATAGCGATTCGCACTATTGTTTGTTATCCGAAAATAAAGATATCGACGACTACTTAAATTTCGAGTTGCAACAGGATCCGTTCGAAGCTCCCTCTGTGGTCGAGAAAATATTGGTGAAGGAACATCACGTACTATGGTCGATGAGCTACTCCGTTCCCGTGCTGTATTTTAATGGATGGAAGTCAGGTGAAATGTTTTCGTAGAAAAAAATTATTTTTTTCTTTTTAAATTGAAAACACCTAAATAACGACGATTCTTGCATCGTTTCGTATTCCGTGCGATCGCGATCCGGTTTCTAACAATATTTGACGAAAGTCCTTAATTTTACAACGTCTATTCATCAAAATATGAAACTTCTATTACAATTGCTCTCTGATCACCACTAGACCTTAATCTGGTATGTACCGCCTGTTGGAAGTGGCAGGCGACATAATGCTGATTGTTCCTTCGATTGTAGCCTATCTTAAACTAGGCTAAGCAGCCAGCAAAGGGAACAAGAGTGACTGAAGGGGAAAAACCCGAGAAACAATGGAAATCTATGTTTTATGACAATGGATGCGTTCGAACTTTCTTTTTACCCGTTGGTCGTAAATACATGTGACGGTTATTACGAAAGTGACCTAAGTGTGCGCAGAATCGGGCAATGTTTGTCCGTTATTCGCGAATAACGAATAAAAATTTTTGATCGTTCGTGGACTAAATTTATGAACGTAACGTAAGCGGTCGTTAGTACACGAGCGAGTCTGAAATTTTTATTCAAAGAAATATTATTCGATATCTTGATGACCTTCGGGAATTACTATTGTAATGTGATATTCCAAGAAACGACGAGTATTATTTAAGAACGTTAGGAACGAACGAACGTTTAAGTCCTATTTTTAAAGAATCGAAAGTTTACCTAAATTTATGAATGAACATATGAATTTTATACGCAAAACAGGAAAAAAAATTAAAATGAATTTACACACGTTTAAAGACTCCAGTATAAATAATTAATTGTTTATTGACATTTGTAGATTTTCCTGGCATCAATCCAGTAAGTGTGGAAGAGGCCCAATCGTTTGCTCGCGGTGCAAAGCTAAATTATACGGAATTATCACAAGCAATACATCCCATATTAGGTACTCCCTTCCTGCATTTGCATCCTTGTTTCTCACACGAGCTTTTACAAATTACGAGTAAAAGGTACGTGGATCGATAAAAGTATTGGTCGATACAATATTTCCTAAAATAGGAACGATTAACGGGGTATTGTTATTATTGTACGCTTATTTACATATTACATATTTCACAAATTATTTTTTGTCACTTTAGCAAAAACAAACTGGTCAGTTGGTTGAGTACTGTCGCTTCTAGTGCACTCGGCCTTAAACTTCTACCTGAATATTGCAAATTGACTCTGTAGGACATAATTTAATAGTTAAAAATAGATCTCAATGCGACGAAATAAAAAAAGATGTATTTTCAAGAAATATATTCCATAGCTTTTAAACGAAAACATTCAACTATTGTTATTAAATTTTGTGTTGGAATGCCGTGTTAGTCACGTCGATGATTGTATATTTCAAAAGAGAATGACGTGCAGTGAATGAGCTGGAAATAGCTATGTACCTTGCACAGAAATACATTGTCTTTGTATGTATTGCCAAATTTTTTCAATTTTCTATGTTTTTACTATGGATTATATGTAAATTTCACGTTTTCATAATTTTATACGAAAATGGACTCGCATCACTTTTGAAATAAACGGTCCGTACAGTGGCACAAGTGGTTGAAAGAAAGCCACGATCAATATATCATGAAACACGATCCAACGACGATCGATCGTCGATTTACGGTTAACGTTCTTCATATTTTCCCAATTTCGATAGCGAGCTCAACGATGGAGTTGTATAAGCAATTAAAATTTTGATAGAATCGTCTACGATTTACCGCCTCTGCGCAGGAGATGCGCACAAGCAATTGGCGGAGCCTCTGCTCGAGTAGTGGGGCACGATTGGCCGAGGCGACGGAGCAAGTCACGCGAACGCCAATCGCGTAGTTTGGCTCATGGAACTCGTTCCTTTCTCCCCTCCTTTCGTCTTCCCCACCACCCGCGCGCTTTTCGAACGCTTAGCTCAAATTACGAGCACTTCAAGGTGGCACAGTCCCGCGACTGTCATCGCACGGTATACACGAAAGCGCGATACAACGAGTGAATCGTCGTGTTTCCATATCAATTTTACTCTTACTCGATCCACAACGAACCTGTTACAGTTTAAGAGGCAAGTCGCTTTTGTGTACGCGTTTTCTATCGAGCGGAATCGATGGGTACTTACTGTGCACGCGGAGTGTCTTCTTTCAAACATACATAAACAAAAAAAAAGATCAGAGAGGAGGGCCGAAGTTGGTCGAGGTAAGATACAATATTTCAAACATATTTTGTTCACTTTGTTTGCATTGATAAACTGGGGTTAATTCTAAACGAATTTTCAACAAATACCAGAAGACACGAGAGTTCTATTGAAAGACTATCTAAAAGGATATACAGTTAATTAAGTTATTTAATGACTAGAAATACTTGTTTGTGCCAGGGATCCTAACTGTTATAACCAAAGAAATGTTATAAAGAAATCTTATAAGTTAACAATAATTGGTTAACACTATTGACGTGGGTTATTTATTTTACCCGATTCGTTTTACATTATCGATATATGTTATTGGTAATTTGAATCAAAAGTTGCCTTATTGACAATAATAAATCATAAACCGTAACACGAAACAAAAAATTTGGTTGTTGGAATATGATTGATAAAATATTTCCGTCATCGATAATGGTTTTGAGTGACTGAAAAACTGTTTTGATCATAAATTGTAATTATTGTATGACCAAAACGTTTAGAAATTGATAGTATTTAATCATGTTATTCTTTGAGAAATTTACTTTAAATTTTACGATTATTACTTTTGACTTGACCAAAAAACAACATTTTGTTGATGATCTTTCCCATACATATTTTTAGATTAACTGTTATTTTTTGTCCCTGGTTTGTATCGATAAACTAGGGTTAAAAGAATATATGGATATTTCGTCGTCTATAACGGTAAACAAACAGATTATTTTATGAATGAAAATACATATATGTATGCACGAATGTAACCTTTTAATTTAATTTGTATTATTTCGCATTTCCAGTATTATTATATTTGTACAATTTTTTTAATTAAATTACAATGAAGTTACTAAAAGCCCAATCAAAAGATAAATTAAGTAGCAATATTGAAACACAGTTTTTCAACTAAAGTCTAACTTCCATCAATAGTGGTCTTCTGGGTACTTTATCGAAGATTCTCGTCTAATAGCGATCGATTATAAAGTACTGCATTGAATCGAGTTAGGCAATCGTATTTCAGGTCGAAAAGTGCACCGTTTAACAGTCTGTTGGTTTTGTCGTGTGAAAGGAAGTTCTCCTATATTTGATTTCCGCTGAATCGATACACAATTTGTATTTAATTGTGTGTGTCTAAACAGCTGGATTATCATAGGTGTAATGTTTTGCTGATAGCGCGAAACGTGGATTACGTTGATATTCATTTTTTAAAACTTGTACCTACGTAAGAGATTTCAATTATTTTTTCATTCATGAAATAAAAACAAAATGTACTTAAAAGAACTGTATCAAGCAGGATGAGAGGATGGGGTACAGGGAATTAGGGCGTCTCATAACCTTAAAAGATAAACCTTAGAAACGATGAATTTATGTTTGATTTTAATAAGGTGTCATTAGAAAGGATTTCGAGGTTAAATGAATAATTACTGCATTGAAATTATGATCAAATTACAGGCGTAACGTGTAAAAAGTTTCCAGATAATTATTTTTCTAATAATTCTACAAGGAGAGAATTGCCTCTTGGGGGAAAAATTAAATTCTTCTATTTATACTTTAGCTTTTTAACGCATTATGTTCCACTTTATCTCATTATACTTTAATTTTATGTTATTTAAAATTCATACGTATTTGCCGTCTCTAAAGCAAGGTTAGAAAAGTATCGATGGTTAAATAATTTGCAATAATAGCATAACGAAAGAGAAATAATCTCTCCCTCGTTTTCAACCAGTTTTCTTGTACATCGACAAAAAAAAAAAATTAATAAAAACGAGATTCCGTTGTGTTATTTTGCGTTAATTATATAACGAATGTATTTGTTGCGATCGAGTCTCAAAATAGAACCGCAACACATCAAATTTTCAGACTGGCTTTGTCACGATGTTCGTTCCAAAATATATTCGTTGGCAACTGCAAGACACGAAACACGTAGAATATTACTTTGAACCTGTCAGACACCTGTTTATTCAAACGTGCACGCCCTTGGCGCTCATTTTGTCGCATAGCAAAGGTAATTCATTATCATGCAAATTTTTTTTCATTCGTTTCATTTGTATTGATTTGATATTAGTAATTGTACTTCGAAAGTTGCTCATTTTTTTTTTTTTTTTTTTTTTTTTAAATTTATGCATTTTTGAAAATTATACTTTAGTTAGGAAAGTAAATCACGAAACAACGAAACGTTTCTTTTCTATCTTAATCGCAAGAAGACTATAATGATCTTAATTTATTTTTCAGCCTCACGAAATTTACAATTACGACCGTGAAATTGTTAACAAGATCCGTGTAAAATTGAAGATTAAAGCGATCTATACTAGAAGTATGTTGCAATTGGGCACAATTGGTTAATTCGAATTTTCTCTAAAAATGCTGGTATTTGGTTACGGGAACAATAATTTTTTTAAACGAAAATGTCCGAATTGTACGTAGGCGAAAATTCATGCGAGATTTACTGCGCGTGCGCAGTAAAACGCCGCTATTGAAGTTTCCGACGCGCGGGAATTGATTTCATTGGACAGGTATTCAACTTTAATAATAAATTGCTAGAATAACTTTTCACATACATTTACATCTATAAAAATAAATAGACTAATATACGATGTAACTAGCAATTTGTTAACATGTAAAAGTCGTAAAAAATGATCCTTTTTAGGTGTTCAAAAATTTCCCCTTTCGGTTTGCATTTTAGAAAGAGCGGAGCCAATATTTTAATTTCAGTTTCAGTTTCTATAAATAGTATCATACTATTGTCCAGTGACGAAGTTATCAGTTTTATTCCTATTTCCGGAAAGTCATCGAACCTCTATTTGTTCACCGTTTGAGTTCCTTCAAGCTCGATTTCAAGTGTTCATCATGTAGGGCAAGCAATTTAGCAATATAATTACATATAATGAGCGAAGGGTAACATGCTCCCATTTGGTTAACCGTAGTAACAAAATTAGCCCATTTACCTAATTAACCGTTACGATAAAGCATTGGCATCGCTCGACCAACACAGTAATGGAAATAAAATATTAATACGAAATAAAATACACGAGCAAGATCAAATTGTCAGAGATCACGACGTTCGAGGACAACGTCTTAAATTTGTTTTATTTATCGACCTGAATTCCACAACGAAATTTCTACGATCAACATTTCGCCAACACAGAGACCAATTCAAAGGGTAGACATTTTTTGCAATATTGTTTTTCCTCTGAATCTTCAACATTGTTTAGAGTTCCAAATAGTTTAATAGTACCAAGAGCCGAAAAATAGATTTTCTCAATAAATTTTGATAAAATTTCTCACACGCATGGAAAGCTCTGGAATTTAGAGAATTAACTGTTTTATATAAGGGTTTTGGTTAAAAAATCAATATCGTTACGTTTCGTCCCGGATCTACTAATTGGATTCGTTAATAAGCCTCGTTTAGCAGATCCTGCCTTAAATGTGACGTTATTAATCATGCGTTGAACAGCGTCCAATTACTCGACGGTTTATTAGTACATAATTAACCAACGTGGCGGGTCTCAATAAAAATCTGTGAAACGGTCATGCAGGTTAGCGTTGTTTGTACGAAGAAAAGATCGATGGAATTATAGAAATTTCCCTCGCTATCGGAAGTCGAAGCGCGTCCACATATTTTGTACCAACGTGGACAGTTATTTTTTAGCTGGGTGTACGTGTTTACGTTAAACAAAGAAACGATCCCAAAGGACGATCCGAAGTTTCCGCCCACGTTTCGATCCCATCGCTGCTTGTATATCATCAGCTGATTGCGTCACGATCCGGTTCTATAATCGTTCATTAAATTGCCGGTAATTCGTAGTTGTGGGGTTATTTTATGTAGTATAAATGAATGAACATTATCGTGCAATACTTCGAAACAGGTCCACGTTAAGGCCAATTTACATGTCCGCTGTCTGTCCAAACCGCCACGTTGAAAAAAAAATAAGGAAGATCGATCCGTTGCGATAATTAACTCGGATGGTACATCGTCCTCTCGAAAGAACAATACAACGTCTTCAGCGACGTCAGATTATAGTCGATGCAAACTGCACGTCGCCATCGTGAAAATAACACCCATACGTACAGTCGATTCACAATTAAATCAAATTTAGAAAAGCACGTAACACTTTAATTCTGCTATGAAAGTTCAATTTTTGCAGTCTCACACGGTCTGAAATTTCATAAATAAAATCGACGATTCACAGAGCAAACCTGTCGTCCAGCTATCGTATATCGTAGTAATCTCGTATCTATTAATCTTCTCGAAGACATTTCATACTCGCACTACGATCACCGTAATTGCGAATCGACGAGACGCGCGACGAATAAACCTTTAATCTGGGCATAATCATAGGTTAGGTCTGGGTTAGTGCATCTGCGATTGTTAAAAAGAAATAACTATTATTATAATTCGTCACGAATAATCACCAATATCGATATAGCATCCTCGAATTTCATTCCCGCGTAAAACTATCGATATCGGAATTTTCTTCTTTCACGCTGTTTACGACATTCGAGGACGATATCTATTGCGAAAAGAAGAGTCGTGCCACTGAAAACTTAACGAAATATTTTTGTTCGAATTAAGCAGAGATTCATATTTACTTTGACACGCGAAATTGAAATCACGCAATCTTGTCACGATGTTGACGTGTTACATAATTCCCACGTATTAATCACAAGCATTCATTCACAACTAGCTTCTGCCCGCGGCTACGTTCGCGTTCAGTAAAAATTCGTTAAAATTAAGTGTTAGAATAACTTGGGAACCTAAGCCTGCGCGTTTTTGTCAATTTAGAAAAAATTGACAAGTCGTTAAAAAATTTTAACACATTCGTTCCCGTTTACGTTGAGGTAACCTCACATTTCGTAAGCTATGGTGGTCGTTAATGAAACCCTGGGTCTTTTCATATACAATTTCGTAGACCGGTTGCTGACGTAATATTACGTCTTTGAATTTGCAGAAGGGCAATGACCAGCCGTAGGAGTGATACAATACCGATTTGTAAATTAAAATTTGGCATTGAACAGTATCAAATAGAATGGATACACGATTCACATCGACGCGATTCGCATTAACAATTATTTTATTTGCATTCGAGACACCTTTTGGTCGAAACAGAGATGCATAAAACCGCGGTAGATGTAGTGTTAGTGCGCGAAAAATTCTTTGAAGCTTTCTTCCTCTCGACACGGTGTCGCTAAAGCGATCCATTTCCGACATTCCGAAACCGCGGTACTTGAACATCCAACAAGGACCGATTTTTGTCCTCGACCCTTCTATAACACGGTTAATTCGTTCCATGTTGATCGAAACTTATATACAGTGGTTAAATTAAAAAAATCAAAAAACACGTAGTCGAAGCTTCGTTCTTTATTTTATTCAGCACACGACCCGAACGATACCAATTACAAACTTGACCCATCTCGACCCTTCCTGCCAGCCAGAAACGCTTCAAAGTATTACAACTTCCTTCCTCTCTTTAGAACAACCGCCCACCGAAAAAGAACCGATTCTGCGTCTCCCAAGCGAGCGTATTAGCTACCCGGTTATCCCCATAGAAGAAATTAGAATAACTGTTGTGTCCTAATCTATTATTAAAAAGTAAATTGTTACGTCTATTGGAGATTCTTTGATCTAAACGTGAAGATAGAAACAAAATAGCTATAAGGAAATGATTCGTGTCAGATTACACAGAATACAAGTAGCAATTAAAAAAAAATCAAGGCCCGAGCTTCGAGTGCGTAAAAATCATATTCTTACAGCCTCATGTTAATCGAACGACTATCGACTGTTGCGTAATGTAAAATAACAGTAAAAAAAACCAGTGGTAGCTATGGCGTTGTTCGAATACCTCTGTCCTTTAGCCACAAGATCGGCCCAACGTGCTTCTATTTTCGCACACTTTTTAATACAGACTTTTGACCAGGGCCAGCAAATTATTCAAATAATACTGATTAACAAATTGTAAACAATACTTTGTATCCTTTATGATCACGCTTCTCCCCATTTTTTTTGTTGTGTACAGAGATAGGATATCGTAGAGAAAAAATTATTTGGATCTAATTTCAAAAATATAGAAGGCATAATTAATTCAAGTACAGTAGATTATACGTATGTTAAAATAAAGCACGTTCTTTTTTTAAATTTGTTACGTTTCACGATTTTTATAATTTTGTTAATCCATCACAAATTCAAAGATTTATTAAGGTACCTTCAGTATCTAAGTCGTCTATCGACTTCTCGATATCAAAGACGCAGTAAAGACTGACTTGTGTCTTAGACTGTTTAACATTTAGCCTTGACGAAGTTGTAGGAAGTCGCGTAACAGTACTCGGATTTTTATCTTTAATCTTTACTGGTTCCGTAAATACCGTAAATGTAAATTCGAAGAGAGCTCAAAATACAGAGGGAAGGGGGGGGGGGGGAATTGTGAAAAGATTCCGGAATCTCATCCCTAACGCTTAAGAAGGTCTAAATTCTTTCTTGTCCTTATACGATGACGCATTGTTTCCACAGACACTAGCAAAAAAAATATTTACAATTATAATGTAATCCGACGCTGTGGTTCGCGCGCAGAAAAACAATATATCATCTTATTGTACAAGCATAAATTATGCAAAACTGTGTAGTAATCAACGAACTAAAAATACATTCTGAAAGAAACGACAGATTCAAGATCGCCTCGGAGCTTCTTTCGTTCTTTGGATTTCATAAGAACGATTTGGAAAAAAAAATATACGTTTTATATTGATTCTATGATTTTCTCGGACAGGTCGAGGAAAGTCCCGGTGGTTGTTGGAAGAGATCGAGGATCGCGCGTGGATCCATCAGCGTCGCGCGGTGCCCCGGGGCGGCAGAAGAGAATCCAAGCCGGAGGAAGAGGAATTTAGTGGAAGTCGGAAGGAAGGGATCGGCCCGTCGAGTATCAGAGGAAGGGCAGAGGTGATCGGAGGAGGGCAGAGGAGAGCGAGCAGATCAGAGACGAGAGAGGCCAGGGCAGGCGACAAACAATAGACGACGCATAACCCGGTGCTCCCGATGGGGTCGTAGTTGCGCGTATTTGTAATGTATCTGACGATGATAGGCCAGCACGGCAGGAAGAGATCGTCGTAGGGGGATCGCCATAGCTAATCGTACCACCCAAGGTGGCACAGATTGAGAGCTCTATCAGCACACATCCTCTCCTGCCCGGGCAAGTACCAACCAGCGTCGAGTCGGTGCACATGTACGTAGATTTTTATTATTATTAAACAGCTTGGCTTGTCGATCCTCTTTCCATCGTGGTCCTCAACAGCCTTTCACGGTCTGCGTTCTTGGGGACGGTTCCTAGTGTCCAGGGTTCCTCTCCACTGTAAACCATGCTCGAGATTTTGGGGCTTCCTTTTGAATTTTTTTTTATTTGGCGGTAACCAACGGTGGAAATGTACAGGGAACATAACTGTAGTACCACTGTAATCTTGGAGAGCTTCAGGGGGTTTGCACGTTGACTGTTGGAACATTTTGATGAAACGTGACCTGAAAAAATTATTGGTAGTTTCAAAAAAATTCATCATTTTTGTCTGGTATAAAATAGATATACGAAACTTTTAAACATATTTATATGCTTGCTTGATGAGTAGAGTACCCGGGTAACTGTGTAGGGTGTTTTTGACACCGTGAAATAACTAGAAAATATAGAAGAAAATTAGTTGGAAATCGAGTCTGAATGTTCATCAAGCACACGTGCACTTAACTAGCCATGATCTGCTTGGTTCACCCAATCTAACCAACGCAACTTCTGTTTGTATTCGTAAACAATGCCAAGGCCGTTAGCACCGCGATAGCTTATCTGCCGTCGCTTCTATTTAGGATTGTTTACCCGTCGGAATTATCAGCGTTTCTAAAACTGTGATCAACAGATTTCGCTACAGATTTCTATTTCTGGGGTCATAAAAGCACACATCACGTTAGACATTGTTATTTTTGTCACGAAGTAAAGAGACAAGTATTGCTAGAAATCATTCGACCTTTCTATTTTTCCCACCTGTTTCCTCGCAATTTATGATCAGAGCGTACCGCACTTTCTTGCAAACGTCATCTGTTCTAAACGTCGTTGCTCACCGGATGAGGATACTGTGTAATTTAAACGCAAGTATGAAACGTTCGAAGCATAGTATCGCGAGAAGACAGATACAGAAGTAGTAAAAAAACTCTATGTCGAAATGGTCTCGACGTACGATCACAAAGGATTGAACTGATATTTTGAACTTTCTTTGCGCGTCGATGACTTTTTATGTTGTACGATCTATAGCGATCATCGAAGGAGGATCGAAGTATCGGCAAACAGCGGAGGCTCAGCACCATTGACGATCAGCAGATCAACGGGATCCAGGCATTGTCGATCCCGTTCGAGCCTCTCGACCTCTCCTCCTCTTTCCGCGCTGCCCTCCCTTCCCCATCAGGGGCGCGACACGCACCGGCCGCTTCCGGCTAACCGGAAGTGACGCTCTATGCGAACGGGTGACCACCGTCTTTCGTCGTGATACCAACACCACGCAACCGCTGACCAGCGCGGGACACCAGCCATCATGGAAGTCGCCACTGAACTGTACGTACCAACGTCTTCTTTTCCATACAGCGGCGAACATACAAATAATTACATTTTCATTTACTCCATTATCCTATACAATATTTTAATAATTCAGTTTACTTTATTTCTATATATTTCATTATACCATTACTCCCTCCTATATCACTTACATAACACTAGATAACAGTAGATAACACCTTTAATTATTCGTTGTTTCGGCTATGGAGGTTAGTCCTCTTCGAGCAATCGACCTTTAAAAAAGAGAAATTAATAATCGTTAATTAGAACTCTAGGAATGATACAGAATTTACGAAAGTAATTAAATAATCTATATTTATCATACCTAGCAAAAATTAAAAAAAAAAAAAAAAAAAACGTTTAAATTCCACGCTAAATCAATATACAATTTTCTTCTCGAACGACATAATAGGATTTGTGCTATGAGGGGTTAAGTTACAGTACAATTAAATGGCAGGAACAGCGAGACGATCTCCAGTTAAGACGACATTGACAACGAGATGAGGTTTCTTATTTGCGGCCGCATAATTCAGTTGCGTCGCATTTGCCCGATGAATTCGCGCGAAAAGATGCAATTGCGAAACCGTGCGTGCGGTTTACCCGATGTTCGTTAAACTGCGTTCGCAGCACGTTACGCTTTACGAATTTCGAGCAAATTCTAACGCCACCGTGGCCGCCATAAAAAACTTGGCGCTTCGGTCGGCATTATTTTTTCTCCCGAGAGGAAACGTTTCGCGACACGGAAATCTTGGAAAGAAAATTGAAATGTATCGTCGCGCCGAAGTTTCTCGAGAATAGTTTCAAGAGGGCTTGGACGTATCGCGAGGCAAGGTCACCGCGAGGGAACGCGTCTTTCAACCGATGATCGTCTCTCTTCAGGCCTACTTAACGCGAGGTCACTCGTAAAGATTCAATCAAATCGTAGCGAAGACTACTGACCCTTGCCAGCGATGAGTTATGCGTCGATAAACACAGTCTCCTTTTGCCTCGTACTAGATTCTGCTAAGGGGACTCGTTTAAAACGCTGGAACCATCGAGACTTTCTGTAAAAATCTTCGTTCGTCGAAACTGAATCGCACTATTATGGTGTTTCTCTATAATCCAAATTACGATTGTGCAAACACTAACAATGAGACACAAATGGAAAGTATTATCGTAGTAAACCTTGAAACATAATAAAACATGATATTTTTAGGTTACATCAGCGTCGTAGAAAATAATAACAATCGTAGTACAGCGATCGAGTGTTTTATTTACATTTTGATAACGAGAGTATAAAACTGTACACTGTTGTTGCCATCTACTTTGTATTTCGTGTACACCTAATCTAAATTTTTATAGAAGCACGAACAAGTGTTTGATTCTTAGTTAAAGGGGGCTGTTTTACTGTAAACCTTTCAAAAGATTCTTTGTCTTCTCTAAAATCAATTTCTTCGACAAACTACGCAACTTACCAAAACCAAACTTACAAATTACCTAATAAAACAATATTTCGAAACCGCGTAAAAAAAATTCGAACAGTACGACCCATCGGTAGGTTAGGTCGGGAACTTTTCAACTTTGTAATTTCATTTGTTAACGTATCGTCTAAAGAATTTTATCGGGGAGACGATCCACGAAGAATAGAGAGACGTTGGAATGTGGTTGAATCGTTAAAATCCAATAGAATCAAGATGCAATCCGACGATGTGTCGGATGATTATTTAATTCGATCGGATTCAGAGGTTATTCGCGCACGTCTCGGCCAAGACGCGGCGGAACGTGTGCGGGGATATAATGACGGACCTGGGCGAAGTCATTGTCAATCATCATGCTTTCCTGTACACACGACGTACACGTAACCCCAACGACTGTTTTACTAATCGCTTCTGGTAAATAATGTTTATCGCGTTCAAGATCGGACACGATGAAAAATCGAAATTTATTCGACGATCCACCGACGTAACAAGTTTTGCAAGAACAACGGAATGTTAAATCGAAATAAAATGAAAACTACAAAAGATAATCCGTTGCTTGTCTCGATTTTTTTTCTTATTCTGTAGAAACACTTTGATCTATTTCAAACAATTGTTCTTAATTCCTGAAAGTACCGTAAATCAGTCGCTCGACACTTTGTAAATCAATTAGATAATGAAAATAATTTTGGCCAAATACCCCACTGGGCGTTGTTCGGAGAATTTTGATAATTAATTTTAATAATTTCTACGCGTTTAATGACTGTGTATCTTTTCACGATTACTTGTAAAGCGCTACTGAATGCAAATGTCGCGCGACTCGAATAAAAAATATGGCGGCTATAACGATTGAAAGTGCCTCAGATAAGTGGTTATTTTGTTTTCCGATTGTTTCAACACCTGTACCTTGTGCAGGTGTGTTCAAATAAAAGCGATAGAATTTTGAATTGAGATATGTAGACTTTAACTGCCCCTACATACTCTAAAGCGTTCACACGTCTAATTCATGGTTGCGATTAGAAGTTTGCGGCCATTTGCATCGCGCATTGAAATTCCCAACTCACAGCATACATTCCGTACGATCTCGCGTCGTTCACCGATGGAATAGAAATACAAAATTTACCGAAGCTGCTCTCTTTTGTTCCGCGTGGCTTGCATAAATAAACAATGACTAATCGAGGCAAAAAGAAACTAATGTACGAAACCGTGCAATTTCTGCACGGCGTTAATTATCAAATACACGTGTCGGAGCGTAGCAAAAAACGTTCGACGGACATGCAGACGAGACGACGTTAAGGTCATCTTTTTTCTTAGCTTCTGACGATCCAACAGAACGCTACGCAATTCTATATTTTTTTTAATAGACGCGTCCTCCTGCTTGTTATTAACCGACAGAACCGGCCGCAATACAAAGCACGTCTCGTTAACACTGTTAAGGGATTAACTCTCGTAATTAACCCCTTTGTCGGAGTGAATCGTCGTCTTTCGGTATGACAGTTTCCTTTCCGGGAATCGCCTCTCTCGGACCGATGAATTTATCTAACGGATATTGCATGCATTGCACAACCACCGTATCTAGGGCAATAAACCGATATGCAAAACGTTCCACGACGATCTAGAAATTATTAACGATCCCTGGTCATTTGCAATTCTTAGTTTTTACGGTACTCTAAAAACCGTTCTCCTTTCTAGGAGATTATCGTAACCTCGGATGTTCTATTTCTTAATAGTAAATCATACGTATAGTATATTGCATAATGCAACAATCATCTCTTAAGTATTTCTTATCAACTATTAATGTCAGCTGGTCAATTGAAGGGTGTATTGCTGTGCTCGGGGTATCCATCGACGCTGATCCGGTTCTGAGTAGATTGCATTAAGTATCGCATGCCTGAAACAAGGAAAAATAAACATAATTGGTACAGAATGAAAATACAGTTAATTATTGTGAATTGACTAACCGTCACAGATTTGTAATTGCAGGTCACCGTTATCTGGGTCCGATGCACAATGCAAAATCGCCGAACGGACCTCGTACTACCCCCAGGATCCGAACAAGAGGCCAAAGACCAGGCAGGAGAAGGTGCGTGCTTGTCTTCGACATAACTCGTTGACTATCCTCACCGTCAGCGGCGTCGTCGGCGGCGTAATCCTCGGTATCATCCTGAGAAGCACGAGAACGCAAGGATGGTCGCCACGCGAGATCATGTACATCAATTATATCGGAGATCTGTTTCTAAGAATGCTGAAGAGCTTGATTCTACCACTGATTATATCCAGCTTGGTCTCAGCTATCGGATCTCTGGACCTGTCCCTCAGTGGCAGAATCGGTGCTCGAGCTATCGTTTATTACATGGTCACCACCGTCAGTGCCGTTGTACTAGGTGAGCAGTAACCGGATACGGAACTCATACAAACTAGGACTTTTTACATTTAAAGATTAACCCTTTGATCAATTGATTGAATACTCTTTCCACGGTGTCTTTCAGGTATTATTCTGGTGATAACCATTCAACCGGGCGTAGGGAACAACCCCGACGTTAAAACGAAGACACCCGCTCAGAACGTTTCCACCATCGACACGTTGATGGACTTAATCAGGAACATGTTTCCTCCGAACCTGGTGGAGGCCTGTATCTCCCAGCACAGAACCGAGATGCAAAAACCAGAGAACAGTACAGCAGGTGAAGATCGACGTGTACGTGCGATCAACGGTCATTAAATCTAGCGTTAACTTCAATATTACTCTTTCAAGCGAGCAATCTGGATAACTGGGAGCCAGTACAGAAGAGCGTCTCCGGAACTAACATCATGGGTCTGGTTGTCTTCGCTACAGCGCTGGGCATCACTTTGGGAAAAATGGAGGAGCAGGGGAAGCCGTTGCTCTACTTCTTCGAGTCTTTGTCAGGCGCGATGATGTTGATAACGCACTGGGTGATTTGGTAAATTACTATTTTATGAAACTACGGATCCTACGGTGTCCCCAGGTGTTTCTTAACGTAATCATCTTCTTCTCCAGGTTATCGCCAGTGGGTGTGCTCTTTCTGGTAGCCGCAAAGATCACCGAGATGCAGTCGCTGGACGAAGTTGTCGCGCAACTCGGAATGTACTTCTTGACCGTCTTGATCGGCCTGTGCATACACGGTTTTCTAATTCTGCCCGTGTTGTACTTTATTATAACGAAGAAGAACCCGTACGTGTACATATCCAACATGGCGCAGGCGTTGGTCACCGCGTTCGGCACGTCTTCGAGCTCCGCGACTCTACCGATCGCCATAAATTGCCTGGAAGAACGGAATAACGTTGATTCACGAATCACCAGGTTCGTCTTACCGATAGGCGCTACCATTAACATGGACGGGACTGCTCTGTACGAGGCTGTAGCCGCGATTTTCATCGCCCAGGTGCGCCAAGTTAGTCTCAGCTTTGGCCAACTGGTAGCGGTCAGGTGAGCAGAACGATCCGTTTAACAGTATTCGTAAATATAATTATTTGCCCTGTCCATTTCAAGAACGCCACAGTAAATATTGAAACTTCTATGTACTTCTGCAAGAATTCATAATCTTATGCATTTTTAGCGATACGGTCGCGTTGGTTCCATCAACCACAAGTTGCTGAGCATCGATAGCAACGAATAATCCATTTAAAACGAGTTGGTATTCTTTTTCAGTATCACAGCGACTGCCGCGAGTATCGGTGCAGCTGGAATTCCACAGGCAGGTCTGGTAACAATGGTAATGGTTCTGGATACGGTTCGCCTTCCAGCCGATGACGTTTTCCTGGTTATCGCTGTCGATTGGTTGCTGTAAGTTCTTCCTTCCATTGTCTTCCAACTGTGACTATTTAAATTTGAAACTGATGCCCGTTTATTTATCGAAAATTGTATTGTTTGGACTTGTAGCGATCGCTGTAGGACAACAGTGAACGTGGTGGGAGATTCTCTCGGTGCAGGAATCGTGAATTACTTGAGTAGAAACGAGCTGGCATCTTTGCCCCATAACGGGCAGTCTCAAAACGGGCCAGACCATCACACTACAACGTCTATATGAAATTAATATCAGTATTGACCATCGAAATTTCTTCCTTCTTCGACACTATTGCTCGTTAAGCGTTGCACGCCCCCGTGAAATTCGAAATTAGAAAGTGGACGAAACACAGCAAGCACGATAGTTCTCTGAAAGCAGCAATAACATATGATAGCTTATAAAAGTACGATCAGCGCTGTCAAATTAAAAAAAAAAAAATACTACTGTTGTACCGTGACAATCAATCTTCCATTTTTCCATGAATCGAATATCCGATTATTCTTGCACAACGTTCTTAGAAGAGCTAGCAGTGTTTTATATTTAATTATACCGATCCTAGTTTCGTTCGATTAAAGTACAAAATGGTCCAACGATCCGATCATGTTTTAATGATCGTTTCCAGTTGGCTGTGTAATCAACCGGTTATATAAACTTCGATGGAAACCATCGACGGATTTAGAATTCGATTTTCAAACGGAAATATGCAAAGAGAAACGAGTTTTAATATACATATTATACAAACCACGTGGCATACACTTTCAACTTACAGTTTGTTGGAAAATGTTACTTTCGTGACGAATTCTTTTCTGTTCACCTTATAAATTATTTGAAATTTTCGAATCGTTGCTTAGATAAAAGAATCCGCGAGCAATGTCCAATTCGGCAGCCTGATATAAACGTAATCTGTTATTATAGTCGTTATATGTACGTACACGTAGGATCGTTAAAACAGATTAGCAGTACGGTGATCGTGTTACTGCCTAACAATAAGTGTTCTAATTTATTCTAAGAGTGTTCTTTTTAAATGGTCTAAACGGTTTAACTGGAAACAAAGTCACAAACAATTATATGATTGATAAATACAGATTGTTATAGGAGAAGAAATTTGTTACATTCGATTTAAACAGAAAATTGTGAATCGTGGGCACGGCATTTTCTCCGCGAAAGAATTACACTTTAAAAAACAGTAAATTCCAAAGGCATTTTTTAAATCGATATTTTTCTTATATCCGTAGAGAATGTAACTGTTATTTTAATTAATACAAGTTTTGTAGTAAATAGTCGAGATGTATAAAATCTAATTGTATACAGTTGTTTTAGAGGCAGTATTAGTATCGACGATAGCTACTATCTATGTATATTCACTTATGATACGCGCCTCCTTAATCTTTGTCTTCCATTGCTATACGATCTATAATGGCGTAGCCATAAAATTTCAAATGTAAAAATGTATCGCGTAGCGTGACGATTATGAAATCGATCGTTGTTAATTTCTAAAATCTTATGAAACGAAAATATAAGGCGATTGAAAATGTGTTCAGTTTTTCCATAGGTTAATGTGCCTATAAATGGATGCAGAAAAACGTAGAAGCAAAGTTATTTCGTTACTTTGCTGATTAGCCTAGAGAATCAGTAACGAGAATATTATATTATAGTATTCGATGTATTCGCTACTGCACTAGATGAAAAGTGTTGAACTATCGACTAAACAGTAAAGAAGTGTATTTTATTATTCTATAACGAAAATTATCCAAGATTTATTATTACATATATTCCTGTATACAGTTACATTGGTGCATGCAATGAATGTAACCGAATAGTCAATTTATATTTTTAACTTATTCACCATATTATACCTTGCGTAGGTGTAAGTTGAGCTAATCGTAATCGGGAAATGATCAAGTACTGTACTACAATCTCTTATTTCCAGGAACTCTGACATCTATTCTTTAATATCGACTCAAATGAGTACGTTCGTAAATTACTCTAAAAATGTAGCAAATGTATAGTTCTCGACTTGAATATAAAAGCAAATGCAACTATACAGCCACTTGTATTTTTCACGTTGCTATGCTTTAATTCAATGTTAAACGTGAATAAAATTTGGCCATGTTGAAAGCCACGTTTGTTTTGATTTGAAAATTCCGTATTTACCGAAACATGATACAGCTTCACGATTAAATCATATATTTAACTTTGTCTGCTGAATAGCTGCAAATAAAAATTATGTAGTATCGGTTAGCTTTTTCTTTTTCATGCAAATTGCATTGTCGCCGACATAGTTTGAAACTTCGAAAAATATTATTCGGCTCTTAATACTTAATTTTCATAATTAACCGACTTAAAAGTAATAATAATTGAATTCTCTTACTGTTCATCACTTTTCTATTTAATTTATACTGAAACAATACACTCGGTTGAAAGCTAAATATTGTTGTGGGATCGGGAAGATAATGACTCCGCTCTGTTCCGTTCCGCACAATTGTATAGTTGCTGTCGTACAACGACGTGACTCGTGGTGCGGGTTACGCTCGACTCTCTGGTACGATCATCGCCACCGTACCAAGAGGCCTTCAAAAACAAAAGACGGTCAGAGACGACGACAACGGCTTTTCGGCTCACGCGGCTCTGGTCGTCTCGTGTGCAACCATCGTCTCGTGTGCAACCATACATTGTAGCGGCTTCGAACGGCTAAGGCGTATGTGGTGCCTTGGCCGCCACATTGTCATTCGAGAAAGCTAGTTGATACCATAATGCTCTTTGGCAAATTAAATTATGCGTTTAATATCACGGCACGTAATATACTCATATTATCGTTATTAATCTCGCGAATTGATGTACAGATACAAATTGTAATCAAATTCTACGAGTAGAATTTCTGTACCTGTACATAATTAAGTAATGCCATAGTTGCTTAAAAATATGATGTATAATATTTATTTGTACAATAAATGTACAAACTGACGTAACAATAAAGGTATTGCTTATTTCTAAACGACGACACATGTATGTGTAAAAATACCTCACTTTTTTTTCCAGCTGTCTTACTTCGGACTAAATAAAAGATATACATATCTTCGACATTGCATCAACGAAATAACTCTTTTATCACAGTGAAATTGTGCCTACATAACACAATTGAAAACAACGTTAAACTTTCTTAATTAAGAAAACTAAATAAACTATTTCTAAATATCGACTTCATCGAATCGAATTAATAATATATTCTGCTTTGTTTTTCTATCCGTTTTGGAAATGGTACATACAGGTTGACCAAGAGTGTGAAATAATCAATTAAGATAATTACTAAAAATTATTTATTTCAGTTATAATACTATCTGTGCATAATATAACATTTCTTTGTCTTTTACGAGTTATTCTTCGATTTGCGTTGTCATGATTTAATATTGAGTGGCAGTTGCAGAAAAATTATTTAGGATCTTAGAAATACAAACTATGCACTGAAAAAATATTTTCAAAAGGTTTTTCATATACATATATATATATATGTAATAAAACAACAACGTTGCAAAGGTTTTTGTCATGTTTTAAAAGTAGCGGGACACACTCGAAATTGTCTATTCTAGTGTTTTAATTATACAAAATTATGGAATATCGATTCACATGATAATTCATGTTGGTGATTGATCTTATTGCAAACTAGCCATAAAAACCATAAAAACGACGGATATTTCGTTACTCGTTTAAAACTAAATTGCTTAACACAATGTGACTAGATAAAATGCACTTTTCTTATAATACTTCCGAGTAAAAATAATTAAAAATGGAACATAGAGAATACTAATTTCACGTTAAATAAAAGTCTGTAACTTAGGAATTTTTGCAAGTGTTTTGCAAACTGTGTGCATAAACGTATGCGTGTAATCATGCACGCATATGCATTCGACGATGAATATCGCTAAAATTTCTATGGAAATATGAGTGTTTGATTTAATCTTTTTGGTTGCATAACATATGGATTCGAAATAATGTTGCACTAACATTATATTATCCCTTATCTTGCAAACGCAAATCAAACAACAAATATATTTTCATTATTTGATATAATAACCAGGGCTGCCACCTGTCTGACTTTCATATTTTTGTGCACAACACTCCACTCTTGACATTCCGCCATTAAAAATCTTTCGTGACAGAATTATTCAAATTTAAAATGAACGAAACGATAACAAACTAGCAAGCTTTGCTTGTTTCGCAGAAATTTCAACAACTGCTACACTTCTCTGTGTTTTAAACACGGACAAGATTCAAAACATATCGTAAACATGCCTAATTAATTAAAAGGTTATTCAGCGGTGTTAAAAAGATGACAACCCTAGTAATGACTAACAATTGCGGACGTTTTGAAATAATCTGCCTACGATAGAAAGCATTTCCGACGGCATTGAATATATAAAACTTCTGTACTACGCGTTAGGTGATCCCATAAAATTAAGCATCGTCTTGCAATACGATTTTCAAACGTCGTTCCTTTCTTGGTCGACAAAGAAAGGCGAGACCGTGCCGTAAAATCAACAAAATGCACGTTTATGAAGTCTTAAGATTTTTAAACAGGCATCGTTATGTACATAATATAAACAATCCTCTACGGTATTTACAAAAAAAAAAAAGAAAAAAAAACAGTTTACGAATTTCGCATTAATACTAAACACCTATAGATCACGTTCGTCACCGCCTTGACAATGTGTAAAATATCGTTCGTACCTCGGTAATAAATTGTGCTCGATAAGTGTGAAAACGTCGACATACAGAATAACCTTCGGTTCATTTTCTAATAAATCCGAACATTTATTAGTTCAAGGAGATCCCTTGTATCCACGAGCTAAGGTCATTTGTGTCTTCGCAAATGAGACTCAACGAGTTCTTTTCGTTCTTTTTCGACTCCAGAAGCGTTTGGGCAGCGGTTCGACCGGTCAAATACGCTCCGTGTACCGTACTATAAAAGGAAGAATGCGTATGCTCGCCAGCAAACGCTATTACGATCTTCGATGGATCGTCCTCTTGTTTTATAGGCTCGGCTAAACAATTGATATCTAATTGACTCGCACCGACCGCCATTGCGGTATAGGAACCGTGAGTGTACGGTTGCGAGTGCCACGAGGTATGTACGCAATTCTTTGGCGCTGGTACGAACGGATCGTTGAGAAACTTTCTCAATATCGTCGTGCACACATCTGCAACCTCCGTTGTACTTAACCGCTCCATATATTCGGCAGCCTTCCCCGAAATCCACCCTAATAACAAGGTTTCTGAAATTTTAGTAAAAGAATATATCTTCCTGAACCATGTTTTGCTAATGTCTTGCTTTTCCTCTTCCGCCAACCCTCTGTCATCCCAGAGAAGCATCACTTCCGACACACCAGGATTCAGAAACGGTCTTTCGTATTCTAAAAATATTTTGTCCACGGTACCGAACAGAAGTCTGTCTATGGCGTCCAGTTTGTATTTAGGTAGAGGCGGATCGAATATATCGTTAGCTTTTTCCTTAAGAACTCCTAATGGCAATGTACAAATCACATGTTCCGCTAGTATCGTTTTTCCATTTTCACATTGTATCTCTATAATGGTGTTCATATTGGAACAGTTATTTTCAGAATTTACATCTATGCAATTTCTCTTTTGCCACCTGCAATAAGCAGACTTGTATATGAACATGCATCGCACGATACCGGCAAGTATCGATCCGTTCGTTTCTCGGAAGTCGTAATATGAAATTCTTCTTACCTAATTTTAGTAACAACGTGTCTGGTAAGAATGTTGTTCTTTGGTATGTGTTTTGCGACAGGTTCCAATATAGCGCTGTATCCGTCTGGAAGACTAATATTGCCACCTTGTAATTCTGCATATGAGCCCATTTCGGAAAGATCAACATCTTCCATACTATCACAGCCAGTAATACAGGTTTCTCTTTTAAGTAAACAGTCGAATAACAATTGTCTAACTCTTCTATCTTCGATTGGCAAAGATGATAAGTAAATCTCAGCCTCTAACGCGACATGAGCGCCGACGCTGTTTATTCCATCGGGGGGACTATAAGGGCTTAAAAAATATTCTTCGCATCGCCTTAGAAAACACACATAAGCTTCGTAGATTTCTTGCAAAACTGGAAAGGGTAGTTGTTTGCCGTCTTCCATAGCCGCAACAACTTTATGAGGCCTTGGTACGCGTACTATGTTTATTAATCCATTTACCATCGCTAATTCAAACATTGGGTTTCCTAAGACTCCGTGGATCCAATTCGCACCTAACTCGACTTTTTCATTGCCTACATTAAAATATATCAGATTATCAAAACTGTTATAATATCAGTTTTGGGTCTTGAAACAGTTACGGAAACCGAAACAATGGAATAACTGACTAACTTTCGATCAGAATCGATACACAACAGTTTGAAACAGTTACTTTCTGAAACTTTTGAGATCCCTGAAATATACACCTTATTTAAATCTAAATTAGAGTTTAATTACAAACGAAAGTTAAATCAGAGTCCCTCGATCTAGTAAACATTTTTATCAATGTTACGATTTATTTATTCAGACAAAGAAGGTAATCGTTATAAATAATGTACCGATTAGTAGGCTAACGATTAAATTTCATAATTACGCAGTAAGAAAGTAATAATTTGACCATTCCTTGAAATACGAAAGGTATACCGGAAGCATGAAAGAATTATTTTGGTTAAAATCAAAAAACCAAAATAAAGAAATTCGAACTCTTATCGATTAAGGGAATTGTAAAATAGGTTAAGTAGAGACTCACCGATTTTTATAGCGACGATACGACCGCCTATCCGATTTCGTGCTTCGACAATCAAAAAATCGGTTTCATGGTTTTTCAATAAATGATTCGCGGCCGACAATCCGGCCATTCCGGCACCGACAATTAAAATTTTACATTTAACTTTATCATTCTCCAACGTACTCGTGGATTCCGCCATGATCATACCATATCAACTGTCAATGATATAACGAACATGGACAACTTATTAATTTTTATCTACGAAACAGTGGACACAAACGTTTCTCCATTTTGTTCTAGATATCGTATGTAAGTACTTTCTAAACGATATGCAGGGAGTTACTTGAAAGTATCCTCCTTGGAATGTATTCGGTCAGAGCTCTTCGGCAGTTTTCATTCTTCACGCACGACAGAGAATACGACTTAAATTCGCACTAAAGTGTGTATCGTCCTTCCACGAGAAGAAAGCACAGCACGGTTTACATCCCCACTCTTGCTGCAGCCCGCTGATTGGCTATTACCGATCTTCGTCACCGATTTCGACCAATGCCCGTGAGTCGGTGGACTGCAACAGGAGTGGGGATGTAAACACGCTGTGCCTTCTTCTCGCGGAAGGACGATAGTTATTTTCATTCCTTACCACACGATTCTTGGCGCGTTAAAACACGAGACGTATTTAAACGCACGCGTGCACGTACGATCAACAGAGAATAAGTAACGGCGTATTTCGTTAAAACAATCTTGCCGCGTTTGTAATTAATGAAATAAAAATACGAGAATTTACGGGCGAGGTGGCATTACGAATTGGTAGTTCAAGAGACCAACACATTTATTTAACGAAGTGGAAATTGCTTTCGGAATAAGATCGGGTATAGGGTATAGTTAGTAATATACGCAGTGTGATAGAAGCCTCTATTCGTCAAAATGAGTTTTCAACCGCAGTAATACAGGTATTACAATCAATTTATCAAATAGCAATAATAACATGGAAACAAATACCGGTATTGTTATTTAAAAAAAAAATACGACCGCTCAATTTTAACCACGACTTAAACTGACTTTAATATAAATAAATTTCTACGGATATTTATACATATATACCTACCGTATACCTGATAGAATACTCAAGTTATTTCTGTCATATCTCAATCATCCGCGGCAATATTCTTCACCGTAAAACATGATCACACTTTTGTTTAAACTTTCGATCGTAGAATAGTCACGGCACATAGCTTCTCAAAGCGTAAACAATAAAATAAAAAACTATATACTACTAAAATAAAATACTTAATACAATCACAATATTGTATTGTTATCACAAAAATACACATAGTAGACTAAGATAACATTTTTTTTTTTATATTAATCACTGTTAACTGCTTTCGAAATTGAAATTTGTTCGATTGCAACAGAATTCATACAATATGTACCTTTTATACATATTTACAGATTATCATTACTAACTGCACAAAACTATTTGTGTTATACATTCCTTATTAGCTAAAATATCAAATAAAATATCTACTTCAAGATAGGTATGTTCTTTTTTTTACCTTTTGGAAGAAATTTTGATTAATAAAATATCATGGAATTTTTCAACATATGTTAAGTACAAACTTTGAGAGATTCTTCAAATGCTTTTCCTACTTTAGATGTACAATTGTATACAAGTTGTTTAATAAATCTAACGAATATTATCATTTTTTGTTAAAGAAAACTGCACATTTCCTTATATAATAATCGGAATACTTAGATTAGCTTTAAATATAGTCCTTTGCTTACACAGTCTCTTGAAATTCAATATTCTAATGACTTCCTTTCAATCTTTTGCTAGACTATACTAATCGAATTTAATTAAAAACATTTTTATAACTATTTCAAGTGAAGATTTCGTTTCCTTAAAACACGTAGAGATTAACAAAAACCATTTTATTTACCAAGTTAACACTTTTAATACTCTTTTGTCAAAAAAATACTATTAACTATCATTGTACAAATATTACACGAATAACAAGAAAACGAATATATTTACATAATGTAAATAACAAATGATGGTATCTCGTTTTATTTTTAACTGGAAACAATTAAAAATTTCCTAAAATTCTTTATACAAAAAAAAAATTTACGTTCGTCGCCAATGTTTTCCGAATAAAAGATAATAAGAAACAGAGAATTTGATTTCCAGACACCAAAGGAATAAAGCTAATATAATTTAAAACAAATTCGAGTATCTACCTTTAAATTCACAATGCTCTTTCACTTAGTAATTATTATTTATATTTGCATATTAATAGTTATTCTTATATCTTTACTGGACATGATTCAGTACATATCATGATATATATATATGTATATATATATATAAGCGCTTTTGTGTTGTCTATGTAGGTGGTTAGTATTCAAATAGAAAATGTTTTTCCCCTCGTTTTTCATCTATTTCAATAGTTTCACGAATTTTTAAATTATACATGTCGGGTGCACAGATGTCGCGCGACCCTTTGCATATTTATATTTCGTTCGATAAACTTGTTAACAAAACAGGAGCAGACGGGGATAGATTTTAATAGTTAAGTATGTAGAAAATTAATTCAAGCACCGTATGCGTATCTTGACTGCTTTGCGCTGCTTTATGCAGGACTTGAATTAATTCGTTGTCCAAACTGTTCATGTAGATCGGTGGCAATTTCATGCCTTCGCTACCAGCTTCATAACCCACCTAGTGTTATATTATAACTTTATTAATGTTTTTTTTTTTTTCCTTCAAAGAACAGAGTATTCTGATAAAATTTTCCTTTCACCCTGCTGTTTTCCTCGGGTCTGCATGACCCTAAATAAAATTTGAACTTTTGCAGGTATTTGTTAACATTACTGGCTGGGTACTTTTCATTGCCTGAAAGAATTTGTGTTTCTAACGCAAAGGAAACACGCGGAAGAAGTAAAAACGTGTACCGTAACTCGGGGAAACAGCAGGGTTAATTAAAAAAATTTAAGAAACTTACGTTATCTGGATGAATGGTAGTTCTAACGCCAAGTTTCATTAAACCAGCAGTAGCTAGAAGATCCAGTAGCTTCACTAAAGCCGTACACGTTGCTTTCGCTATGTTTCCGGATAATTTATTTATATCTACTGGATCATGAACCCCGTTCGGATGGTCGTCAGACTTTGAACAGAAACAGTTCGAGCTACATTTGTTTGATGTCATTTTATAGTAATCGAAAGATAATTTATTATTTAAGAAAGAACATCAAATCGGTCACATTTTGCCAAACTCTGACCTCAACGGAAGACATAAAAACGACAAAATAAGCCAGTTTTTACCATCTTTGTAGTTCTAGCATCAAAGATTCGCGATGATGGCAAATGTAAATGTATATTTATCACTGCACATACCTTAATAATAAATACTTCTCTCCAACGAATGAATCTGCTTGTTCCTTTACAATGAATACCATTACGTACTCTGATAGATGGAATACCGTCCATTGGTTGCCCGTCGATAGGACTCTTAACTCTAAAATCAAATAACGAATCTCAACAGTTAACACGACGAATTAAGATAATTCGAAGAAACAACTATAATGACATTTACCCCAGATTAAACTGAACGTCGTTATCGACCCATTTTATGTTCACTGTCTCGTCCGGCTCTGGTGCTCCTTGTCGACCGCAGCCGATGGAAAAGTCTTGCATATTTCTGAGGGCCGCCTTTAAGGCCTCCATCTTTTCCGGCATTATTTCCACCATCAAACCATCCTCCACTATACTCGATTTGGCTGAGAGACCCATCGATGATTTTAACGCGCCGTTAATAACAATGAAACTCGTCCCCGTCACTAAATCAAGCGACAGACATTAATTTTAAAATATACTGAAAGGCAACGACGCAACATTATTAGCAGTCTTTTCGTCACGTTTGTTACGAATCAAAAACGCACCTGTTCTCGGTTTGTTGTTGATACTTATCGCTTGCGTCTGATAACTGCTCTCGTCGCCCGTGTTTGTTTGTATGCAGACCAAATGCGAGTCCGCGGTTATGCTGAAATTCGATGCGTACGCTAATACATGATCGTTCGAGTTGTTCAAACCTTTAATCACTTGATCGTATCGATTCTTCGGGAACATTACGTCCGTCATTCTGTTCCTTAAGTGTATAGTCAATCCTCTAACGCCGGGTAACGTGTATCCGAAGTTCCTGAAATCCGCCAGCACCTTCATAACCGTGTGCCCTATTTCGAAGTACAAAGCGTCCCGGAACCGGACGGAAAAGAGCGGGCAAGGATAGTAACGATATTCCGCGCCGAGGCGCAAGACAAGACGCAATGGGAACACTTTGGCCCATGGCGTTTCCCACCTGAAGAAATTAATTAATTAGCACAGATTTTTTCGAGTTTCGTTTCTGAAAAATAAAGGAAAGAAACTACGGTAACGCCTTAGATGTTGGTAGTGACCTGAAACGGAGGTGTCGTCATTCCACGAGAAGAAGGCACAGCGTGTTTACATCCCCACTCTTGCTGCAGTCCGCTGATTGGCTGTCACCGATCTTCGTCACCGTTCTCGACCAATACCTGTGAGGCAGCGGACTGCAACAAGAGTGGGGATGTAAACACGCTGTACCTTCTTCTCGTGGAAGCACGGTATATCTTTCTGGAAATAATGTCTTTTTGTTTTCAGAGTTCCAAGAACCGATGGGGACAACAATCGGCTAATTTCCAAGGCATTTCCAAGATCTCTTACAACTTTTATTACAACCGTAACGAAACAAACCTATGCACCAGAAGACCAACTAGGAATGGGGCGGGAGGTAAAACAATCTTTTGTAAACACTGCAACGTTTGTCGTATAAAAAGGAAACCTGCATGCTCCCGCGAACCCAAAAGATTTCCTCCGTGATATATTGAGAATCCCAACTCGGACACCGTATTCCCTGTATTACGACGATTATTAAATTACGTTGCAAATCCGCTGGAATGAAACGTGAAACAATACCTGCGTTAGCTTCGAGGTATAACTCGTTGATGAAAATAAGGAGATCCTTTGGTATCTGGGTCTCATCCGGCAACGTTTCAACTAATAATATAACTTCGTCCTGACCAACGCACGCCAGTCCTTTCGATGTAACGTTCCAACATGTTTTATTTATGCAGCAATTCACTGCAAAGGCGGAATTTGTTAGAAGTTCTTTTTCGAATTGATACACGCGATACTTGTTTCCGGCTAAACTCACAATTTAATATCTTAATATAGGCATAGAGATTCCGATTAATTGCGAACATCACTGGTGGTTCGCATTCATTTTTGATCGTTTTGTAGAGAAGATCTTCATCCGTTACAGCGTGGTACGACACTCCTGTTAAATCAAATGGACCCGTGTAATGTAACGTTAAAGCAAACTAGCTACTTATTTCAGATAGATTCGTTTACTTACGTCCTTTATGTATCGTTACGGTTGGTGGGAGGGCATTGGGATCCTGCGGCACGTAACTCCCGGTATTTGGATCCAGACGCGGCAAGTTCTGTCTTTTGACAGAAGTACTCGGCACGGACGATCCAGGCGTTGGTATAATCATACTTGCCAATTTCCGGTACGGCCGGTTGAAGTCCCATGACATGTCTAGTTCTGTCAGGTCACAGCCAGGCCTTATTCCTGTGTTTTAGTTATAGGTGCATAAAACCAAAACAAACAGGAAGGAACGGGGCCAATGACAAGGTGAAACGTTTTAAGGAGATCGAAAATAAAGAATAATATTGCACATGGAGATGGGAATATAACCTCAACTCAAAGAACTAAAACGTAATGCAGGGTATGTTAGGTACAGATTACAACATAGAGTTATCACCTCTATGTCTCTACAGAGTTATTGCGTGTCAATCATTTAGTAATTAATCGCTTCAGAATTATAAAAAATTCAACATCCTCTGAAAGCTATCGGAGCAAAATTTAGTTCGAGTGCTTAAGCAAGTTGTATAATACAGCAAGTCCTTGAGTTATACAGTGAATTTTTAAATATGGGTTGTGCTCTTTACTTATATCCTCGTACAAAGTTTTTAAAAATATAAGGTTGTCTCAGGATAAAAGTTTTAGAATGAATTAACGACATAAGCCAAAGACTGACAGTATAACAACTCAAACGTTTATGAAACATCAACAACTTTTGACTGAAAAATATATTCATTTGCAATCCAGATAAACTTTCCAGGCACGTATTTCATTCTTTTTGCACCATGTAAGTCTAAAATCATTTAATGTTACATGTAATTTTTACCTACCATCGCTAAACATAACAGACTTTGAAACTTCGGGTCGAGTCTTTGTACCGCCTTCTCTTTTAAGAACTCCAACAGGTACCATGACTGTAGGTGGTGGGGGCAGTCCGCCAGCTAACTGTTGTAAGGGTGGTATAGTTGAACAGTACTCCATGGGATTATTTGGATTAGGCTGTCTCCCCTATAACCATTTGTCGAATACTCCTAACATTCACATTTATTTTTTCATCCAGTAAACACAGATTAGTACATACGCAGAAGTAGTACAATGTTCCTTTGATCGTTTTGGTTCAGTCGATGCTTCCTTAATTAAATAACTAAACAAGTGAACCTGGCTTTAAGAAAAAAAATAACTTAATAAAACAAATACGTTTAACGAAACTTAAGTATCGAGCTCCAAATTATTAATGTTAATATGTCCATGGAACTTAATTTGACCACAAATATTTTCTGTGTTTACTGGACATTTATTGCAATTAAAATGTAAAGCAGCCAAGTAACTCTTCACAAATTACGCTACAGTTAAAAAAAAAAAACATGCCTTATATTTGTAATATATAAATTAATATCTAACAAGAAAACAAGAAAAAAAATATAAAACTAATATTTATAACACGTAAGAAACACAATGCAAATATGTTGAACGTGCTACTAAATTTTATCATTCTTGTAATTTAGAAGAATAAATTCTAAATACTGCAAATTGACTAAAATATGAGACATTGTTTCTGTCTCATAATTGTAAGAAGATTGTGAAGTTGTCTTAAACCTTATGTCCCACAAATTAATCGGAAACAACGAGAAAGAAGTATTCAACAAGTTGTTATAGGTGATTATTAAACTTATGCTAATGTTTAGATTAATTAAAAAAAAAGATGTTTTGCTTAAATATAATTACAATACATACACTACTTTTTAAAATAGTCGATGCAATAAACAGCCAAGTGATAAGTCTTTGGAAAATAAATGTTTATCTGTTCGAAATAAGTATATAATATGAAATAATTCTCTGACTATAAAAACTCAATAAGCCTTACAATCTTCTATGTTTCGTAAAAAATTTAGTTATAAATAAAAAAAAAGAATATCAAATATTTTACATTAAATAAAAATCTAATAGAATTATACAATCAGGCATCTATGAATACGATATCCTATATCACTATTGTCCTAAACAATTGAATCAAATTAATAAATTAATGAAAATTATAAAACAATTAAATATTAATTCAATACTGTATTAATAGAAAACAAACGCTACAAGCTACTAGTAATTCGTATTCTGTGTAACAACACGAGGTCGTACAATGTTAATATGCGCTAGCAGAATTTATGGGTTCATACTTGAAAAAAAGAACAAAGCAATCGTTTACAATATAACTTGTATTCGACGTACCTGGGGCGAATTGATATCGTTGTTGCTCATGCACGTTGGATAATCAGAAGACCATTCTCCTAAACCTTGTCCAGTTTCAGCTGAAAAGAAAAAAAAAATTTGTTTACTACAGTCCCTTTTCTTATATTATAAAAAAAAAAAGTTCTGACAATTACCTTTCGTAAGTAGCTGATAACAGGAAACGCAAACGCGGGAGTCGATGTTACCTTGATACTCTAATTTGTATTTCATACTACAGCATTTGTTGCATAATACCTTTCCGCATGCACGACAGTGATGCCGCCTTTTGATTACTGTAAATTTTACATCGCAGAACATACAACTGGGTGCGTCGCTATCTGGTACCCAGAACGGAGGCTGCTTCCCCAAAGCTGAATTAGATTCTGGTAAGGAATTATCCAAGATATCCGGCGAGGATCCTTGATCTTCTTTCGTGCCATCGACATCGGACGGCACTTGACCCGACGTATCACTCGTAGAGCCAAGTATTTGATGGTCATCTGTATTATTTGTTAAAACGATATCCAAAGTCCGAGGTCGTACCGGCTTCTCCGACTCGTCGCTGGTATCGCTCGTATTTGATTTTATGGAAGCTTCCACGGACTTGGACATTGATTCGTCACAATGCGGCGCCGCGTCGTTCAGATCTTTTATTTCGGACGTTATCGAAATACTTTCTTCGGAGTTATTATCGACGTTGCTTTGCATTTTTAATTCGCAAGCTTGACTATATTGCGCAGGACATTCATTCTGCTCTCTTAATTCCGTTTCAATTTTATCGCTAGTCGATGATTCGTGATTAATATTTATATTGTATGTACAATATTCTTGAACGTCTTTAATATTTTCTGCATTAGGCACAGATTCGTTTTCTAAAGTTATATGAACATCTTCGCGTTTCTCCGTCTCGTTTTTATCCGTATGCGATAACTTTGATTCTCTACTGCATACATTATTTAAGACATCGCTACGCACATCTTTTTTCGCTCGTTCATCGTAGTGTTGTTGATTTTGTTTCTTTAATAAATCAGTCTCTATTTCCGTATCAATTTCTTCTTTCTTATGGTCAATCACCGAAACGATTTCCAATTTTTCATCTAATTCTTCCTGTATCGTTTTAGAAGGTTCTGCAACTGTATCTTTCAACATCGATGATTCATCCTTTTGTTCTTGCGTCGTACTTTGCATTACATTTCCCAATACAGTTTCATGCAGTTTATGCGTCGTAGTGTTTTCGTGCTTATTACTTTCGTTCTTCAATATCTCTTCTTTTTCCAGTTCAGCTAAATACTGAGTCAGTTCCTCTTCCGATAAATTATTGATGCTACCGAATCCAAGTGGTTTATGTTCCAGGTTTAAATTATCCTTGTGTTTTTCGACTGAATCGGAATTTGTTGTATCTAAATTCTTATTTTGCTCTAATTGGTTTACAGGCTCCTTTTTACAACTAGGCTTCTGAGCATAAGGGCACTCAAATAGTGAATTATTTTCTCTGCTTACTGTATCTGTATTTCCATGTACATGATCAAAATTATGTTTATTATGTACTTTGTTGTTTACAACTTCTGCTTCAATGCTTAATCCACTACACGTTTCGACTCCCATTGAATTTCTAAAGAGTTCTGTTTCATTTTTTGTTTCTTCGATATCTGGTAAATGGATATTCTTTGAGCTGTCCTCTTCGATACTACTTTCACAAGTAACAGGCAATTCTAATGTTACGGGTACTGCGACGTCTTGATGACCTGAAACCGATGCTTCTTTACTTGTATTAATTATGTCATTTGTTTGTTTAAGCAATATACTCTCACTGGTATCTGTAACAGAACTTTCAATTAATCGAGGTACTTCGTTTCCGCGCCAAATTGTTTTAGTTTCTACATTGGATTGTACTTCTGGTTCATCTAATACAGAGTGAATACAATCCGAGCTACCAGGCGGCGCGTTTATGTACTCGTTCAAACTACTGAAGACGTTACTAACACTGGGCTTGGTATTAAATTGATTCAGTTTCTTATCGTACCTATTGCCAATCTTTGGACTACTACTACCATTTTGTTGCTTTTGGATCAACTTTTGAGATATGTCATTGTGTATTGTCAAAGGAACCTGTTCAGAGTAAGATGAGACAGCCTGTTTCTGTGTTAGTTTACTGTCATTCGTGCATTCTTGCATATAAAAATGATTTACGCTGTCTACACTATCTATTGTTGATTCGTCTTTACTATAGTCAACAACATCAGGAATTGTGTGTTTGTCACCGACACACATACTTCTCGTAGCTGTTTGTTGTAAATCCTTGTGCCTTTCCAAAGATGATATAACATCGAATTCTTTGTTGGCTTTCCTAGACTCTATCAAAAGATAATTGTAAGGTTTCAAGACCGAAGGTTCCAAGTTACACTTAATCGTGGAAGATGATGCATTGTTCGTTGAAGGATTAACAGATGCTATTTGCTCAGCGCAATCTGAAAGATGTATTAATTGTATGAAAAAGATGTTATTTTTCGTAAAACTATTTTTTCAAAATTAAACGACGGTAAAAACAATTCGATAAGAATCTAATCGAAAGAGACGAGCATAGTCGTCGAAAAGAACAAAATATATCGTGAATATTGTAGAATCCCAAGAGATAAAAACTCTCACCTTCGTTAAATTCAAAATCGTCGAGAACTTTGTCCAAATCGACGGCAAATTTTTCCATTGCGTCGTTAACGTTGTTTATACTAATCACGAAGTCATTTAACACATTTCTGTCCAACTTTTGACAAATTGCGAATACAATTCCATGAAAGGTGTTTGCTGGAACGAGATGTACGACGTAATTTTGAAATTGCTCACTAACTATACGTCAAATATCGTCGCGAACCACGGAACGTCGAGCGATAATCGGCTGGTCGCATCAGCAACTGGACATTTTTAATGATTTGATAAGCCTATTACGGAGAATAAATCATTCCGTGTTACGAATACTTTTTGCGTTAAATATCCTTGATTAGTAACGTGTGTCTTTATGAATCGGTTCCCCTCGATTATCCATGACACGTAGCCGTGACATCGGTGGAAGAGATTTTTATTCGAGCCACACGTCCGGAAAAACGATATGCAACGGTCGAAGGAACGATCATGAATCTTCGGTCATCACGTGGATTAATTGACAGCGGAATAAGTGATTGTGCATGTTCGCACGATACTTGCCCACAGAACTGTCATTCTACTACGTGACTTACGTGAGCGCAGGAACGAACTTCTTCCTATCGATGAATCGAAATTCACGGCCGCATTCTCGATCGATCGATTATCTCAGGCAGCATGTGCAATTTTTCATCGAGAACGCTTTCAAAAAAAAAAATTTAATAGTTCGAATAAACTTAAATATATCGATGATAGACAGGCCTTTGTCTTTTAAATGACGTAGATCGGTGACTCGGAATCGTCACAATTTTTTCGTAACAACGATTTCTCCGATTAGAAATTCCTATGACAGGGTGAATTGTTACGAGTAGTAATAAAATATAAAGGGTGTTCCTTTTCTTTTTGACGAAGACTCACGTGCCGTTGGGTGCGAAACGATCTCCAAACATGATTGGCTAAACGGCATAAACAATTTACTAGAGACGCTGCATGACAGAGATGCCAGAAAAGCACCGCCGGATGCACACGCACACATGCCAGATACGCGTACGTGAGCTCGTGGAGTTTCGGAAAGTCGACAAAGGCAAACTGACGCATGGCCTCTTTCTCGATTCTCCGAAGCTGCCCGAAGTAATTTCGGATCGCCTCGTGGGAGTCGAGAGAGAAAGGCTCACATTTGCCTTCTCGCTCTTAACAACTGAAATCCGACCTCCCGTCAACGGCATACGATTTGGATTCTCGAGCCGAGATTCTCGACTGCCCAGGCATTTTTACTTTCCGACCTATGTAGGCGCGCCTAAGCAAAGTATCCATAATGAAAAAAAAATTTTGTAAAATTTATTTTACGGAAATACACGTTTTAAGACCTCCTGATCATATTTTAATTATTGAAAAAAAAGAAATTTTTTTTTATTCCCATGTATGAGCACACATATGTATATTATTAATACGATTTTTGAAAATCAAAATACTTTAAGATTGAAAATTAATAAATTAAAATGAGATTCCACTCTTTACCAGTATTGTGCACGCTGTGGTATTTTTCAATAAGAAGAGTTCTTACTTTTATAACATAAACAAAACAGTAGAATTAATAATTGCAGAAATTAATTAATAATGATTTTCCTCGATTGTTTTGAAATAACCGTATCAATTGGTTATGACGAACTAAATAGAACTAACTAGAAACAAAGGAAAAGTGATCCCGTTTGCCAGTTTAATACAAAGTATGGGTTGTATCTTAAATTTTAAAAGGACATAGTCGAATATTTTTAAAGGTACAAAACATAGCGTTTCATTGTAGAACAGTAACATAAGTTAGCAGGTAATGTCATAAAACTATTTTTCCCAGCTATATCCCTTTTTACCTGAAGCATAAGGTAAAAAGTACGAGCTACAAGGTACGACTATCCGAAAATCGTTCACATTTTATCAATGTAAATGAAGCGGCCTTTCCATCAGAGTTAGATACAAAATTTTGTTATTTCTGTGAAAACAAAACTTTCAGTAAATGTACGTGGTGCTTGAAATTTTTATGTTTTGACTGTTTTTGTGAAAAGTACCATCCAGATTCATGTACTTCGTACATTGAAAATAACATATGTTAAATGTAATCGGTTAAATTTAACTTTAAAAAAAAATATTCGAAGGTCAGACAAAAATATAATGTCACATTTAGTGTACGATTAAAATATGATTGAAAAAATAAAAGAAAAGGATTTGTTTTGGCAGGGTTTGAACCTGCAGAGCAGAAGAAGCTCGGGACTTGCAGGCAAATACCTTGTCATTCACGCCACGTTGATTGTTGAACGTATTTCTATTTTTGAAGATAAGTACCTGTAATAACTTTAATAATATCTCAAAGTAAAACCTAACCCAAAACCTGGTACCATTCCAACTTTTCCTTGTTAGAAACGAGTTTTCAATTTGTCTTAGCGAAAATCGCAATCACATTTTGCACATTATTCTAAAACATTTGTGGTATTCGTTTTCAATGCGATTTAAGTAAGCATGTAATGTATAAGATTTCATTTAATGTTTTCTTTTCTAGAGAAGATAGAGAAAAAGTTTATATAATTTTTTTTATATAAAATTTAATTCGTCCTAAGATTTATATGAAACATTTAAAAGATTTTTTATACATTATGCCTATATATCGGAACAACTATGAAACAAGAGGTATAATCTGTAAGGAGTGTATGTGTGTGGCTAGGAGAACCGTTATCGTTTGCGTCGATAGGAGTGCTTAGTCTAAGCTAGAGTAGGTATCGAGTGAGGTGTTTAGGTTTAAGCTGAAATACGTTTTAGAGACTGCGTCTCGAACGTGCGTTTTGTTTAGATCATTATTATAAGATAGGAATAAGGAAGGGTCGACTTTGACTGCAGGAACGTCACTCTGTATCGAACGTTAGTCAAGAGCAATCACAGTTTTACGTTTATGATCTTTTACGTTTACGTTTTATGTCTTTCTTTTATGTTCTTTATGTTAAATAGTTAGTAAATATTAAATAATATAATTACATCGTTACGTTTAGTGTTCACGTATTTGAATCCGTCCACACGCCTTTGAAATGAGAACATAAAACTTAAATGTAAAGTTTCATTTAAATTCATTCAGCTATTTATATTCAATCGTATTAATAATATACATATGTGTACTCATACATGGGAATAAAAAAAAATTTCTTTTTTTTCAATAATTAAAATATGATCAGGAGGTCTTAAAACGTGTATTTCTGTAAAATAAATTTTACAAAATTTTTTTTTCATTATGGGTACTTTGCTTATGTGCGCCTACATAGGTCGGAAAGTAAAAATGCCTGGGCAGTCGAGAATCTCGGCTCGAGAATCCAAATCGTATGCCGTTGACGGGAGGTCGGATTTCAGTTGTTTAGAGCGAGAAGGCAAATGTGAGCCTTTCTCTCTCGACTCCCACGAGGCGATCCGAAATTACTTCGGGCAGCTTCGGAGAATCGAGAAAGAGGGCATGCGTCAGTTTGCCTTTGTCGACTTTCCGAAACTCCACGAGCTCACGTACGCGTATCTGGCATGTGTGCGTGTGCACCCGGCGGTGCTTTTGTGGCATCTCTGGGCCACACTGATCATACTAGTTATTTTAAGAAAAAAATCACTAGTTTGGGCAGCAATCTGATTAATGCAAAATTATATAGTGATATTTTGTTTTTAACGTGTGCACACAGTTGCTTACTCAACCAATCAAATAAATGTTCAAAAAATTTCAAACTCAAATTCGTTAATGTACACATTAACCTTCGAGGAGTAAAATATTTAAGGTAAAGCACAATTTCTGTTTCCGCTTGTTTCCAGAACTGTAACGAGATTATTAAACGCACAAACGATTGGTAGTAGGAAATTATGGAGATGGTATAAATTTTAATTATTACATATATATTTCCAAGGTGTTTTACTTATATTTATGTTTTCTTACAGATTCTGTTCATATATTATCCACTTGGCGACAGTGTGTTGTAATTTCCTCGTAATTTTATGAACTAATTGATCACTTTTTAAGGATGGACGATTGTGCTACAAAAAAATATTCTGACAAATATAAAACATAAACCAAAAGGAACCAAATAAACCAAAAAAATTTATTAACTAATTGATTAGTAGACTTTTTAAATATGGATGAATATTGTGCCCCACAATGGACAGACTTTACGTGCAGTCCGCAATTGCCATCCGATAGTTTTTTTGATGTACATATTGAATATGAAGCACATAAACCTTTGATGCAATTAAAGTCTAACTTGAAATCCAATTTATCTGTATTTCACAAGAATAATAGTATAGATAAATCAACAAATACAAAAACACATTTCGATGATAGCTTAGAACTTGTACAAAATGCTAAAGATAACATAACATATTCCATACCACATAATAATAAAAAGCATTCTGTGAAGACAAAGACTGAGAATAGTTTAAGCAAAGTTAAAGACAAAACTAAAATGTATAAAGACAAACAATCACAGCCTGAAGTACTCATGTGCCAATATCGCAAGCAACGTGTAGTAAAGACTCATCCAATTTCTCCACCATTGAGAAGTGTGCAGAGAGTAGGACGTACTAATAATTTAGGTAAAGAGGAACGTGAAGCCTTACAACTTGAAGACATGAGGAAACATAAAATAAAAGCAAATCCTGTACCACTTAACATACTCAAAGCTCCATCCACTTTAAAGAAAATAGCAAAAAAACCACTTATCATTCCAGAAAAATCTTGTTCAACTCAGCTGAAGAAAATGTGTCACGCATCAGGTTCAGAAATAAATACAACACAACATTCTATAAACAATAACGTAAAATGTGCGGAGAAAAAATTGGAAAAACTAAAGAATTTACAGATTCAAGATAGCAATAAAATAAAAGTCGAATTTCATGCAAGACCCGTACCAAAATTTTTAAAATTGACAAAACCGATTGAAAAACAATCAAGAACAATTGAAGAACAAACTGTGAAGAAACGAACAGTAGTTTCGCATCCGTTTAGTTTTGCAGAAAGGGACGAACGTCTTGCTCAAAAGAAAAAAGAATTTGTTAAGCAAATGCAAGAAAATGATAAAACGATAAAAGTATTTCGTGCCAATCCTGTACCAAATTTTAAGAAAGTCAAAATACCAAATGTAAAGAATACTGTTAAATCAGTTACAACCAAACAAATAAAAAGTTGCAACAATCAGGAGAATAAACAGCCAAATATTCGCGTTCCTCTAATTGATACAAAAAGGAAACCGGCAATGCAGAATATTGTAAAGAATATTAAAAAGAAGGAACACGCTTCTTAAATTCCACTTACATCTGTATCCAGCTTAAAATATTTACCTTATAATTATTCTGAGTATATGTAGTGAGTATATTATTGAATATATTAATATTTTCATGTATAGAATATTATTTTTAATTATTGCCCTTTAAAAACCTACGGAGACTACGCTATCTATTTTCTACGACCCAGCAACCCACGGTATAAACAAAACCTGCATGACCCACTGCTGTAACAGCAGATAGAAAAATATAAAGTTTAAAGTAATCGTATGCCGATTATCGCGAGGTCGTGTTTCAGCTGTTTCTCTTTTACAAGAGCAAGAAGGAAAGGCTCACACTAGCATTCTTTATCGTTTTCCCGAAATTGTGCGAAGTGTCGAGCTCACGTACACATGGCTCGTGCGGTAGTATATGCCTGCTATCCCCACCACTCGGTTAGACACTAAGGAAATTCGTCGTCACTATTGTCGATTTCGATGTACTCAAATATGCCCGATCTGGCCACACTGATCCCGACACCAGTTACAGTACAGTAGGCTGTAGTGGTATATGTGTATACCGCATAATATACGTAGTAAGAGCTAGCAAGACGACGTTGAACGAAACATAATTGAGTTACGATAGACCGGATTTTTATATATCGAAAATGCAAGTTGAAAATCCGTAGAAACACGATGTATTTAAAAAATGCCAAAATGATCTCGTTCCTTGGAAAAAGAGTTATCTTATCGCAACATAACTTCTTAAAAATTCCAAAACGTAATGGTTATTTTGTACTGTACGTATCATTGCAGCTATATTATTTAAAATAGAAATTATTGCATTTCGTTTTTCTAAATAAACTTTCGTTTATTAAAGTACGTTGTATCGGTTTCGTTTATTTTACGTAAATATGGATTCTTCTTGATACATAGTAATAATTCTTGTATTTAGTGTTCCAGAAATTGGTGAAGATTTACCAGGCAAATATCCTTTACTGCAAGAGGATAAAAGTATTGCATTTAATACAGTTACGGTAGAAAAATGTGTAGCTGCTATTGGAAAACAGTCAATAGAATTTGAAGATGAAGTCAAAATGTTAGGGGCAAGAATTAAAAGTAATTTTACCTTGATGCCTGCTGCCATTTTTTAATTTATATCTTGTAATATCATTTATAGTTAACAGTGTTTTCTTTTAGACGTTGCCAATCCTTGTCCAAAGAACCTATTTGAAGATGTATTAAACCCTTTAGAGGAATTTTACACATCTTTGAATATAACATGGAGTATTTCAAAAATATTATACTTTGCAAACCATTGTGTAATGCCCACACAATATTACGCACGTATTCATGAGCGTGCTAAAAGAGCTGCAGCAAGTAGACTTATCAACATGCCGATTTATGTGGCATGTAGGAATATCATAAACAACAAAGAAATTAAATTGCCCAATGAACAAAACAAAATTTTATTAAAATACATATTGGAAGGAAGACTAAACGGATTGGATTTGTCAGAGAGAAAGAAGATAGAACTTATAGAATTGTCATTCTCATTGATAAATAAGACCAAAGAATATGCAGAAAAATTGGAGGTTTGTAAATGTAATCGATGTAAACCAGCGTGAATTCTGATATCGTCTTCTATAGGTGGCTATAAATCAATTTACTTTGACGTTAAGAGATCCTATGATTCTAAGGGATTTTCCAGAGGAAGTTTTAAAAATTATGGCAAAAGATAATAAACAATATCAGGATGGTCCTTGGACAGTAACTTTAGATCCTATTATAAAAAAGTCATTCATGGGTATGAAAATACAATGCACATGTTTAAAAAAAAAAACGAAGAATTAGCTTGATATAGTTCTAAAAATATTTATTTGTTTTCACTGTGTACTAATTAGAGTATTGCCCCGATCGTGCTCTGAGGTGGAAAGTTTGGGATGCAGATGTCACCAAAACATCTATATTACAAGAGAGATTGTTACAAACGAGTACATTATTAGAAGAGATTCGTTTTGAACGAAATAAAGTGGCAAAGCTATTAGGATACAAAACATATGTTGATTTAAGAATGGAAACTAAAATGGCTGGAAGTTTGGAAAATGTTTATAGTGTGCTGGACACTTTACTGGATACAGGTAAAATTATTACTGTTATGGATAAACATATAATAAATACATATCTATTTTTTGTTTTTTGTTTTTAATAAATAAAAGCTCGTCCTGCTCAAGAATACGAAATGAAACAACTCAATGAATTTGCAAATGAAAGAGGTATGGAAGGCAAACTTCGACAATGGGATGTGCCATATTGGAGTAGAAAACAGCTATATAGTATATACAAGTAATTGAGAAGTGAGCTTTATCTCTGGTGAAAAGAAAAATTATTATACTTAATACCATTTTATTGTAACATCATTTATAGGTGTAGGGAAGAAGATCTAAAAAATTATTTTCCATTGCCAAAAGTATTATCTGGTATATTTGAATTAACCGAAACTTTGTTCAATGTGAAGATTGTTAAAAACACAAAATTAGATGTTTGGCACAAAGATGTCCAGGCTTTCGATATATTTAATCTGAAGGAATCAAGAACGGATCCAGTAGCTAGCTTTTACTTAGATGCCTATAAAAAAGACAGTGATATTCGACTATCGCAAGGTATAGGATACATGGTAACGATAAAAGAAAGAAGTAAAGCAAGCGGCACAAAACCATTAGCAGCATTGATATTCGACTTTCAACGACCATTTGGTGAAAGACCATCCTTATTGTCATTCAAAGATGTCAGGATTCTCTTTCAAAAGGTAAATTATTCATGTATAAAATCAAATATAGAGTTAGAAACATTTTTTATTTAGATAAACTTTTCTGCGAATAAAAATGTTTTATCTAGAATAAGATTTATACAAAATTATGGGAATAACAACTTTGATCAAATATTATGAAATTAATTTGTTTACTACATTAATTTCTGTTATCTAGTTTGGACATATGCTACAACACACGTTAACGACAGTGGAATATGCTGAAATAGCTGGATTTTCGTCTATAGAATGGGACTCAGTCTTCATTAATGATTATTTTTTTGAAAATTGGTATTTTTCAAACTTTCTTTCTTATTTTTTTTTAAATATCTTTTCATGTACGTAACCTTTATTCGTGTACAGGTTGTACGAGCCATTTGTTTTACAACAAATCTCTTGTCATCAAGATACTGGGGAACCATTATCTACAGAAATGATCGAAACACTGAGAAACTCAAAATCGCATTTAGCTGGCTACAATCTATGCCGGGAACTATATTTGTCGCGGTTCGATTTAGAATTATATTCTGGGTAAGATCGAGTGCGTAAATGCTAACAAATAGTAATTACATTCAGTAATTTTTTTCATTTTTAGCGATGAATTCTGGAATAATATAATGAATCGCTTGTGGAGTAAATATTTTGTAATCCCGCAACATAAAAGAGATTGTCATATCTGTTCGTTCGCACCTATTTTTAGCGGAGATTGGGCGGCTTCTTATTACAGGTGAGGTTTGGAAAATGGACAAAATATGAATAATTTAGAATGTCTGAAAATCACAAGAGATCATATGTTTTATTTTTAGTGATATTTGGTCGCAAATGCTTGCTGCTGATCTGTATAATGTTTTTCAAGAAATATTGATAAACAAAGATAAAGAAGCATTGCAGGAAATGGGAAACAGATATCGCGAAACATTTTTATCTTTAGGAGGTAGTTATTCCACAAATGAAATTTTCAGAACCTTCAGAGGAAGAGATCCTAATCCAAAAGCACTTTTGACAAATCTTGGATTGGACACCAAATCCAGTATGTTAGAAACTAATGATGAAAAGTTAAAGTAGAATTTAATATAACTCAATCACATAAGTATGTAAAAAATTAGTTCTCTTTTGTACAATAGCAATGAAATATAATTTATACAAACATAAATATTGTAAAAATATTGTTCCTAGTTATAGGAGTTTATTTTATTTGTAACATGATACATGCTTTTATATTTTCATCAAGATACTCGTTATTTAAAATATTTAAAAGTAGATTTCGTTAAATACATTGCACACTTTTATAAAATTTTAGTCATGAACTATTTTATATTTTAAATGAAAATTTCGAATATTTTATCCAGTATTATTCTTAACAATTATAATTATTATTTATAATGTAATACATAAAAGTATTGATTTTAAACTAATAAATGATCAATAAAGTAAAAAAGAATTTTTATAAATAAACAATTTAAATATATATGCATATTCAAATTTATAAATATGCGTTTCTATTAATTAAACTAAAGCGACTGTAATGATACAAATAAAAAGAAAGACTATTACTACCCAATAGCCACATGTACATTCTTTGATACTAATATTTTGTACCTGACGTATCTTGGTAGCTAACGAATTATCGGTTCTATCCATGTGATTGGCTAAATTATCAAGTATTTCTAAATAGAAACAAAGATTTTAAAGTAAGTTTGAAATCTTGTTGTACTTTTCACTTACAAGGAATAAGAAAAATTAATTTTGATTTACCATTTTGATGGCCTACTTCGTTATTGATAGTTACACCAATTTCTTTTTGCCTTGCAATAACTTTACACAACTCTTCCAATCCCTTATCTTGTTCTAAAATAAATAAAATAAAATAATACACGAAAGTATAGATAAACAAGAAGCTATACTAATCTTGTACATACCTTGTAAAATTTCATTGTGTCGATTTACATGATTTTCAACAGATACTTGAACATCTATAGGTTTCTTGTCGTCGTCGTCGTCGTCGTCACCTGCCCAAGAAGTTGTACCTCCATCCGCAAAAGCCGATCCTCTAGACGTAAGTAAATTTGCACGAGAATTTGCAAGTTCATTTATTTGGGAATCATACAACTTTTGCAACTGTACTTCTTTGCTCAATAATAGCTCTATCTGCCGCATTCTTCGTTCTGCTTCTTCAATAGTTCTATATGCCTTTATACTTTAAGGAAAAAATTTTCTTGAAATAGCAAATTTTGTATCTTCACCAGATAAGTAAACGAAAGGATACATAGTTTTGGATTTTGATGCATCGTCCACTTTATTCTTAAGTTCTTGAACTTCCCTCTTGTATTGTTTCAGATGAATTCGTATATTTACAGATAAGTTTGCATATGTCTGTGACTTCCTTGGATGTCTATTACGAGCAGTAAGTTGTTCCATGATTTCTCTGAACAGTTTCAAACAGGCATCATATTCCATTAACCTGTCCAATTTAAAAATAGTAAATTTAGTCAGAAAAGTCAATAATGTCATATATATATATATATATATGCAAAGTATGTATCATTAGACTTCACTGGACAAACTAAATACAAAAGTGAACAATTTCAAAAAGTTCAGAGAGTGAATTTCAGTTTTAGTGAGTATTGTTTACATTTATCGATGCCAATTCTATATATCGAATTTACCGAAATGTCAAAACATTAAGTGCTGTGTTGTATAAATTAAGATTTTTACCAAGGGTCACTGTCTTCGATATAAACAAGTGCCATTTTTGTAGAATTGTATATAAATTTGATGTATAGGAGACTGTTAACAGTAGATTGACATGTTGCTAGGTATATAGTAGATGGTGAAATCGCTCATATTAACTCCTTACGTGCGAATTATAATATGTGATATGATCAACTATTTTGATAAATTAGTGACATATTCTTGTAATTCCTATAATTATCGACGTAACATCACAAAGAAAGAAAATGATTATTCTCTCGCGTTATGCTTGTATTTTAAGATCTTTTATACGCATTGATTATCTGAATACAATCGTGAAAAATTTAATTTGTTAATACTAGATATATGGACATTGATTACACATATTTTCATCGAAACTTATCATGTCGACAGTTACGTTAAAACGCGATTCCGTAAATTTATCGATAACCGTGTGATTACTCTTCGTCACACAGAAACACACGTATAAATATATTAATAAAAAAAAGGAGTTCGAGATTTCATGTAATCCATGTAATAGCACCGAGTCACACAGAAAACGGGAAAGCTCTGTTCGAACCACCGATAGACGATTTATCATCAAAAAATTGCGAAGAATGTAGCGACGTATCCATAAGTGAGCGCATGCGTTGCGACGTTAATTAAAGATGATCGCGGTGGGGATTTAGCCCGAAGGAGAAGGGAAAAAGAGATCGTCCGTGAGAGTAAAACAAAGAAAACCGAAGGGAAGATTCACAGGTGCGACGAGGAAGAATGTAGTTATAGTGGTGAGACGCGAGATCAGTTATATTTTTATTGTCGACTGACATATTTCGCGAAGCTGCCCGTAACGAATGTTTGACATCGAGGAGGGAAAGAGAAGAAATGCCTGAAAATGTCGGGTAAAAGTGAAACTCGGTGATCTAAGCTGAACAAATCCGCATGTAGTGAAGGGAAGTGAATTTCGGTGGATTATTCGCGTTCTCTGTTGGAAGGTCACGACTGTCGGTAAACGGTTGCGTCGGATACTGGTTATTTGAAAGTGGGGAATCTCCGAGAAGCTGAATCGTACAGGTCAACACGCACGGTACGATACGATACGAAGGGAAAAGGAGACCACGTACTACCAAGATACGTCAACGAGAGAACGCGCGTATGCTGCAAATCGTTCGACAAAAATCTGCGAATGGAGCACGGGTGCGTCCACGAAACGAAATTTTGCGCACGAATGGGAGTACCGTTGTTATTGTTGTGCATATATTGATTTTTAACGCGCGAGCCATAATCTCGACACTTGTTCTGTGTTATGAGAAAAAATGTTGTTTATTAACTTTTTCCTATTTGTGACTGTGACTAAAATGGACGCTATAAACGTCCACGATTATCTTTCTTTTTCTTCAATTACATTAAGCTGCAATTATTATTTGCAACGCTGATTTTTCTCAGATTAAAATATGAGTAGTACCGTGGCAACGGAATCATCCATGATCGTAAGCTCTTTGCTCAACGGTATGACATCTACAACCACCGATCCTTTAATTTCCAAGGGAAAAGCAGCACCAATATTTTTACAGACAAGAGCTGCTCAAGGTATTGCCGGTGCGTTTGTTTGGGCAGCACTCTTCTTAACTTGTCAACAGGTATTTTCTTATGATTAGTAATCCTCTGTTAAAGGGAAAAGCCACAGTGACGTCTAAACATAAAAGCAAATTTTAAGAATGTTTTTGGGGCAATTGAAACCTCCTCTAGTAAATCTTTAATGTTTTTGAAAAGCACATTTCTTAAATCACTTCCTGTAAAAATTTCATATAAAAATAATAATAATAATAATAATAATAATAATAATAATAATAATAGGAACCAATGTAAAAGGTTACCAAAAGTTTATTGAAAGTGAGTAGACATGTAATGTTTTGCTGCAAGTTTTGAAATAGAAAGTTGTGCAATTTTCTTAAATTATAAGTAATGATCGGATCAATACAGATATTATTGATGATATTCAATCAATTTATTACCAAAGTACTTAATAGGAGAAATTAATTAATTAAAATGTTAAGTATTTAGTGTCAATTTTCAAAAATATCACTACTCATTGATTTACATTAATATTTTAAGAAGTAATTCTTAAAACCCCAAAATATTAAAGAGAGATAAAAGAAAAAATGTTGATTTTTTCAATTCGTCACGGTGGTCCCCTCTGATACGAAGAGTGTAAAGTATCATTTTTATTTCATTTTGTAGATTTACCAACATCTAAGGTGGTACACGAATCCAACAGAACAAAGATGGATAGTGAGAATTCTGTTTATAGTCCCAATTTACGCAACGTATTCTTGGGTCTCCCTTTTATTTTTTAACAGCGAAAGTTATTATGTTTATTTCTTCACTGTACGAGACTGTTATGAAGCATTTGTTATATACAACTTTTTGTCTCTATGCTACGAGTACCTGGGTGGTGAAGGAAATATTATGTCCGAAATCCGTGGTAAACCTATTCGTTCCAATTGCCTATACGGAACATGCTGCCTAGTTGGGAAAACATATACTATCGGTTTTCTTAGATTTTGCAAGCAAGCCACCTTGCAATTTTGCTTAGTAAAGCCAGTAATGGCGTTTGTCATTATATTTCTTCAAGCATTTGGACATTACAGAGACGGAGATTGGTCCCCGGACGGGGGCTACATTTACATAACTATAATTTATAATATCAGTGTGTCCCTTGCCCTTTACGGACTTTTCCTCTTCTATTTTGCTACAAGAGACCTGCTAACGCCTTTTGAACCTGTCTTAAAGTTTTGTACCGTCAAGAGCGTCATTTTTCTTTCATTTTGGCAAGGTAATATTTAATATATAATATAATATCGCATAAGTTAGCGCATACCGATTATTTTGTCAATTAAAGAAATCACTTTAATTGCTTTTTTAACTAATGAATTTAAATCATTTATAATTTATATGGATTCATTTTTATTTTAGGAGTTTTACTGGCTATTCTTGAAAAAGCAAATGTAATTTCACCTATAAGCTTAGGCCAGTCGACGAGTGCGGGCACTGTTTCCGCTGGTTATCAGAATTTTTTAATCTGCATCGAAATGTTATTTGCCGCTATAGCGTTACGTTATGCGTTCCCCTATCAAGTATATTCAGCTGGTTGTGTTACAGATTCAAGAGGAAGAAGTGTAACAATGCAAAGTATTAGTAGCAGTTTAAAGGTACACCATTACATAAGTTTGATATTTTTCTAGGAATTAAACTAATGAAAATATAACTAATCCAATACCGTTTACGCGTAGGAAACTATGAATCCAAAAGATATAATGACTGATGCCATCCACAATTTTCATCCACAATATCAACAATACACACAATATAGTTCAGGTATGTACAGTTCATCTTTTCAAAGATGTTTGTTTTGATAAATATTGTCTTTGAAGACTTTTTATTACTTATTTGATCTGATTGATATATTTTCGTATAGCATGATGTAGTGAATGATGAAATCTAAAATCATCTGTATTTCATTGTTCATTTATATTTTGTTAATTTAAATTTTACTATACTTCATAAATGCAATAGAAAAATCTTTTAATTTAAGGTTTGAAAATCGTTCAAAATGTTTCATCCGAATTTAAACAAAGTAAATGAATATATTGATTTTCTGTATATGTGCTGCAATTGTATTTGTATCTTTCAACATACTTTACTGCCAACCACTAAATGCGCGCAATAATACACAGGGTATTTTATAATAGATGGTACGATCAAACGGGTAATGACTTTATATGAAAATTAAGTAGAAAATATAGAACAGCATTTTTTTTATACGGGAATTTAATTTTCTAGAAAATTGATTTTTAAAAATTCGTTTCATATAGCTATGGGTTACCACTACTTGCGTTTGTGTTTATAATAAACATTGTGAACATCACGATTATCTTTTTTATCAGTCCTACTAGCTTACGTTTATCCTCGATATAAATTCTTACTTTTTATTATTCCATCTGCATAGCACGCTTACCAGCTGAATTTTCAAATTCGATTTTCTAAAAAACAAAGTTTCGTATGAAAACATTCTAATCCATATTTTCTACTTATTTCACGTCGAATCACTATCTTTCCCATTGTACCAATTATTATGAAACACCGTGTATATTAATTTATATTTATCTTTTGCAATTAAATTATAACGAAGTCGTTCATTGAAAGACGGAAAAATTTTCTATCGTAAGTTCAATTTATACGTGCCAATTAGCATTAAGTTCTTTGAAGGCACTTTCTGTTTACTGTTTTTCAGACGTTAATACCAACTTGCCGTATGAAAAACTATGAGAGTGCGAGGCATCACTTTTTTAATTTCAAGAAATTGGACATGAGGCATTTGTACAATTTTAAATGGAGTTTGAAAAATTCTTAATACTACACTGTAGATTATTAGAACTAATGCTACAAATTTACTTGACGTTTTAAGTTCGAATGAAGTTGCAGGGCGGGCAAAGAGTTCTCTGCTCAAATTATGATTTAAGGTTTATACTAAAATCAGTATATGTATATACTAAACATACATGCATACATATACGTATTTATATAATACAATTCATTCATTTTGCAATTAATAAAATTTACTGTACGATAGAAATTAAGCACTTAACACAAGAGCACTTAGAGTACAGTGTAATTTCATAAAAAGTGTTGCTTTCTAATAACTGCAAAAGACAAATAATGATTGACTACTATTTTGTGGCAGTATTGTAATAATATATTATTTTATTGATAGAGCAGAAATTATTAAAGGGCATAATATTATCTTATAATGCTTTTATGTATTTATGAGACTTCCTTATTGTTCTTCATTTCACACATAAAATAAATAAGTTACAAATAATATTATGACGTATGGGAGTTTGCCTTTTATTTTTATTTTCAATATTTCAATAAATCAACGTTTCGATCGTACGATTATGTAGCTCTCTTCGAGAGAATACCTTAAATAATACAAAAATATTGATAAAAACACGAATTAAAATATATAATAGCTTATGAACGTATTTTTGTATTATTTATTTATTTTTCTGAAGAAAGCCATGCAAGCACGTGGACAAAACGTTGAGTTTAAAAATAATCATAGATTATTCTGCTATAGCTCGTTATTTCTTTAAAAAAAATTTATAATTTTTAAATTTTATTTCCAATATCTAAAAATTTAGGTGAATATTATTGGAGGTTGTTATCATTTTGTAGTTTCTCACTGCTCCAATGAGAATTATCTCCTGTTTCTTGCTTTCCTTTTCTTTGGAGGTAGAGTTCCGTTTATTGGCATTCTGACTGCTTTTGTCAAATGATTAAACAGGATGAAACAGTTGTATAATTTGATTCTTTGTGTTTGTTTCAATTTAATTAATTATACAAATCGAAACGTGCATAAAGAATCAAGTTAACTTTACACTATCAATTTCTGAAGTGGTAATTTTATATTATTGACTTCCGAAGTAGATAAACAATAATTAAAATAACGAAATTTTTCGAATTCGCAGTGTGCGTAGAATTAATTTCACGTTTCTATCGAATCACTATAACTTCCGGTTTTCATAACATTTCTCCTTTTATCTGCCATTTCTAAACTTTACTCGAAGGCACGTTATATTTTTTATTATTCATAATGTCGCTAATAATTTTGTAAGACTTAAGACTGGATCGAATCGCCCTTCATTTAATTCATATGTATTTACATACACGCGAAATAAGAATCATTAATTAACCCATCACCCATAAATATTTTGTCACTGACATAACATTTTGTATTCATTGTTTAAATCGATATTGATATATTAGATAAATTAGAAAATTAGACGTATTAGAAACATCATCAGTAGTAAACAACTTTTCATCTATGTAACATGTTCACTTCTGAATTTGTGCAACAAGAAATTCGTTAAATCTACCTATCTATGTTATGTATGCATTTTATTATTTTTTTTTTTCTAGCGTTGCAAGAATTAGTAAATTTGAATTATTTTTATAACATGCATGTTTCAGTTAGTATGATTGTGTTGTGCATAATATATCTTCCGTATCGATGTCGAGAAAATAAAAGTGCTGTATGTATTAACGGTGTGCGTGAAAAAAAAGAAATTTGTCGGGTCACGTGTAACATTGTACATAGCCTAGAATCGATGCAATGAATAATGCTTTAAACGAAAATGGAAAATTCACGCATGATTATTCGTTGTTCGCTGACTGATCGATGTATCCGTTAGTCACGGTTTTGCCAGCGATATATACATACGTGATGTAATGTAACAATCAGGAGCTCCAAAGGGACAACGTGGTATGCGGATATCCAGTTTTGATCCAGACGATCCGCAGAATATGCCGGTACCGCCGCCGCAAAGACGACACACTTCTCATCAACGTGTTGCGACAATTTCTCAAAATTATAACGAGAAAACAATGCTGTTGAGCAGTGACGATGAGTTCCAATAGATGCAAACAACGCGGGTTGCACGCGAACGAAAAAAAAGAAAAAAGAAAAGAAAAGGAACACTACATTAACGTTGGACTTTCGTGAAATTATAAATATCTGGTCTCGAGAAAACTACATATAAACCGTTAAATTGATTGTACATCATTAAGTAGGAACTTGACTCGCTCACAGAACAAACGGCAGATAGACAAGAAAGAAAATCGTATGATGTAAAATAATACATCATACTGTAATAGTTCCATAATGTTACATCCATGTTAATACATGTATTATGTTACATCATGTAAACATAGCATAGAAGATATTTATTTTAATATGCTGAACGTGTTTAAGGCAGTGTTACCTATAGAGGTGGTTCTACTACAATAATGTAACTATCTTTTAATTTACGAGGCGATCTAAGTTTCTTGAAAGAAGGCATTGTACAGTACTTAATATCTGAATACTCACAAATACGTTGCCGTATTATTTACCGTAGCCGATTGATATTTTTACACTTTTAACTAACATTATCTTATACGTTTTTACATAAATATTTCCAATTCGAATGAAATTAACGTAAATTTTTGCCAATGAAAAAAACACTTATTTTATGAAATACACAGAGAAAAGTACATCCAATTCTTGCACGTGTCCGGGAAATATATAACTGAGCCACAAAATAAAAACTCTTTGCGTCCTAGATTAAAGAACTAATGAGTGTATATATCTTTAAAATAGAATGTATTTAATAATGCAAAAATTAAAAAACTTTCCTTTGATGTATTTGTTTTATTCGCATATAAGTATTTGATACTTCATGTTTTGCGTTAGCGATTCTACACATATACACATTTGATATATATAATGTTCTATGTTCTGTGTTCCATCGAATGCTTTATAAACAATGGAAACGAATCTTTAAACTCAAACTTTATTTTCTATACAATAGAAATTTTTCTGTATACATAAATTATATTTATGGAGAGAATATATTATTCTGCTCCATAAAATAACAATAAAGTTAATTTGTTGAAAGTAAATCGCTATATTTGTACAATTACTAATTGGTATCTTAAATTACTTTTAATTCTTATTAGTAAAACACTTAGCAAATGAGATAACAATGAAATCAATCAGAGCAATTTAAGCGTGAATTAATTCAACAGAAGATCAAATCTATTTATTCTACAAAAGCATTATCTATAATTATATCAATACATTGAAACATTACAACTATCAGTGAAAAAATAACTTAATATTTTGTCAACAGCCTTTCTTTTGGCAGAAAAAATATATATATACACGAACATATAAATATATATACATATACACATATATATATATATATATATATATTTATATATATTTTACCATATTACTCTACATTTATCTATATATATATATATATATATGTATATATGTATATATATATATATGTATATATATAGATTTTTTTTCTTTGTAGATAAATTTCTTCTGGTCGCGACATAGTAATACAGAAAATTACAAATTACATACAAGATTTATTCTTTGCTTACCAACCAATCCAGTATATATCTTTATTTGTTATAACTTTTTTCCATCCGTGCCAAGGTGATTCTAAATCTTGTTCCGACGACAGATCGTTAGATCCTTTTTCGAAAGTTATATCGTTTAACTGCTCGTTGTTTGATGCACGATCTTCGGATTCCGACGATTTACGTTTGCTAGACAACGAATTATTGTCTTCGTCCTCTATATCTTGATATTGTAATTCATCATCCATGTACACGACAACATCATTCTCCTCGTTAGTATATTTATTGTATTTTTCAGCGACATTTTGCTTTAGCACTTTACTATTGAATACTTCAGAACAATCTTCCTTGTTTTGATTACTGACACCTTCATTACCGTTATCGCCGGTTATTATCGGCTTGAATCCTATCGATCTGAGACGAGCAATCTTCGAATCGCTATCCAAAACGTTAACAGGTACAAATGCAGACGCCCTTTCCATCGAAAATTTACTTTGCCCCTTCGTATTCAAAATATCACTATTTAACGGTACATTCGAAGTCTTGGGGTGCTGTATATTACGTACAGTCTCTGTACACGATTTGTATCTTTCATTAGGCTTGTGTGCTCGTTGACCTTTATTCGCGGCAGCAAATTTAGCAGCTTCGTACATTTCGGATTTCATGTCTTTAAATTCACCGTACTCCACCTTGATAAAAGTGTAATGCTCGTTGCGGCCATACTTTTTAACCAACTCGTTCGATTTCAAGTTTTTCATCGGGGGTTCTTTAATGAGACTGCATTGAGTCACAGCGTCCGTCTTACAGTTCTCGGTGAATTTTATTTTCGCGGGAATTTTCTGCATCAATTTTCTTTTCCGATTTACGATCATCGTTGTATCGTTGGTTTGTACACTTTTAATATTAGCCTTTACAGATTTTGGTTTCTTATTATTGTCGTTCGTACTATTCTTATTGTTATTATTATTGTTATTATTATTATTATTATTGTTTATCATTTTTTCTGTTATATCGTTCTTGTCCATCTTTTTGAAAACAGTGAGATTCTTGTGTATTCTAACATTTCTAGTTTCTTTATCTCTCATGCTTTTATAGCCAGCAATTTTCGTGAGTTTATTTCTATTCTTTAAGGTAGATCGTTGTTCAGATATTTCTGAATTAATTCGGCATTTATTCAAGGTACACACTACGGTACTGAAACGTTCGTACGACTGTTTCGCGTACGTATTACTCATGCATCGCAATCTTCTATTTCGCGGACCACGTATTTTAGGGCCAATTTTTGCATCTATTAATAAATTTGCAATTTCTCGTCTTTGTTTCTTATTTATATGTTTCTTGATCGACGACTTGACCGCTTTCATGGTTCGTAAACGCGTGTTCGTTTCGTTTTTACTTTCAACGTCCTTTTTAACATCTTTTCCCGGCTCTTGCGCGCAATGTATTTTTTTCTTCTGTACACTAGCTTCTTTTACTATTTTATTTTCTATATCCGCGTTACGTCTACTCGAATACAAAACATCTTTCTGCAATATACTTTTCTGCGAACTGCCGCATGTATTGAAACCTATTAAATTTTGCTCTAAAACGCCCGCAGACTGCATAGAATCATTCTGAACATCCCCATTGTGCGTTTTGTCGCATTTCCTAACCTCTGATTTTTTCATTATTTTTCTGGATAATCTTTTACGTCTTCTAAATTTATAATATCTTGCGCCGATTAAATCGTCCGAAATAGACTCGAACTGTTTCTTTTCCTTTGTTTCTTCCACGCCGTTGTTTTGTGTCGCTACTTTATCTTTGACTTCTGTTTGGACTGTTAAGAAATCATGTGTTTTTAATTGTATAGATTGTTCCGATGTTAGTCCTATCATATTGCCCATAAGTAACTTTGATAGAGGATGACATTTCTTGTTAATTAAATGTAGAATTTTATCCGGTGTCAGCGAGTCTATAGACTCGAGCGACTTTAATTCCTGTGCTTTTTTCGATGCAATTTTATGCGTCAAAGTCTCATTTTTACACGTAGACTCCGTTAAGTTTAGCATACTGGTTGGCATACTAGAGGAAGTTACATTACTTTTGTGCACGTCTATGCAATCATTTATCGCATCTTTATGCGTTTTACTGTTATTACATTCGTGCGTGCAGGAAGGATTTGAACTTTTATCGTTTGAGCTGCTGTTCGATTCTGTATTTGTATCTTTAGACAATTTAATTTTCAACGAGTCTGGTTTTACCGTGTTAGGCGAAATATAATCGACACGCTTAGGAAAATCGTTTGTTGTAATCATTTGTATCTTTCCGTCTGAACTTTTGTTTTTGTCTTTGTTGGACAAACTCAGATTTTCCGCGTGAGGATTAATTTTAAGTAAATTAAGTGATTTAGCTGTTCTACAAAACGGCGATAAAGTAGTTTTTTTAAGATCGTGCTGTGTACTATGCGACGAATCGTACAGTCCTGTACGTATAGAAATATTAGTATTAAGAGCTTTAAATCCTTGTGTTCCAATATGGGTCAATGGTTTGTTTTCCGACGCAATAGACATACTGGCTATACTAGGTGTACATTCTACAGTTCCTTTCTTAAACACGTGCCGCATTACTATCCCGCTTTCAGCTGGAGCCTTTTCCTTCTCTTCTATCTTTTTATTTTCAGACGTCGGAAATTGTATAAATCCATTCGACTTGTCGTGCTTCCCTTTTGATATTACAGGTTCGGAGGTGTGCGAATATTTTTTAAATTCATACAAGCTCGGGATCGAATTTTCTGAGCAGTTTCGTAGAGGCATGGGTGTAAAATGTTGGCTAGAGAAACATTTACTTGTACCTAGAAGCGGCTGTTTTATACCCCACAATGGTGGTTCTTGATCGTTAAAACGCAACAAAGAGAACTTATAACATTTCGTAGAATCTGAATTTATACCTATCCAGAAGTTTGTTACGATATACAAACCATCGTATCTGTAACCCGTTTTCGGAGCGAACTCGTTCAATAAATTGTAACTTCTGATCAGTCTCACCGGTATCTGATTTTCATAATTTTTGATAAGCGGATCATTGTCGGACTTCTCGTCGAGATATTTCTGACCCGTAAGGGTAAGAGAATTACCAAAGTCAACATCTTCGCTTAGATTGATGCTCGATGTACAGATAGATGTAACTCCGAACGGTCCGACCTGAATATTTTCATCAAAGGGATCGTGAATACGATCGCGGGAGCAATCCATACGAATACCCCACCAAGAACCAGATGGAAATCCCAGAATAGGTCCATACGTATAGTTTATAACCTAAAAAGAAAAATTATGATAAAATCAATTTTGTACAAAATAGATCGACAAAAATAGCGATCTTATCGCTAATCTTACATTTTTATTACGCCAAGAAGAATTTAATTGTATTTCCTCCTTGGTCAATCTTATTTGACAGACGTAGTTAAGTTTAATAAACAACTTCTCAAAATCTTCCTTGGTTTTGGTCTCTACCTGAAGAATCACAGATATATTAATAATATTATCTGTTAATCAACATCAAAATGCACGAGGTGCCAGTACTTACTTGATATTTACGACAAGATTCGTGTAATATCCTTTCATTTTCTTGCATAGTATTTGCACAAAGAATTCTTGAACCATCATTCTTTGCCATTTTATAACAGAACTTTATTTGCATAATAGGTAATAAGTATAGATGCGTATATTGCACACGTAAACAGTAAATTACAAAAGTATATAATGGTTATGTATATATACTGCAAAAATTGTTTAAGGTACGTCAAACTGCTCCAACTGGAATACTTGTAAACTTTTCTTTTTATCAGTTGACTACTACGGAGATAAATTTTAAGGCTGAAGCAAATCTACGTGTTTTAACTTATTCTTTAACCAATATTTTTTTCTCATTATCGTAAATTAGGCATAGAATGAGTCGTGTCAAAAACAAGTATGGCGTACTTGTTATTTTTCCCGTGTGTCGGACATAGCGCATCATTCACCCATTACGTTCAAATTAAATATTCTTCCTTGGACGTTATTTTTTTTATCACTGTTTTCTTAACGATACGATACGCATTCGAAACATTCAATCTGCAAATAGCGCAAGCACGATACAAATATTAGAATCAAATAAACTGGAATGCATGTACGATCTACTCAAATAAATTACTTGAGGGGAACGTCACGAGGGGAATCTGCTCTTTTCTCCCACTTAGTATAGTTTTCGATTATATAGAATTCTTTTATATCACTGATCACTAATCTAAAACGAATCAGAAAATGCGAAATGTGCTACATACGTTTTTTAATTACATGTATATATTATCAAACAGTGATGTTTTGCAAATAATTGTATATGGTGATGGTGCCAATGCAATAACATTCATTACTACTGAATACGTATGACTTTACAACTATTGTGTTATCAAACATGCATCGAAATAAGTATGTATGTAGTCATTGGCATTAGTAAGATGTATTTGTTGTCATTTCTTCCAGTACTGATACAATTCAAATAAAAAGGTATCAATAAGACTTTCACAAGCAACGAGTCAATTTAGTATCATGGACATGATTAAATAACGTCGAACGAATGTTTAAATAATAATTTTAATGAGACCATTCTATTCATATAAGTCATCTGGATAATTAATATACATCGTTCGTTGTGCATATATGCATGTGAAAGGGAAAGATAAGTTTATTTTAACAAATGAGCGATGTAACTAGGAGCGGCAGGAGCAGTGTTACTAGATTGAACACCGAGCAGTGATGCCAGAAAAGCACCGCCGGGTGCACACGCACACATGCCAGATATGCGTACGTGAGCTCGTGGAGTTTCGGAAAGTCGACAAAGGCAAACTGACGCATACCCTCTTTCTCGATTCTCCGAAGCTGCCCGAAGTAATTTCGGATCGCCTCGTGGGAGTCGAGAGAGAAAGGCTCACATTTGCCTTCGCGCTCTAAACAACTGAAATCCGACCTCCCGTCAACGGCATACGATTTGGATTCTCGAGCCGAGATTCTCGACTGCCCAAGCATTTTTACTTTCCGACCTATGTAGGCGTACATAAGCAAAGTACCCATAATGAAAAAAAAATTTTGTAAAATTTATTTTACGGAAATACACGTTTTAAGACCTCCTGATCATATTTTAATTATTGAAAAAAAAGAAATTTTTTTTATTCCCATGTATGAGCGCACATATGTATATTATTAATACGATTTTTGAAAATCAAAATACTTTAAGATTGAAAATTAATAAATTAAAATGAGATTCCACTCTTTACCAGTATTGTGCACGCTGTGGAATTTTTCAATAAGAAGAGTTCTTACTTTTATAACATAAACAAAACAGTAGAATTAATAATTGCAGAAATTAATTAATAATGATTTTCCTCGATTGTTTTGAGATAACCGTATCAATTTGTTATGACGAACTAAATAGAACTAAGTATACAAAGTATGGGTTGTATCTTAAATTTTAAAAGGACATAGTCGAATATTTTTAAAGGTACAAAACATAGCGTTTCATTGTAGAACAGTAACATAAGTTAGCAGGTAATGTCATAAAACTGTTTTTCCCAGCTATATCCCTTTTTACCCGAAGTATAAGGTAAAAAGTACGAGCTACAAGGTACGGCTATCCGAAAATCGTTCACATTTTATCAATGTAAATGAAGCGGCCTTTCCATCAGAGTTAAATACAAAATTTTGTTATTTCTGTGAAAACAGAACTTTCATTAGATGTAGGTGGTGCTTGAAATTGTTATGTTTTCACTGTTTTTACGAAAAGTACCATCCAGATTCATGTACTTCGTACATTGAAAATAACATATGTTAAATGTAATTGGTTAAATTCAACTTAAAAAAAAAAATATTCGAAGGTCAGACAAAAATATAATGTCACATTTAGTGTACGATTAAAATATGATTGAAAAAATAAAAAAAAAGGATTTGTTTTGGCAGGGTTTGAACCTGCAGAGCAGAAGAAGCTCGGAACTAGCAAGCAAATACCTTGTCATTCACGCGACGCTGGTTGTTGAATGTATTTCTATTTCTGAAGATAAGTATCTGTAATAACTTTTATAATATCTCAAAGTAAAACCTAACCCAAAACCGGGTACCATTCCAACTTTTCCTTGTTAGAACCGAGTTTTCAATTTGTCTTAGCGAAAATCGTAATCACATTTTGCACATTATTCTAAAACATTTGTGGTATTCGTTTTCAATGCGATTTAAGTAAGCATGTAATGTATAAGATTTCATTTAATTTTTTCTTTTCTAGAGAAGATAGAGAAAAAGTTTATATAATTTTTTTTATATGGAAGGCGTCGGGAAAAGGCGAGGCCCAAGCCGAGGCGCTGGCAAGGGACCGCGTCTGGCCTTCGTCCGTCAACATTCCCACACCTACCGATAGGGGAGAAGGCTGACGGCAAAGGCGAGGGTCTAGGCCCAGGACGGGCTCATTTGTTTTTCCGACGCTGAAAGAACGGGAATAAAGCATGTATACGAATACCCTGCGTATTTCTTAATCCCTAATTCCAGTCTACGCGTCTGTCTAACATATATAAAATTTAATTCGTCCTAAGATTTATATGAAACATTTAAAAGATTTTTTATACATTATGCCTATACATATATCGGAACAACTATGAAACAAGAGGTATAATCATTATTATCCATGGACTGATTATAGTCAAAGTCTAACCGGACTTTGAAATGAGAACATAAAACTTAAATGTAAAGTTTCATTTAAATTCATTAAGCTATTTATACTCAATCGTATTAATAATATACATATGTGCGCTCATACATGGGAATAAAAAAAATTTCTTTTTTTTCAATAATTAAAATATGATCAGGAGGTCTTAAAACGTGTATTTCCGTAAAATAAATTTTACAAAATTCTTTTTTCATTATGGGTACTTTGCTTATGTGCGCCTACATAGGTCGGAAAGTAAAAATGCCTGGGCAGTCGAGAATCTCGGCTCGAGAATCCAAACCGTATGCCGTTGACTGGAGGTCGGATTTCAGTTGTTAAGAGCGAGAAGGCAAATGTGAGCCTTTCTCTCTCGACTCCCACGAAGCGGTCCGAAATTACTTCGGGCAGCTTCGGAGAATCGAGAAAGAGGGCATGCGTCAGTTTGCCTTTGTCGTCTTTCCGAAACTCCACGAGCTCACGTACGCGTATCTAGCATTTTGAGTGTGCACCCGACGGTGCTTTTCTGGCATCACTGTAGACATGGAACTTCATGGCCATATAAACTAGGCATTAGTTTCGAGCCACGTAATAAGAGAGAGGTAGAAATGGAGTCGGTACAAGATACAAATTCTTTTGCAAAGGCAATTTTCATAAAAATTTGCAGAAAAAAACCCTATTTTCGCACGGGGTGCAATATATTTAAATTTGTACCAAATCCTTGGCATTGAGTACAAATATGTCCGATTTGGCGTGGAATGAAACCTTTGATTTATTTAAACTGCGAATAACAGACAGATAACCCTTAACCACGAAAAAAAAAACGGACATATGGCAGATATCTTCACGATAAGCTTAATTATGAGATATCTGGATGCAAAACAACTCGATTGCGAGTGAAGCATTTTATTAAATATTTAATTATTCGAGCGAAACCTTTTACCCTGGTAATTATTTAATTATGCTTTAATGTTATTTATAATAACTGAAGTTGAACTTCAGATTGTTGACTTTGTCGTTTAAAAATAACTGTGATTTTCTCTTTTTCCTTCCAGCAATCGCCTCGAAAGTTTTCCTGTTTATACCAATTGTTTCTTTTCTTGTTTCTTCGTTTTTTATTCGTTTAGTTACCTTTTCTGTCAGTTTTCTTGCATTTTACTGTCTATATTTGCTTTTTTTCTTTTCGATCCGTTCTCTAACACATATTAAAGATTCAGCCTCTTCTTTTATATACTCTAACCGTTTTAGTTGAATAAAAACATTTAGTTAGCATCGGTTACTATCACACCGGCACCACGTGCCGATAATGTCAGTATTTGTACACTCGTTCATTGTCATTGAACGGCCCATGCGTGGTTTGGTTTCGCCGCAAGATAAGAAAGGTCGATTTCTTAATAATGAACAAATTCGTATCCAAATTCCAACTCCGAATATATGCGAATCTCCGATTCGGTTTTCTGTTATACAGTCAGTCACTACTGTTCTACGTGCACCTTACTAGCTCCGTCTCGTAATACAATATCTACGTTAAAAGTAATTAAATCGCAGATGAGGTATACAACATTTCTATTCATTAATTAATCATATATTATTGTTACTTTCGTTATTGAATTTACTGGAAATATATATTGCATGTGCCGTGTATTTATTTTATTGTGCCGTGTTACCGTTTGTATCTTAACATTGTCAATTGAATGACATTATTGCCTCGCGCTCGTCTACGATTTCGATACCTATTCGACGACGCTGCGAACTAACACCGTTGCAGTATCACAGAATGTAAAGTGAATCAAAGTTGTCTTAATTGCGGAGAACAATCTAACGCAAACGACTAGAATAATGTAAAATTGGATAAGTGTAAGCCGTTATCGATTGGATAAGTGAATGGTAGTCGTTCCTACTACTTAAAGAGGACTCCTAAATTGAAGTAGTCGAGTGATAGGGGAAGATCCGCTGTATAAAAAAAGTGGAAATAACGACGTTGTCTGCCACCTAGAGATAAAACAATTGACATAGTTGAGTTTAAAATGTGTCCATTGAACCGAAAAGATGCGGAATGATCATTTTGAACAAAGGAAAATTCAACGTTAACAAAATTATTACTCGGCCTCGCGATGGCGACGAATTTCTGTCAAAGTATTTAAGATTAACATAGAAATCGGTGGACTTCATTTTAAAGATTTTAACCCCCATTTGTAGTCCTACGTCGAGCCGAATTCAACATCGTATGTATTTCGTTCTAGCCAATCTTATTAAAAATTAATATTTTTTACACCTGTATAGAGATATCGTTTTATGCTCATCCTTCAATAATAAAACAATAAAACCTGTACGGTATCTCAGAACATAAAGCTAATCTCGATGATTCTGCACATTTTGTTACGTTTCTTTGTTAAATCATAGTTAAAATCCTAATTAACAATAATTAAGCTCAATTCAAACTGTATAATTTATACAAAATTATTAATCTATGTTAAAACAAATGGGATACCAACCAATTTACTGATCATGTAATTGTGAGAAATGTAGACATTAAACGATTTTGTGAACAATGCAATAAATATTTCCAGCAGAGTATGAAACTTACAATTGATAATTTTTTTTAAATTATATCGCGAGTTAAATCGATTCCTTTTTTTGTTTAATCTTATTATCGTTGTCAGGTTTCTCTTCCGACTTATATTTTATTGCTAAAATAGATAGTATCGACCAGTGGCAGATCTAAAAATGCCTAAAAAAGGGGCTAACAAAAAATCTTAAAATAATATTACAATTTCAAGGATCCGAGAATTCCACCATTAGAAATTATATAAACAGAAATATAAATATTAAAGTTTTTATGACTGTTTAACACTCGAATAAAAAAATCGTTCGGTACGATTGCATTTCGGATAATAGATTCTTTGATCAATAGGGAATGGGGGGGGGGCTATAAAGGTTTAAATCGTTTTTGTATCAGCGACCGATATCGGCTTAAAGTTTATTTATATTTTACATTATACTTGCTAAACATTTTCAAACATACGTTTGTTTAATTAAATAATGTGAATTTGATTATACAGACTACTTTTGCATAAAAATAGTAATTAATTAGCTGTAGAAAAATTTTAAATCATGTAAAATAAGATTTAAAAATATACTTTTACATATCTCATCCATCTCAAGCAAGGCTGCTGGATTCCCACCTGTATACAATTATTCTGTACAAAATTTAATCTAAATAAACTGACAAAAACTTAAGCTCATCAAAATTCTTTTTTTGTCTAAATAATTCATATTTAGTTGCAACATTTCTAAAATACATATTTTGTGTGTATTTTTTTCAGATTTTGATGGCATCACAGGGTCCAATGCACAGAATGTAGGATGTTATAGTTCTGACAATAATGTTTTTGTTTGTTACTAGTTCTATCATCAAGTTGAAAAAATATTGAACATATAAGATATTTTCAAAATTTGTAAAAATCATAAAATCAGCATGCAATACATTTTGGGCCACTGTATCAAAATGGGCTTCAAAATGAATTCAAGGTGCCTGTTACGAAGAATGTCGCACAGTAAAGTACAACCATTGCTGAATGTAGTAAAAGAAATAGAAATCAAGGTGCCATGGGGAAAGATTGCAGGTAAGCACGATGAAAATAAATGAAATCAAAAATTAAGGAATTGATTTGCATTCTAAAGTAACAATTTGTTAAAGCAAAATTATGGGGAACAGAAAACAAACAACCTATATTAGCTTTACATGGATGGCAAGATAATGCTGCATCGTTCGATACAATTGCTCCATATCTGTTGAAGAATATCCCAATAATGGCCATTGATTTTCCCGGTCATGGATTTTCGAGTTGGTTACCTCCAGGAATAATGTACAGTGATCTCATTTATCTAATGCTGATGCAACGAATAAAACAGTACTTTGGATGGGACAAAATGAAAATAATGGCACATTCAATGGCTGGACTTGCATCCTTTTACTATTCATCTTTTTTTCCAAACGAAGTTGAATATATTATAGGATTAGATGCAGTTGTCACTATAGGGGTAACTAGAACGGAATACCCCTCATACTTTTCCAAAAATCTGTCTAAGCTTCTGGAAGTGGAAACTTATGCGAATGAAATAAAATACACGAAAGAAGAAATGATGGGTAGATGGATATCGAGTATAAAAAACAGTATAGACGAAGATACATGCAAGATATTAATGACGCGTGGAGTTACAGAAGTAGAACATGGAAAGTACGTATTTAACAGAGACCCAAGACTTAAATTTTCACCATATTTTTCACAATATACCAATGAACACATAAACACTTATGCTAAATATATAAGATGCCCGTGTCTTTTCATCACTGCGAAAGATTCCTACATATCTGATACCATAAACACTTTTAATAATTTCAACACTATGAGAGAAACTAATGAAAATGTGTATTGGCACGAAGTTCCAGGAACGCATCATATTCATATGAGAGACCCGGAGAATGTATCCAAAATTATTAATTTATTTTTAGAAAAATATGATAAATAATATCTTATGTGTAATAATTCATTAGGTATTTTTTATGTTGATAATAAAATAATATATTTTTATACATAAATCAATTTACTTCATTTATCCAACTGTCAAGACTAAACAACTAGTAATTTGTCAAGGAAGTATTCAACGCAGTGATGCCAGAAAAGCACCGTCGGGTGCACACTCAAAATGCTAGATACGCGTACGTGAGCTCGTGGAGTTTCGGAAAGCCGACAAAGGCAAACTGACGCATGCCCTCTTTCTCGATTCTCCGAAGCTGCCCGAAGTAATTTCGGACCGCTTCGTGGGAGTCGAGAGAGAAAGGCTCACATTTGCCTTCTCGCTCTAAACAACTGAAATCCGACCTCCCGTCAACGGCATACGATTTGGATTCTCGAGCCGAGATTCTCGACTGCCCAGGCATTTTTACTTTCCGACCTATGTAGGCGTACATAAGCAAAGTACCCATAATGAAAAAAAAATTTTGTAAAATTTATTTTACGGAAATACACGTTTTAAGACCTCCTGATCATATTTTAATTATTGAAAAAAAAGAAATTTTTTTTATTCCCATGTATGAGCACACATATGTATATTATTATTACGATTGAGTATAAATAGCTAAATGAATTTAAATGAAACTTTACATTTAAGTTTTATGTTCTCATTTCAAAGTCCGGTTAGACTTTGACTATAATCAGTCCATGGATAATAATGATTATACCTCTTGTTTCATAGTTGTTCCCATATATGTAGGCATAATATATAAAAAATCTTTTAAATGTTTCATATAAATCTTAGGACGAATTAAATTTTATATATGTTAGACAGACGCGTAGACTGGAATTAGGAATTAAGAAATACGCAGGGTATTTGTATACATGCTTTATTCCCGTTCTTTCAGCGTCGGAAAAACAAATGAGCCCGTCCTGGGCCTAGACCCTCGCCTTTGCCGTCAGCCTTCTCCCCCATCGGTAGGGGTGGGAATGTTGACGGACGAAGGCCAGACGCGGTCCCTTGCCAGCACCTCGGCTTGGGCCTCGCCTTTTCCCGACGCCTTCCATATAAAAAAAATTATATAAACTTTTTCTCTATCTTCTCTAGAAAAGAAAAAATTAAATGAAATCTTATACATTACATGCTTACTTAAATCGCATTGAAAACGAATACCACAAATGTTTTAGAATAATGTGCAAAATGTGATTACGATTTTCGCTAAGACAAATTGAAAACTCGGTTCTAACAAGGAAAAGTTGGAATGGTACCCGATTTTGGGTTAGGTTTTACTTTGAGATATTACTAAAGTTATTACAGATACTTATCTTCAGAAATAGAAATACATTCAATAACCAGCGTGGCGTGAATGACAAGATACATATTTGCTTGCAAGTTCCGAGCTTCTTCTGCTCTGCAGGTTCAAACCCTGCCAAAACAAATCCTTTTTTTTTATTTTTACAATCATATTTTAATCGTACACTAAATGTGACATTATATTTTTGTCTGACCTTCGAATATTTTTTTTTTTAAGTTGAATTTAACCAATTACATTTAACATATGTTATTTTCAATGTACGAAGTACATGAATCTGGATGGTACTTTTCGTAAAAACAGTGAAAACATAACAATTTCAAGCACCACCTACATCTAATGAAAGTTCTGTTTTCACAGAAATAACAAAATTTTGTATTTAACTCTGATGGAAAGGCCGCTTCATTTACATTGATAAAATGTGAACGATTTTCGGATAGTCGTACCTTGTAGCTCGTACTTTTTACCTTATACTTCAGGTAAAAAGGGATATAGCTGGGAAAAACAGTTTTATGACATTACCTGCTAACTTATGTTACTGTTCTACAATGAAACGCTATGTTTTGTACCTTTAAAAATATTCGACTATGTCCTTTTAAAATTTAAGATACAACCCATACTTTGTATTAAACTGGCAAACGGTATCACTTTTCCTTTGTTTCTAGTTAGTTCTATTTAGTTCGTCATAACAAATTGATACGGTTATCTCAAAACAATCGAGGAAAATCATTATTAATTAATTTCTGCAATTATTAATTCTACTGTTTTGTCTATGTTATAAAAGTAAGAACTCGTCTTATTGAAAAATGCCACAGCGTGCACAATACTGGTAAAAAGTGGAATCCCATTTTAATTTATTAATTTTCAATCTTAAAGTATTTTGATTTTCAAAAATCGTGTTAATAATATACATATGTGCGCTCATACATGGGAATAAAAAAAATTTCTTTTTTTTCAATAATTAAAATATGATCAGTAGGTCTTAAAACGTGTATTTCCGTAAAATAAATTTTACAAAATTTTTTTTTCATTATGGGTACTTTGCTTATGTGCGCCTACATAGGTCGGAAAGTAAAAATACCTGGGCAGTCGAGAATTTCGGCTCGAGAATCCAAATCGTATGCCGTTGACGGGAGGTCGGATTTCAGTTGTTAAGAGCGAGAAGGCAAATGTGAGCCTTTCTCTCTCGACTCCCACCAAGCGGTCCGAAATTACTTCGGGCAGCTTCGGAGAATCGAGAAAGAGGGCATGCGTCAGTTTGCCTTTGTCGTCTTTCCGAAACTCCACGAGCTCACGTACGCGTATCTGGCATGGGCGAGTGTGCACCCGACGGTGCTTTTCTGGCATCACTGCCATCACCTATTCGCTAGTGGCTTTTTCAGAATAGCGTATTTTTCCTATTCGTCGAATGCTACCTAGTTACAAATGCTTCTTATTGGTTGTCTTTGCGGATGAAAGTACAAATGGAGAATTGCTCGTGCATCTCATTTTCCAGAGAATGCTCGTTTGTGTATCGATATTACCGTTGCGAATCGTCGGAAACGAGCGTAGGGAAGCAAGAAATGATTTTCTTCGATGTACCAGTTTTCGCTTCTCTGTGCTCGAAATCAAAGGGAATTAGTTAGAAAAGAATACAATGACGTCAAGAGAAGTCGCGTGATCGCTTTCGAGGCTACGGGACTGGTCAGAGTTATCTCGCCTGACAGTGGTGTTTGTCAGAAAGTCGAATTCGAATCAGTAACAAATTTCCGGCGCTTTTTAAACGGAACAACATTCATTTCGCGATCGAGCACGCACAATTTGCAAAACGTGAAACGAAATTTGTGCTTTCCTTTGATGATCAATGATCGTTCGTGGTGATTTCGTTCGAAAACAGAAAAGGAGCCACCTAATGAGAGTTACTGGCGAAAAGATTTCCCCGCAGCTTGATCCGTACGTAATAATAATCGCTTTGAGACTCGAGACCTGTGCGTAGCGCGGCGCGTACTAAACTTCGGTCTTTTCCGGCGATACGTTGCTCTTTCCTCTTTCTCTGTTCCGCACCGCTGTGTGAGTTTATTGCTCGCGTTTTACACGTAACTTGCAGTACTATTTCATGACCTCCACCGCGATGATGCCGAATTAACGCTATCACGTTTTGGTTTAAAATATACGAATCAGTAGGATGGAATCGCATTGACAGTGAGATTATCGCGACGAGTTTCTATGCGCGATTAATGAGCGACACGTACATACGTACGTAGTGCACCCTAGGCCTGGCGAGACTTCAAAATTCTTCAAGTGCTTACTTTCCCCTTAGCGAGCGAGATTCAACGAGACGATTGCGCGAGAGACATTTAGTTCAGATCGGGAAGGAAACATCTACGCATATCTCGTAGGATGACCGATCCGAAAATCGAGATGCATTACACACCACCGACTTCCGACACCATTCAAACGAAACCTTTTCCCATTCGAGGTAAGATTCTATTTTTCTACGATCCTCTATAGACGGGGAACCGTTTCTTAAAAATATTACATACAGAACTTTTTATTGTTCAGGTATTAGAAATACCTACGCATATTTCATTTAAAAGTGAATGAAAATCGAAAGAATTTCCTAATGTTCGATCTCTGGTGCTGTTGGTATCTTTTTTTCGTGAAAATTTCTGTTCTATACCCTCCTTCACGTTCATACATTTCCACGAACATTTCAAAGCGTGTGTTAAACTACAAGAAAACAAGAACCGACCAGCGAAACGACTCGATCGTAGAATCAACATAATATACTTTTCATGAATAAGTGAGCCCTTTATTTTAGACACAAGCTAATGTTAAAAAATTTACTCTATACGAGGGAAATATACTGTTTCTTTCGCGCGGTCCACCGCACTGTACCCCCGATCGCTTTCCAGGAACATAACCTAAAATGTTAAACCATACTGGACCGCGTGTAGCACGTCCATAGTAAATGGACACGTATTACGTTGGGTATATATTGTGACAGGGGACCGTATTAACTGACTGATCTTTGTGGTGTCGCGAAACCGACTGAAGCTGATACACAGGAAGAAGTTGTACCCGATACTGTAAGAATCGTCTTTACTCTTGACCTTGCTTACGAACGTTTGATATTTCAAATTAATGCAGTTTCATCTGTACGAGCAACGGGGACGAGCGAACTTTCGTGCGTTGAAAGAAATTTCGGAGGAACTAATTTCCTGTACAAATCAATGAAAAGTTACTATCGTTTCAGAAATAATTGTAAGAGCTTCCGGAGACAATCGATTTTCTAACAAGGTGTCCACTGAAAACACGACATAGTAGAAAATTATATTAAATACGATAAAGGCGATACCCTGCTTTTACGACAAAAAATTGAATAATAAATGTGTGTCGGTACTTTTACGATCATGTTAATGATTTTACCGTTGTACCTTGGTCTTTGCTTGATTAGTAAAAACAACCACGCACTGATAAAATTAATCTCGAAAGATTGAACCGTGATGAAAAGTAGCCACGGGTTTATATGTTTGTTGAGCCACAACGGTTTATTTCGCAAACGGCGACAGATAACGCTAACTGTTTACGTTTGAAAAATCTATCTGCAAACACGATATATACGTGTGTCATAACGACGAATATGACGTTTACTTTACATCTACTAGATTCGTGAATTAAAGAATACTTCGGATTCGACGTTTCTTTTTCGTCAGCTTTATAAGATTCTAATTTGATTAGTCCCGTATTTCTAGATGATGAAAATATATAGGCAAGCGGTCATTAATAGCACCGACACAGGAATTGCGTAAATTTCTTTGGACAGCCGTGGCGTTCTGATTTCGCATAAATCTAACGTATATCGAGCAAGTCTCGTCGAAAATGCACATAAATCGATCCAAATACACTAATACTTCTACCATGATTCAAGTAACGAACACTTTACACGGTCCTTTATACTACAGTATTAACTGTAATTATATATAATAGACAAACATTTGGAGGAAGTATTCGGTTCGGCAGCTACGAACTTAAAGATGATAATTTTTCTCAACGTTAAAAGCTACCACGCGCTAGAGACAGCACTATCAGTGTGTAACAGGAAAATTAAGGTAAATAAAAATATGTATAAATGCGTCAACGCGACCAAAATATTTATAATACTTTCCGATACTTCACAAAATTTATTTAATATTAATGTGTGAAATGAAACGTAGACAATAATATATTTTCAGTTTTCGATTCCAATTACTTTTATTTTTTAATTTCAATATCGAAATATTCAGTTAGCAGGTTATGCTTGTATTTATTGTTATATTACTTAAATTATTAAAGAATTAATTATGTTAGTTCTATTTTCTTGGAATAAGTCATTTAATGTAGTTTAACAAAGACACAAAATTTATATATATATGCGTGCGCGCGCGCACACACACAATGGAAATTTTATTGGTTAAAAAATAAATATTTGTAGCTAGAATTGGGGTGGGGTATACAAAGAAAAATTAGTCCCACGTTTGTTTGTTAGAGAATATAATCTAGTTTTCACAAGCACCATCGAAACTAGTTAAAATGTCATTTTGTTTTTGTCCGTATCATGAATTTTTGAACGCACTGTACAACGTAACGATAAATAAAAAGCACGCGTTGTGCACGCGCTGCATAAGATATGGCGGTCGCATTAATAGAAACCGGTTCGCGACGTTGCACATATTGACAAGAAAGTTTGATAATGAATTTTGCCTTGCAAAGTGTTTATGAATTAAAAATTTCGATATCAACCTTTTGTTGATACTCTGTCTAAAAATTTCTGTGTACGAATTTCTTCGTCGATAAGATATGCGACCTGAGATCAGAGTTCAACACATTTTTGTTTAGATAACGAAAAACGTTTTAACTAGATCAATTTTACTCGAATAATGAGCAACCAAAAAAACCAACGCTCGATAATTGTGTCTGGCGTTTGTTCGAACGAACGGTTAAATTTTTTATCCGTTTGTCGTGAAATATTTCGTTCTATGATCGAAGTATTAATTTTTCCCCGTTGTTGATTTCAGGTGAACGAGCGAACTTCGTTAATAAGCCTCATGTGATAGCGATGGTCGGTCTGCCGGCCCGCGGCAAGACGTACATATCGAAAAAGCTGTGCAGATATTTAAACTGGATCGGCATCAACACGAAGGTGTTCAACCTCGGGGAGTACAGACGACACGCGACCACCGCGTACCAGTGCCACGAGTTTTTCCGTCCTGATAACATAAAAGCAATGGCGATACGCACCCAGTGCGCGATGGACGCCCTCAAGGACGTCTGCCAGTGGTTAGAAAGCGGGGATGGTGAGGTGGCGGTATTCGACGCGACCAATTCCACCGTCGATAGACGCGAATTGATCCGTGACATCGTCGTCGAGAAGATGGGCTTTAAGCTCTTCTTCGTAGAGTCCGTGTGCAACGATCCGGAGATCGTTGAACAGAACATTATGGAAGTACGAACCGTCTTCTTGTTTGAACAAAATTAATTGCCCTTACAAGGTCAACAAGCAACTGGAGTAGTTCCACCACCGCCGTTAGGCCCCATGGGAAGGGGTGGGGTTATGTTTGACACATGCAAAACGTCATCAACATTTTAATATTTTCAATTTAATTCGAATTATTTTTCGCTATGCATATATCGATGATATATACTACAAATTTTTTGAATGTCATTGGTACAACGTGGCGAAATTCTTTTTAAAGAAACCGTAACCCTTCTCGTGGAGCTTAACTATATATAGTTAATATTATATCGATATTTATCTTTCTTTGACCGCATAACGTCCACCTTTGCTCGTCAAAGGGATAATTAGCCGGTTGTAAAACTAGACGCCTTGCTCGAAACGATTTCTCATCGAGTAATTGAACAATTGCTTGTTTTTGTTTTGTCTATGGTATTAGTTATAAATAAAGTTGACTCACAACTACTTCCAATAAAATCGTATACAATTTTGAAAATCAATCTCGATACTATCTAACAGAATTTTTGAAATCTCGGGAATAGTTTAATGAAACGTAATTTCTGCTTGTTCAGGTAAAGGTGAGCAGCCCCGACTACGCCAACATGAACAAGGAAGAGGTATTGGCAGACTTTATGCTGAGAATCGAGCATTACCAAGAGAAGTACCAAGCGTTGGACGAAAATCAAGAAAACAATCTCTCCTTCATGAAGATTTACAATACCGGCGAGAAAGTGCTGGTCCACAAGCACGAAGGTCATATACAAAGTAGGATAGTTTATTATCTCATGAACATCCACATAGTGCCACGTACGATCTACTTAACCAGGCATGGCGAGAGCGCGATGAACCTCGAAGGTAAAATAGGCGGGGATTCGGAGCTGAGCGAGAGAGGCTGGGAATATGCCAAAGCTTTGGCTAACTTCATCACTAGTCAGGATATACAGGTAAGATGTGCAAAAAGAGAGGTGGGACCCCCTTAGAGAAAAGCAGGGATCGAAAAGGTTCTGAAAATAACTGTTTCAAAGTGTCATATACCGATGCTTAACCCTTTGTGTGACCCGACATCAATTATTATCTCAGGAGCTCCGTCGTCAAGTCCCATTCGATATTTTTTCAAGTCCAAACCAAACAGATATGGTACACTTGAAAATTACAAAATACAACAGCAGTGTAAATAAAACACATATTTTAACAGGAAAGTTTCAAATAAAACACTTAAAAGCATTGGGAGCCGCTCAAAATTGGAATATAATTTGGAGTGCAAAGGGTTAATGAAACAGTTATAAAGAACCATAATAACGTTATAATTGCCATTGGAAAGAGCTGCGGTTCAATAACCGTAATTCTAACCGTAACTGGTATTGTACCGGAATGGAACGAAAAGAACAGTAACTGAAACCAATATTACAAGTTTTCAACCTCTGGAGAAAATTGAGCTAAAATTGTACCGATTATAGGGACTGCGCGTGTGGACTAGCTGGCTGAAGAGGACCATACAAACGGCGAGCGACGTGGACGTACCTCAGGAAAGGTGGAAAGCTCTTAACGAGATAGACGCGGTAAGCCGGGGCAAAAAGAAAAACGAAAAGATCGTTCGTTTCGTAACGTGTTATTTAACCATCCGCTTACACGTAGGGTATCTGCGAAGAAATGACTTACGAAGAAATTGCGGATAAGTACCCGACGGATTTCGCTGCGAGAGATCAGAACAAATTTTCGTATCGTTATCCGCGAGGGGAGAGTTACGAGGATCTAGTCGCCCGGTTGGAACCGGTGATAATGGAGCTAGAACGACAGGGTAATGTTCTGGTCGTAAGCCATCAAGCGGTTTTGCGATGCCTTCTTGCTTATTTCTTGGACAAGAGCGCAGGTGAGTACGAAACCTTGTACGCGTTTGCGCATTCGCGCGTCTACCGATCACTCCGTTGCATCATTGTGAAAACAACAACGTTAATACGGTGTAAAAATGGTAGAGAGAATAAGCGTAATCCGATCGTCCGCATTGTAAATCACATTCGCGTTGCGTTAACGAGACATATACCGATGTTACGTAACTATTGACCTTCGACGTATCGAAACGAAATAGGAAAATAGATATGTGTACGCACGGAGACCGAGATGTCAGACACGACGTAGTTATTTGCGCAACGGGAAGTTCAAGGCGCCACGGTTCTCGTTTACATAATTTTACTGCCGCAAATTGCGCATAATTTTTATTTGGTTCGACGTGCCCCGGACCGCATGACTCGACATTGGCAATCGCAAAGAACAATTTGGCTCTTTTCTTATTATTTATTTCGTTTCGAGTCGCTCGAGAATCAATATTAGCCGGTTATGTAATCGCATTTATTTGTTTTTTTTATTACAGATGAATTGCCATATTTACAAGTACCGCTACACACTATTATTAAATTAACGCCCGTCGCATACGGTTGTAAAGTGGAACACATTCGACTGCCCATCGACGCAGTGGACACGCATCGGCCAAAACCAAAGGTAGACACGATCAGAATTGAACTATAGTAATCGTCCCCCCACCCATATAGATACTATCCCACGCGAGCGTGTAATTATGCTGTCCTAAAGTTTTTAAGAAGATAAAGAGAAAGAAATGTCGTACCGAAATATTTTCCCACTTACAACTCACTACTCTTAATAAAATACCAAAATTCCTTATGTTTCTTGTTTTAATGTTCCCAGAATGCCTGACCATTAGAGTGGATTAGGATCTCTTTCTTGTACCTATAATATTGTATCTAATGTATCCTAAAGTCATCCGCTCACTCCAATTTCAAGCTTGCAAATTAAAACTACGTCGCATGCATTTCTCTGTATTAGATAATACGGATACAATCTGAGACATCGTAACACGCACGTACTTACTATTGTACTGTTATAACGTAATAACGGTTTTATGTAAATATATAAGAATAGTGAACGTCTATCTGTTACAAGTTAAATATCTAACTCGCTTATAAGAATACACGATTGTACATACACATCTACAATTAAAGGACAACGTTGCAATGAACCACGTAGGAATCGTGTTTACGATCGCTCTTAAATAAATCACGTATCCTTTGCGGTAAATATTTGTCTACGTGAATGTTAAATTGTCATAGTGAATAAGTATAGTGAATGTTTTATCCGTATGATGAAAGTACCCTTGTATTACGTTGTGATATGAACATGTATTAATATCATCTACCAGCGGTACGACGCAGTCACTGTACAACTTATCGTTACAACCTTGCTTTGATATAACACGCGTGCACACTTTTATTCTTTTTCTGTTAATCTAGATATAGTAATGTCGCTGTCGCTTTCTGTAACCTGCCGGGCCATCATACAAATGTTGTAACCGGTCCTTATGAAACTATTTTCAGATCCCGGGATATCTAGAGGAACAATTTCGAAGGAAAGGAAAGTTGCTTCACACGTGATAACGACGACATTATAGCACGGCAGGGCTAATTCTTACGATCGTTACGAGGTGCTGAAGACACGCATTCTTTTGGCAGCTGGCTGCCTTTGCACGTCCGATGCAACGCGCACCCACTTTACCTTCCACTCCCAATAATTTAGACGAAACATTACCCAACAACATGCGACGATGTATCCTGTACAAACCAAAGAGATGGGCTTACCGATTTTTATCGGTATCTTAGCGATACGATTATTTACAGAACCAACGTTTATCGATATATTATTGATCCCTCGACGATAATGGTCGTGAAATAAAAAACTGCCATGTACAGTCCGACATAAGAAACTTTAGAAATAGTGCATTGTGTGGTGGCTTTTTGTTTAAACAGTTCCCAACTTGGAAAAAGTGGTTATTCTGCAAAGTCAGATACACGAAAATACAGGAAGTATAACCTCTACAATCTTATTACATCAAAACAGTTATCTATACACAGTCTCACATCATACTTCTCACAGCATTATTTTTTTTACCTTCTCTTTTATAGGAATTACGTAACGTTTTTGCGGATTCGATTGAAAACAGGTCTAATTAAATAATTTCTTATTATTGCTAGCCATACATTTAAACTAAATTGTTACTATTGTCTTAAGGGAATCATAACATGTGTTTATTCGAGAAACTTTCCATTTTCAATGATCTAACATTTAGTGTTAGATATCGATGTCCAACAACACGTATATAAACTAAGAGAAAATGTTTACAAAACACGAAGTTCAACCAAATACTAAGCTCTGTTTGTAAACAATGGGATAAACATGGTTCACTCATTAATATTTTCTGGAGGAATTATTCCAACACAGGATTTGCCATAACTAAAAAACAAGGTTTATAGGTAAGAAAACGGAAACGATCATCGAGGAATTCAAATATCGATGATAAGAAATTGTACATTTCGTTATTTTAATTCATTTACTTCTTAGATTATATCGTTAAGCCCATTTCTAGTACAAATTACATGACCTTGAAAGATACCTTTCTTCTGATTTTCTAACGGTATGTACCGTATGTATGGTAGTACAATTTGCGCGCATGTACTCTGACTTTTATACCTTCGAATTCATCTCTGGAAGAACAGAAAATTTTTGCAGAATAACAAAATCACAGGGAAAGTATTGTAAATGCGAATGCATATATATAACCACTTAAAGTGCAACAATTTCAGTCTGACATTTTCTTCGGTCAATGAATATCGAATCTAATGCCCCGACGATTACATTCGAACCGGTGAAACCAACACAGAACATCTTCGTTCACTTCGGAAGTATTCGGACTTACAATTTGCAAAATGTTTTGCATTATTTATAATTTCATTACCGTGATAAAATATCGACGAAAACGACGATCAGTCCTCGTCTGTATATTCCCGGATACATAGTGGTTATATAATGACATTTTGTACGTTTTGCAAAATTATTTTTATCGATTACCGTGTTCCGACAATTGTCAACTTCGTCAAGTTGCATATATCATCGATCAGGAAACTATCGTCTTGGCGAAGATTATATTTAAAAAGTTTATCACCTTGTGTAATAATCTAGTTGCCGGTATGAGGGAATAGGTTCCAGAATATTTTTGTCAAGACGATCGAGCGACACGAAAGATGATAGGAAACTTTTTGAAGTATAATTTATTCCGAGAGAAGTGTACATATTTTTTTAATACCCTTCACGATGGAAGAAATACATTTACTTGAAAATGATATTCTGTATCTTTTAATTTCGATACCCTGTTTATACGTAATGCAGAAACATAAATAATGGCCTCGAGTGCAAAATAACTGAAAAATTTATTTTTCTCTTTTCAATTCGATGGTAATTTGCATAAGAACCGAACGATAAAAAATCGCATAAGTTGTATCTAACTTTATACGCGAGGATTGTGCACTTTGGTTGAAAAGTGGGGGCCACTGGTCGCATCTTACTTCTGAAGCACCTCACGAATGTCGCTGATGTAGTATTTTTTGTCGCCTCTCATAGTCTCATAATATGAATGAAATATAAACAATCAATTAAATAAATAACACTCGAAAATATTCAATCGCGATCAGAATACAGTTAAATATAAACTATTCCAAATTATCGTTAACATCTACCGACACCATTTCTATATGCTTCGATATACATATATCAAAATTTGTTAACGATATTCGTATTTTATCTCAACAATGGCCGATTAGAAAATTATGATAATGCTTGCAAGGAATAATTTAATAAATAAATAAAAGTATATGAATATTAATATGCACGTTAATTTTTGTTGAAATAGTTTCAACGTTACCAATATTCCCTCCAAAATTTGTCGAGTTGCCTGCCATATGTTAAGGTGTCGTTTACGCGCCAATAAAACTTTCCATGGCGTCGAATTTCAATCAGAGACTGCAACAGAAATATAATACAAATTAAATCATTATTAAACAATAATTGATAATAATGAAAAAATATCAAAAGGTTAGAATACGTACTTCGTCGTTGGTTGCGAAACGCCAACACAAAGTACATAAACGACTATTATAATTAATGATTAAATCGAAACTGTACTGCAAGAGATCGTAATTAAAACGCGTGTAGTAATAATGGAAATATCAACAGGTTAGAAAGACGCATCTCGGTTGCGAAACACCGACACGTATTGACACGTCTTGCTACATTAATTTTCAAAGTACGAATGGTGGGCCCTTCGCTGTGCCCGGTAACGCTCGCGAATTAGACATTAGATGGCGGGGTGAGGGAAGGGCTGATGTCTCGTCTGTGTTTGTATCACAGACGAGGCCGTTAAAATCAGCTCCGAATTTTCAGGTCGGTATGGCAGTTAGATTTGGCCGCGAAAGTCCATAAAGTGAAAATTCTACTCGTATACCTCGTCTGTGCTTACGAGTACAGCGTAAATACCTTAACTTTAGAATCACATTGATGGATGGCGATATAATGTACAAATTAAATGTAACTCACACTTTTGTCGATTCATAGTAGCAGATGACGAGATCCTTGAATTTGTTAACACTATTCACTTCGATGATTACATGTAAATTATTTACAATTTTAACTAGACAAAGAACCGCGAATAATTCGTACTTCTCAACTCATATGCATATACACACAACTAGCTGTTTGCCTATCACACTAATTCAGTGAGTTTCTCAACTGACCGCCATCCATGAGAAGAGGACGCTAAAATCACCTCTCAATTTTTAAGTCGGTATGACAGTAAATTTGGGCCACGAAAGTTCGTGTGTAAAGTCTACTCGTATACCTTGTCTGTGCATACATATAAACAAAGTATATACCATAATGAAACAAAAATTGTATACATATACTCGTTCATAGGAATAATAAAAAAAATTTCTTTTTTTCAATAGTTAAAACATGATGGGTATTAAAACGTATTTCCGTGTACATTTGTTTTTTTCATTATGGAATTTGTTTATATGTGCCTATATGGGTCGGAACGTAAAAATGCCTGGCAGTCGAGATTCGAAATTGTGCCATTGACGCGATGACGAACTTCAGACCAAGATCAAGAAGGAAAGATTCACATTCATCTTCTTTCTCGATTTCTCGAAGTTACGCGAAGTACCGAGCTCACTTAACATGGCTCGTGCAGTAATATACGCCTGCTATCCCCACCACTCCGTTAGACGCTAAAGAAGTTCGTCGTTACTATTGTCGATTTCGATGCACTCAATTATGTCAGATCTGGCCACACTGGGCCACACTGCTCATACAACATTATGGCACAGTTAAAGTAGAGTTCAACGTAAAGACATTATTTATGTTGATATTTTGCGTTATTTAATCTTTATTATTAAAGTTGGCACAATGAAAATTGCGACTAATTGGAATGATGGCAACAACCAATGAGTTTGGCCCTGACTCTGGAGGCAGGATAAAGGTAAATTTTCTTTAAAAAAATTCATAAAAGATACACAGTGTTTTTATGTTCTTAACCTATAACATTATAAAAGAAGAAAAAAGACTATGAATTAAAGATAGATAATAATTATTCGAGCAGTAACTGAATGCCTATACGGTATGAAACATTGTGTTCAAACACGAGTGTCGATCGAAAAAGAAGGTTTTTGGTTATGTCAAACTTTTTTTACAACTTATTAAACGTTCTTATATCGCACAGCAATATTTCCATAGTCTTATAGTAACATTACATGCCATATAAAACTATATATCATTTTCTTACAGGGAGTTACAATAGTAAAGCCCATAGTGTATGGTAATATAGCACGTTACTTTGGTAAAAAGAGGGAAGAGGATGGTCACACTCATCAATGGACAGTGTATGTTAAACCATATCACAACGAAGACATGTCTACATATGTAAAAAAGATTCATTTTAAACTGCATGAAAGCTATAATAACCCAAATCGTATTATGACAAAGCCACCTTACGAACTTACCGAAACCGGTTGGGGAGAATTTGAAATTGTGATAAAAATCTATTTTCACGATCCCAATGAACGTCCTGTGAGTTATTCTTTGTAATATAACAAAACCTAAAGAAATGTGAGTTTATTTAAAGCATTATACTTTGAATAGGTAACTATATATCATATATTAAAACTTTTCCAAACAACACCAGACATACAATTAGGTAAAAAGAGTTTAGTCTCTGAATTTTATGAGGAAATTGTTTTCCAAGATCCAACAGCACTGATGCAGCATTTATTGAATTCTAGCAGACCTATAACTCTTGGTGTCTGGCGTCATAATACAGACTGTAAATATATACATAAATTGTGGATATGTTTCTATTTTTTAAAACATGTATAAAAACTACAGTTTCTATTGTACAGTTGAAGCTAAGAAGGAATCTACAATGAAAGCGGTAATGGAGGCAAGAAACAAAATAAGACTGGAAGTTATAGACCTTAAAGAAAAATTAACATTAGCAAAAGAGACTATTGCTAAATTTAAAGAAGAGATTGCTAAGATTTCAAAGGCTGGTGGAAGTTTGTCTGTCGCGTAATTAAACAATTATCAATATTCTCAATAATCTTTGTAAGATACATCAGTTAAATACTGAAAAATAGCAACTTTCTATTACCAATTAAGATGTAAATAGTTCCACTACGAGATGATTTTAAATTTAATAAGATAACGGACCTCAAATGTGTATTTTGTAAAATAAATGTGCATTTATTTGCAATTATATTATTTAACCTTTTCAATACCAATACCATCTATAGATAGTATATACGTAACCAGTTATGTGCACCGATTTTGCCGCAATAAGCGACGACTTCTACTTTTTTCTATTATTCTATCATAAAATGGAAGTTTTCACTCTGTAAACCTTTAGTTTGCATGTCAAAATTTGTTTAATATCAAAACTATCGTCCACCGCTGCACTTGTTTGCTTATTGTAGTTTTCAGTAAACAACAATATACAAACGCATATCGATACCAATCATCGTCACCTAGTATCAATCGAAACTACTATCTTTTAGTCGCGGCCTTGAGACATCATATGATCGCTTACGCAAATATAGTTATCTCGTAGAACCGTAATGAATGATGTAAACCCGCGGATCTTTGGGGTAACGAGATTGGTAATGTTAGAAACAGAAACAGTGTCGGCGCTGCATGACTCAACCTAGTTGGCCCAATATACATTAGTTTTCAGTAATCGCGCGTACATGAATGAACGTCCCGTTCTTTCGTTTGGGAAATGACCGCAGCGCCGAGCGCGATTGAAACCAAACCGTGAGCGTTTTTGTCGTTGATCATTTCCGTTCGCTTTCATTTCATTATTGTTCGTACGCACGAACGCACGTATCGCGTCAAATTAGTTATGCAACGATAATTCGTGTCGGTAACCGGCCGGTCAATAATGATTTGCACATTACTCGCGGTCCAAGTAGATTCGAGTGTTCCTACTCATTCTTCATAGTCTTTTACTAGTTCGGGATTCGCACCAAAGTATCGACAATTGCTGTTCCACGGTATAGTTACGAAACGCTATCGGTTGGCCAACAACGATCAAAGTATTACTGGGATTCGATCAAATACGCATCTCAATCTTACACGATGTTTCATCGTTTTATTTTTGTGGTTCACTTTGAAAGCTGTTACCTGTTTTGTAAATGAAATTCTTTTTATAAGTACGTGAACCGTCTATTCGTGGATATGAATAATTATCAGTTCCGTTAGTATAAATGTAAATTGAAATTTTTAATATCTCTGTAAACCGAACTTCTTACTACACCGATATAAATCGTCAAATTCATCTGCTTTGTCAATAGTATCGAAAGATATTTATATCAGGTCCGCTATTATCAAAATAGAATCGCCTCGTATGAATAAATTGATTTCTAGTGGAGTTCGTTTAATATTTAAAAATTGTTGTTTTCTGTTCACGTGTAACATCATGATCTCGTAATAGCACTGTATTCTTCCTTTGCGATAAACTTAATATTCGTATAGTGACTTATTGTTTCGCGAGACATTTAAATGTTTACCAAAGCGAGCACCGAGGTCAATATAGCACTTCCATACAACTTCTATACAACTTCCGCATAAATGTCGCTACACGAATTTTTTGCGCTCAATTTAAACAAAATATATTATTACAAATGTTTTTTATTCCTCTGATTAAACAAAAATTAGATTCTCTGTTCTTTACTTTCGTTAACACACAACACACACACACACATTTTCTGTATTTACATTGTCACCTAAATGGAAAACAAAACAAAATTAGCTCTGTGTTTAACGTGTTAAAATTAGCAGTTGCGAAACAAATATAAAATGTATCTTCAACTTTTAATTTTCGTTTTCCTTTTTCTTGTTCAGTCCAGGTATCGAATTTGCAATCGGAGCATTGGCGGCTGTGGGGGCCGGTTTTTTCACAAATCCGATCGACGTGATCAAAGTACGCCTGCAACTGCAGGGAGAATTAGAAGCACGGAATTCGTACAAAAAGATATACAAAAATACTTTGCACGCTGGCTATTTGATAGCAAAACATGAGGGCGTGCTCGCATTACAAGCTGGTATTGTACCGGCTCTTTATTTTCAAGTGGTGCTCAATGGAATACGGTTAGGTGTTTATAATGTATCCAAGAAATATAATCTTATTACTAACAAAAAAGGGGATACCGATATCTTAAAGACTGCAATAGTGACTGGTACAGCTGGGAGCATAGGAGCTATACTTGGTAGTCCGTTTTACATGGTAATTTCTTCTTCTTACTTCCGCTTTATACGTACAGTTACTCGTAAAACTATTCGAAAAATGTGATAACAAATACATTATTTTTCTACCACAGTATATTAAAAAAAATTAATTTAAGGTGTTTTATCACAGTTAGATTTCAGAGGCACTTTTAATACATCAAGACACACTGTTAAAGACGTAGTAATTTTTAATTGCTTTTCTTCGTACGATATCAAAAATATAACATTTTGTTCTTTACTTGGCAATAGTTAAAAACGCAATTACAATCACAATCGGCGCAGACGATAGCCGTTGGTTATCAGCACAATCATTTGGGTACCTGGTGTGCATTAAAGTCTTTATGGAAAGAAGGTGGAATAGTTGCTCTTTATCGCGGTTGGTATGCCAACATACCACGCGTTTTTGTAGGCTCTGCAACACAACTAACTACCTTTGGTTTAGCCGCGGATTGGCTACGTTCGTTACACGTGAGTATCTTTTCACACCAAGTCTTTTTCTTTGTTCTCAGTCCTTGATAGAAATTTTGAATAAAAATAATATTTTGTTCTGCAAACCGTACGAAATATTATTCTGATTCAAGCCAGTATCATAACTTTTAGATTCATTCGTGTTATTTTATAGTGTTTTTGATTGTTTTCAGATATGTCCAGATCAGCCAATACTTTTGACCTTTCTGGCATCTGTAATCGGTGGAAGTTGCGTAGCACTCACTATGCAACCATTTGATGTTTTAGCAACAAGATTGTACAATCAACGTAAGCGTTTAAATTACTTTAATTTAACGGTAGTATTTGAAATTAATTGTTCGATAAAAATACAGAGACGGATGCAGGCGGCAAAGGCACATTGTACAATGGTCTTTTGGACGCGCTCATTAAGATATTCCGAAAAGAAGGGCTGACTGGTTTGTACAAAGGAATCTTTCCAACATGGATGAGAATAGCACCGCACACCGTGCTGTGTTTAGTATTTTATGAGAAATTAGACCAATTATATAGTGCACTTTGAAATTAACAGTAACTCGTGAGTAAATGTTTTTGTATGCGTCGTACATCTGTTCTAGACATACGATAACAGAAGCTTTGTAATTCTCAAGCTAATGTATTATAACATATTCTAAAGTAAAAGAAGAATAAATTTTAATTTCTTACATGGGCAGTGATGTGTTAATAATTTAATAATACTTACGTATACAAAACCTTATGTTCGTTTCGTTATAAATTCACGACAATGCCTTGATATGTTGAAAGATGTAAATTATTTCAATTACCATGTATGATTGAGAAATTTTGTTTTCCGCAAAATCGTGGAAGTTTGGTAAATCAATGTTGTCTCCTAACTTCTGAATAAATTAAGTACAAGGTATACATTTACAGACATATCTATAGTGATTTCTTTTCTTCAAACTCTATCTTAAGCTCGAAAGTTGTATATATAAATAATTCTTACAAATTGAATATTTAGAAAAAAGTACACGATTCAACCATTTAAAACCTATATATACATAAAAAAAGTGATAGAAAAGATTTTAATTTAACTTCTATTTGGTCTGGAGTTAAAGCCTTGGCTTACAGATGCCGCGATGTCCATTGTACTCTTTCCTCTAGTCTCAGGCAAGTATACCCTAAATACGTTAACATTAACATTATGTCTTACTTATTAATATTATTATATCGTTATTTGAATTGTTATCACGTACCTAACAATTTGTCCTAAAATTAAAAGAAATCCGGCAAATATTAAGAAAGTGTATGCTCCTATTACGGTATCTATTATTGGAAACAGCATTCCAACTAAAAAATTTCCACCCCAATTAAAGACACTACCAAGTGCCATAGCTATTGGCCTAGGGCCAACGTCGAATAATTCGGATCCAATGAAGTATGGAATCGGACCAAGACCAATTCCGTAAAATATCACGTAAGCCTGTATCGTTATTATACATAGAAGCGACATATACGACGATAGGTGCTACAGAAAGACAAATAATAATTTTATAAACATCTACATTCCTAAATGTTAATGTTTCAATCTGTATTCTCAGATTTCTTTTCTTATAAATTATTTTTACTTGCAATTAATTACTTACGTTTGATAGAATGGAAGCACACAAAATCACCAAGCATCCGAAACATAAATAATTACTCGTCAGTAGGACACCTCTCCTGTTTAAAGATGACATTACTGGTACAGATACAAGAGCCATAACAATATTAGCCACACCGGTTCCAAGAGTGGCGTATTGTGCCCCAGCGATGCCAAGTCCAGCGTCGTGGAATATGGAGTTCGAGTAGTAAAATACGACATTTATACCACTCATTTGTTGTCCAAATTGTATTATACAAACTAAAAATAAAGGGAGTCTCAAACTTCGATCTTTTATCATGCGTTTGATTGTCCAAGGTTCAAACGTTGCCTCTTTTTCTAATTCTTCGTGCAAATTTGTTATTTCTGCTTGCAGAAGCATTATATCCATGTTACGTATCCTACTGAGTTCTGAAATATTGAAGAATCTAATTAAAATAGCACTGTAATCATAATTACACAGGATGTTCCAGGTTTTAACAGCCGAACTTTGTCATTATATTCTATGCTATATTGCTTTCACAATACTGCTATATTTATATGTTTATAAGTCCGACCAATAAAATCTGGGACAGGTTATATAAATTATTGTAAGAGTACTAATAAACACCAACCATCCAAAGCCTTTTGTTTCTGCTTTTTAATAATAAACAAATATTTGGGACTTTCTGGTAAAACGATACTTGTAAGTATTAAAGCACACGTGCATAGTGGAATAAATGATCCTAACATGTTTTGCCAAGAGTGCTCCGTGCCTAGGACTGTACTAAGTCCTGCAATTTGCCCTAAAAACACTCCGCACGTAAGTCCTAGTTGACAGAGTACTCCGACAGCACCTCTTAATCTAAGAGGTGCTAATTCTGCCATGTACATTGGTACAATGCATGTAGCAATACCTCCGGAAAGGCCTAAGAAAAACAGATCATTTTTAACATAAATTTCGTACAACCAGCAATTATTTACATCTTAAAACTTACCCACAATTAAACGACCTGCTAAAAGGAGTTCAATTGAATTCAATATACGCACTACAAAAAACATTATAGCCCCTACAATTCCAAATATGTTTCCAATACATAGTGTCTTTTTTCTCCCGTAACTATCTGCTAACCAACTAGCAAGAAACGAACCAGTTACACCGCCAATAAGAAAAATCGAAACGATGGTAGACCATACTATTTTTAGACCATTTTTGGAAATGTCCACGTCATATCTTTCTCTAATACTTTCATTGCAAAAATGTCCTATTAGCTGCAATTCACACATACATGCTTGTTACATTTTTTAATATATACCAACTAATGTCTACGATAGAAGATGTAAAGAGCGATCCTGGAAAATATACAGATTCCAATTTTTATCCAGGATCATTTTTTATTCTTCTTTACGAAATACAGGTAGTAATACTAACATGGGCCGCATTATTTAATACTCCTATATTAAATCCTGCTGGCACTGCTGATCCAAGGCAACTGGTAACACCTGCTAGGACCAGTACGATGGTCCATCCGCCAGGTGCCTAGGAAAAATTCATTTAAACAAGTTTAAAAATTTCAATAGGTACTATAACACAGATGTTCATGCGTATTTACTACTTCAGTAAAAGAAACCACATACATAGATATCGACTTATACAAGGTTAGCAATGCTTTAATCAAATATTGATACATTCAGTGAACACTTGACACGTTCAACAATTTATCTTTCTTACGTGATACAATTTTATGATCCTTTGTAAATGTAAAATAAGCAACAGAAACGTTAAAAATAGAATTCCTCAATGAAACTCGTTCATGTTTTCAACAAGTATAAGATTGCCAAGCAATGCCAAGTTCATTTAATTGATTACACTTACCGATCTTTCGTCATGATCGTCTGAACTATTTTGACGCGAACGTTCAACGTTCGTGAGTACGGCAGCATGACTATCTGCAATTACATTTAGATATTTAATTAACTTCCTCCGTTGAAATCACAATCATTTACACACGAAAGACACGACTTGTCTAGACAAATTCAGACAGGTATATCAAAGTAAATACTTTTCTGCACAAAAAATATTCAAACGAACGAGACGACAAAATAATGTTTTGCAATGACAAAATTGGAAAAAAACGATCAAAAATTGTTCGACGATTATTACCTAACGACATGCTTCGCACACTGGCATCAAAAAAACTTGTTCACACCGTTAAAAAGTATGGATGCACTTCGACTTTCGATTGGTCATTGCCGTTATATGTATACAAAAGGTAATTCGTGATGACTCCAGGGCATTGTGGTGGCACGAACAAGTTTTCTTGAAGTCAGGTGGAACACGTGTGCCACCGACACAACGTAGTAACGGTAAATATGTACACACCAGAATAGAGTAGCTGTTGGCAACGTGGAAACGTTGTTGTTGTTGACATGGATTTTTCCAACGTACGGAAAAAGGGATTGGTAAAATCGAGAAAATTTACGTCCTTGAACCTCGATGTAACTTGATACTATTTGAGTGGAGCGAACGACCGAGAAATATACAGGGAATCCCTGAAACTTGTGTACCTACAATGGCTCGCGAAAGTATTCGAATGCTCGCTATTAAAACTTTAACGTTGTAACTACTATACAATACCAGTATATTTGAAACAAATCTGATAATATTTTTGTAGAAGTTATGATACATATATTGCAAAGACGTACTGATATAGACGTACTGATCACAAAAATAATCGAATAGCATTAATTGTACTTACGTACCTTGTTTTATATTAATATTTAATTTGGGCCTCTTTCGACTACAATTGAGGCTGTGAGATTTTTTAAATTCAATAGAATTCTATTCTTGGCTACGGATCTTACGGTGATATGTATGCAATATGATACGCTGTATTATACGTAGGTACCTACGTATGTGGCAACAAGCCCACTTATTTTCGTTATCGTCGTGTACTATCTATCGAATCAGCTTTTACCGAAAAGCATCACGTGCGACTGATAAATGTGCAGTTTACAATACATTGGAACTTCAAGTCGATTTTGGAATCCGATCAATATCAATTGGATGATTAACCCGTAGTTTTAATCAGAATTTGATAAATGTATTTTAAAAAATGTATGAACAACGAATACCCTTTTAATTCATATTCTATTAGCGGTCGAAAGTATTCCCTTATATTGGTAGTTGTACAACTACAGTCTAGTCAGTGTATTTCGAATTTGGATATGTTTTAATTATTTCGTTGGAACAACTAATATCGATCGATACTGACCTTGACAGGAGATATCCTGACATGTGTTCAATCGCGTTCTTTTGTGTTTCACTCTTACGTACCGAAAGGTAGCATTATTTTTGCAAGGCGAAGTATCATATTTCATATTGAAAGCAATAAATTATCACTGGATCAATTCCACTAACTGTGAATACTAATCGCAAGATAGGAAGCGATATATGATGTTGGTTTATCGAGAAATATTATACCTTTCATTCATGATAAAGAATTACTATCATGGTCAAACGTGTATTACGGGATTCAGAATTACAGTTTGCGTTTTATTGTTTCTAGTCGTATGCCATGTTGACTGAATAAGTGATAGTTAATTATAAGAGGAATGCAGTATTTGGTTATTCAATTGTATCACATTAATAGACGAGCCGCGAATGTAAACACTGCAGTATGTAACTTGACTTACGATAATCGGGTATACGTGTATACATATATGTATATACGTACATACGTTATCTTCAACAAAGGATTTCAATGCCAACGAATGAAATATAATTGTAAAAGCGTGATGGTACTATTACCGAGCAATTTTAAACGAATTGCATAAGTAAATACAAATACTCGAACTATTTTTAATGTGTCAATAAACTAACGACTCTTTACGCGTATAATGTAATCGGACGATCAGAAGTTTAACCAAAGACAAACGATAAGGTGGGAACAGTCTTCTTGTATCTTGTGGAGAGAAATTTCCATTCACACCATCGTTCCATTGACGCTGTTCATTTTAATGGATAATCATAAACAATGTGCGTCGATTATCGTTTACGTACCTTTGTAGTCAACCATGTCCTTGATTTATCACTGTGAGAACGCGTACGCTGCAATCTACGCGGGAAAAAGATTTCTTTAAATAATTTAGTCTGCAATTAAAACTCATGGTTAACTTTGCGACACGAGTTGATTATCGATCGGTTACCTCGCGGTCTACAATTCGAATACACATACTTCTAATGGACAATGACCATTAACGATACATTTCGAAGAATTTTCCTTCGTCTGTATTTACAGTGCTACACGCTGACAGTCGCATTGTACATTCGTTCTCTGTCGCTGCATTTTCGTTTTAAATTCGTCGTTTTACAATGCACGATTATACAGCGAGCCCACAGGAAATATATACGATTTTACATAACAGCGGAAATTTTCGAACTTTAAAACATCGGCGAAATTTTCGCGTGATATTTGACTGTAGCAGATTGTTGCATATAAAGTGGTTGATCTTTTATGGAAATTTAAAAATTCTCTTGTTTATAAATATATTTGTCAGATTCGACGTACTTTCGTTTACGAGATACAAGTGCACTTATTTCTTTGTTAATAGAAACCTGGAGTTCCGGATGCGTTAAATTCTTCGATGAATCTCTTTTGTTTATGTTTTATCCATGAATTGTTTCTTCGTTAGTAAGCGATCCAAATGTTTGAAGAAGTGATTATTGATGGTTAGTGACACATCCGTTGAATAGGATGGCTGTGGAAGTTTCGCACTGAAGCTAGTTTATTTTCTGGATCGATAGATGTGCAACATGTGGTTGGATATTGTCACAGAGCAGTATTACGCCATTCATTTGACTAATGATACATAATTATATTCATCGATTCTCTTACACGCATCGTTATACTGCATCAATTTCCATAGAGAGGAATTTCTTGTTAATATCGAAAGATAGATGAAATTAACAAATTGTTTTGCTTTTTTTTATCCATTATTTATGCCTTTTAGTTTTAAGTTGCCTTGATTGGTTTGCAATCCATAAAAATTACACACAATTTGTTTTTATTCATTGTCCGCTTTAATCGATGAATAGTCCACGTGTATACATAATCTTGCAATAAAAAAAATAATGCTTGACAGAGAGCAAGTTGACGTACAAGTACCATTCGCCGATATAATTAACAAAGAACGTAAATCAGTTCACAAAATCTAAAAATCAATCATTTTATACGCAACAATCTAATACACGTGGGCATATTAATTTTTCGGTTTATAATTTAGAGAAAATTTTATATTTAGCTTTCTAGAGAATAGTGACAACAGTAATATGAGTAGTAGTAATATACAGACACTACTTACTATTCTTTTTTGTAGGAAATATCGAGTTCCAAAATGGACAACCGACCAACCGTTCTGTCACGCTACTCACCGGATACTAGATTAACACTGTGAATGATCAGAAGTCATAACCTCCTACCATAGCTCCTGTATCCCTCTCCACACACCCACACTACGCATTCTTTTTTTGCTTTTAAGTAAATTTAACCTTGTGAAACTATTTTCTTGGGGAATTTACACGAGAATAGGGAAACTTTTCCGTGAAATTATAGACGGTAGTGATTACATTATCGTTTGAAAAGTTGTATACATATCATTACTCGTGACGGGTAGAGGATGGAGATTTTGTTAGCGATGGGTACGACACTAACCTCTCTCATGATTTTCAAGCAATTTGATGCTCGACTATGTACTTGTTTGACGGTTCATGATGTATCGAAAGATTAGGGATTCGAAATCGTCGAATATTTATTGAATACGTAGGATTTGAAAGGAATCGAATAGAATGCAATCAAGAAGTGTAATTCTGTTCGAGACATTCCCAGATTCCAATCCGGTAACATGAGAAAACATAAGTAAATATTTCATTTAAGAGAAGCTTTTGTATCGTATCCTTCCCTCGAAAATGCATTGTTTTTTAAATACATATTTCGACTGTAACTTTTCAAACGAACATTTTGTATGAATTTTAAAGGGCAGGTTTTTGTGATCTCATGTTGTATTTATAGTCGTATACTGGTAAAATACAGATTGTTTCATAAAAATATTGCGCGTTCACAGGGGACGCGACGACATTCTCTGCTTTTCCAGCGCGAGAGTAACTCTATTCGCGTCACCCTAAGACAGAGTTAGGCACAACGTAATCTAATTACATCTGCCACGATACGATTATACGCATAATTATGAATCTGCAAAGCGCGTAAAGGCTATGTAATTATCGTGTAATTACAGTGCGATACATGTAAGTTTTATCGTCGCAAATGTAATTAAATTACATTTTGTTCAACTCTGCTCGAAGAGTCGTCGATTATTTATGAAAATTTTCCACCTCGCACCCATGCTCAACATATTCTTGCGTATGCAATTCCTTATCTGTTTTTCCTTTTGAGATGAACTTGAGCCACGCTGCTTACGTAATTAACTACTGTATCATGATGAATAGAACTATTGTACAATATTGTTTCTCCCGATTCAACATCCATAATTTCCCGTTACGTCAATAACGAATAAACTTTGGAATCTAATTCTTTTATATCTGATATTTTTTTAGACATTAAAGTGACCTTCACTTTTTTAAGGTTATCATATCTTCTCATGTAATGCTAAATTGTAGCCGACAAAAAGATATACAAATAATAGATATACATACAAATCAAAATTTTGGAAGAAAATATTATTTATGTACATATTGTTCGTTCAAGAACCGTCTAGTTACGTGAAAAAAGTGTGATAAACCTCGTAGGACGTACGGTCTAATGGAACTTCTTTCACTAATGTATGCAATTGATTATTCAAGAAATTGACATACTATTGACCTGTTAATCTCTCATTGAAGAAAACGAGGAGTTATCGAACATTTGTATACAAACAGTCCAGCGGTATCAGTTACATGCGGGTCAGTTTGTGATTAGAAATTATCGGCGTACAAAAATGGGCACGACTCGAGAACAAGATCAAATAGTGTACGCGTGTTTATATGAACTAATCTCACTGTTCTTGTGTCCTTTGTCCACCACTGAAGTGATTCCCGCGTGTTAGGATACTCCCTATGTATAGGGCGCGGCTTACTTATAAATCAATTACAAATAGGTGTGTAATTGATTTGTAAAATAGTTTCTTTAAATCAAAATGTCCACCAGAAATAGTTTGTTATTTTTACCAGTACAGCAGCGAACGTGTTAACCGATTAATGTTTGGAAAATGAAACATGTCGATCCGTATTTGTATTTGCGCCATTGGATGGAGTTCCGAGACAACAGAAATTTTATAAAAATGTCCGACCATTGGGCACGTGGAATGCCCAATGCGAATCGGCGTTTACACTAGCCGATACTTTCTCGAGCGATCCAAGATTTAGCGAGATCCGTGAAAGTGGAACGCAATGTTAATGGGAACTCTTATCCGTGAACCATTCGCGTGTTTTATCGAGGCACGCGCGTCTTTCTCAAGTATAGTCCATCCTAAGATCTCGATTTCCTCTGATCCCTTGACTCAACGCCGTCAGTAGGGGGTACCTGCCGTCCCCGCAACAACCCCTGAAGTCGTCCATATCCAAAGACCACATTATCGCGCCACCCAGGTTCAGATCGTTTATGAATTCAGCCTGAAATAACACATCGATCGTTCAAACATAATTAACACGCTGCACGTAAGAAATCGAAACAATGGCTGACTTTAACCGCTCGATATGAACAGTGCCGTTTATGTAGTTCGTACGAAATCACGAACAGGGGAAACAGAAGAGGACTGTAATCTCAAGCGATAAAAAAAGAAGTTTAATTTAAATGGGCCGTAGGAATCTTTGATTGTATTATCGTTAATTACCTTTTGGAGTACTATGGATACGTCATCGTAACCGACCCACTGATCGTCCTTTGTGGCGTAAGGCCCAACTAAACCTCCGGGCACTTTAGTTACAGACCATCCTCTGTTCTTCGCGTTATTACATATCTGAAACATTACAATTGTTTCTACACGTCGCTCGGATTAATCTCTAAATATAGAAATGCCGTGAATTAGCAAAATTTTTGCCATAATCGTCTCTAAGAAAATAGATATTCTATATAGAATAGTAGATAGAATTTGTATGTCTAATACTGGTGAAGGACAATTGAGCCACTTACAAGCCAAATCAATCAACTCGACTTTTTGAACTTTTTAACATTTTTGTGGCAAATAACATTTTATATTTAGAATAACTGTCGAATAGTATATTTGGGGGTGTAGGAATTAATTCCTGTATTAAAGAAAAGCTACTTGTCCCAGTAGACACATTATAAATAATACTTGCAAGAATAAGAACACTTTTATACTAAACACACTGTGCAAGACGATATTGTATTCTGTTGTTTACTCTTAAGAGTATGCACTGAATTACCATTTGTTTACATTAATTGTAAGTCTTAAGTGTGTCATGGCGAATAACGTAACTATCGTTCTAGCCTCGAATATCACAACTAGCAAGGAGAGCAAACTTCTGGATATGACTCTTTGCTGTGGAGTTGAAGAAATTTTATTGCTAGATCTTGAATAAAGTCTTGATAGGATTAAATAATAATTATATATGGTCCAACTATTTTCTGTTATTATACTATAACTTCGTTTATCTTTGTTACCTCGTAGTAGGCAAGGATACCAGCCGATTTCGTGAATTCTCCCGGATGACCAGGTCCAGAAGCTTGCACATTGAAACCCGGTAATTCATTTCGCTGTGGTGTCTTGGACAACGTGAAGCTCTGTCCATAAGCTGATATGCCCATCACGAGCTTTCTGGATGGCACTCCTCGCTCCAGCCAATACGTCATCGAGAAGTTCGCGTTCAAATGATTCGTTTCGTCGTTTGGATTACTGTAAAGCGGTGCCACGTGTCCTGTTCTGGTTTCCCAAGAGCCGTGATAGTCGTAGCTCATCACGCTGATCCAGTCCAAGTACTTCACCAACGCTGGCACGTCATAAGCCACGTCGATCACGTCCTTACTCGCTGACACAGCGGCTGACAGAAGCAAACCTTTCGGCCGAAACGCTGCGTTCAGTTCCTTCAGCAAGAGCGCAAAGGCTTCTCGGTCGCTCGGTGGTCCACGGTTGCAATCCATCTACAAACATAGTCATGTATTTTTTTTTCTTTTCTTTATTCGAAAGCCTCGTGAAATACCTATTTCTGATTGCACTAAAAAAGTGCAACCTGGATGTTGCTATCAAAAACATCTAAAAGTCAATTTCTTTTTTTACATAGTATGTTCAACTTTTGCGATGGTATTGGATAATATAAGGCATACTGAGAATAATAGTATTACATCTATCGTGAAATTAAGTATTCAAATTGTTATGTTTGTACCGCTGTGCCACGTGTTGCGTAACTATACAAAGAATCGTTGACGCGCTATGAATGCTCTCTCAGAAATTTAATATCTTGGAAATTATTATACTTAGGATGCACGTCGTTATTTTTTTTAAATCTGAGATTTCATTACTCTATCAAACTCTTCCACGAAAAATTGAATTTGAAGAAAAAGAATTTGACCTTCATATGTGCTTGAAGTTACCACTGGTTGTTCCTTTCCTAATAGTTTTTTCATCAAATCCTGAAACTTTAGACATAATCGCATCGATAACTTTGTTCTGATTTCTTTTTAGACAAGAAACCACAAATAAAGAATGTTTTATGCGTTTCATGTATTTACCTGCCAGCACACTGGGTACTCCCAAATAAGATCCAGACCGTCGAATCCATGGTTCATGACGAAACGTGTGGCGTGACGTGCGAATCTTTGTCGTTCGATCGAGCTGTGTGCTACTCTGCTGAATTTGTCGTCCTTGGACTCCTCCCAGCCTCCCAGACTCAGCAGAACCTTCAATCCAGTCTTGCTTTTGATGTTCGTTATCTTCTCGAGGAACTCTTTCTGCCTGCTACCCTGGGGATTCTGTATAGTTAATCGTTCCGGATCCAACGTGGCCAGACCGTAAACAATATGCGTGCACAGATCCGGGTCGACATCTTCAGGCAAGAATTGTCCATCTCTCGGTCGCTTTCGCGCCCATTTCATCAGGTAACAAATCACTTTCTTTTCATTGTTTCCTTTGGCGGCGATCAGAGGCAGGAATTCGTTCGACTGTGAAGCGAAACAAATTATAAAGGTTGCTTACTGTATCGATATCAAGAAGATGATCGACAGATGCCAACACAGGTGTACAGGTTGTTCATAAAATTGTATAATTCACAGTAATTCTAAGCACTTGCCTGCCTTTGTTTGCATTTAGTATTCTCTGGCCAATCGCAGCGGTCCTCGTTCCAATAAAGCCCAGACGGGCAAGAATACTCGGTGAGCCTGTTGAAATTGCACAAGAAATACTTGGAGCAATCCTTCTTGTGGGGAACAAATAAACGGCCTTGGCAATCTTGGTGCGAGGGAGTTCCTGGCAGATCATCGGCTTCTATCTCAACGGTGTCGTCGACCTCAGGAACTGACGATGATGATGGTGGCACATAAGTTGGCCAAGTGGTCGTCGTGGGCTCCCAATCAGGTTGCTCAGAAGTCGTTGGCTTTGTGATGGACTCACCGGCATCGATGGTCGTGAATTCTAATTTAAATATGTTAACTTATTATAAGTAACAATTTTTATTCCGGATTCAAGTAACATGACTGTTTCCCTAGTTACTAGTAATTTACCAGTGGATACTGGACACAATGGACCGTCAGGATAATTTCTCAGAACTCTGTTCATGGTCCTTAAAAGTGGACTCGGTTCGCAGCCGCATCTGTTCTTGAAGTCGTCTAAATCTAGAGCCCAAACCATGCCACCAGCCAGACCAATGTCCTTGATTAATTCTGCCTTCAGTTTCATCTGCTTCGAGTCATCGAAACTCACCCATTGGTCGCCCCTGAAGGCGTACGGGCCGATGCGTCTGTCCTTGTCTTGGACCACGGTCCAGCCCTTCTTTAACGTTCTCTCACAAATCTATGACCATTAAAAAGTATGAAAAATTGTACATTTCATATGAGAATATTTATCGACAAGTATAAGTAATTAAACGATGGATCATGCTTACTTCGTAATATGATAAGAAACCTCTGGCTCTGGTCGCTTCTCCAGCTTCCCCTCCGCCATAAGTGGGAGCATTAAGTCCCCTTTGGCTTCTTTCCGCCAAGGAGAAGGACTGACCGTACAACGGTGCGCCCATTACGAGTTTCTTCGCTGGGGCACCCTTTTCCATCCAGTAGTGTATGGAGAAATTCTAACAAAATAATCACAATGAACAATAAAAAATTTTTCCAGCATATAAATAAATTTGTTTGGTATTCATTAAAAGTAATGGAGATTCCGATTTGTAACAGAGTTATCAAGAGATTCTGTATATTCGCTGACCTTCCGCTTTTACGGAAGCATATACACTCGTAAGTAAATGTAGATTTCATTGAATTTATTAATGTCCTTTATCGTCCCGTGAAACGAACGATGGTATCGAGATGATTAATTACGACTTTCGAACACGTACCGCGTTAAAGGTCGGCTCCCAGTCGCCAGGTAAATGATACAGTGGCGCTACGTGACCAGTTTTCTTATCCCATTGGCCGTGATAATCGTAGGTCATGACGGATATCCAATCTAAATATTTTGCCAAGGTAGGTACATCGTAACCTTCGTCGATGACACGTTTGCTTGGAGAAACCGCCGCTGACAATAGCAATCCTCTTGGCCGGAATTCCTCGCTTAATTCCTTCACCAAACTGGCGAAGCCTTCTTTGTCTGACTTTGGCCCCTTGTTGCAATTCACCTGAAATTTGTCGATCAGCAAACGTTACTTGCAATATACATATAAGTCAAAATTAAGGTTGAAATTATTCAAATAATTTAATACTCGATTACTACTACTTGAGAGCCATTGTTATAATTAGACTGCGGATCTTTATGCAAATTCCCATTTTTATTAATAGAATTAATGAAACGGAAGCTTCGCAGAGGGCTGTCTCAACCCCTAAATATAATAATTCGTATCTTACTTTAAGTATTTCTTATATTTTTGCATATTAAATGCATTCTGTAGTTTTTTAAGGATTAAAATTTCCCATAAATGCATAAACATCCGTAGATGAATTATCTACATTCCACAATTTAAATACAGTTGTACAGTTCTTCAGATTTATATTAAGGAAGTCTCAACTAGTATCAAATATCAGAATTCGAACTATGAAAGCCTCTAATATCTTTGTTATATTCAAATCCGATTATTCCCTACCTGCCAACACACTGGATATTCCCAATCCAAGTCCAAGCCTTCGAAATCATACTTTTCGATGAACCGTATAACATTTTCTATGAATCTTCGTCTCGCAGACGGCGAGTTCGCCAGACGACTGTATTTGTCTCCAGCAGAATCGTTCCAACCCCCGATGGCCATCAACACCTTTATTCCCTTCGATTTTAACGCTGCTATTCTCTCGTAGAATTCTGAAAATAACACGGGACGTGTACATTAGATAATTTCATCAGTGATGTATATTTTTTTTTTTCGAAATTAACTCCCTTTTCTTGGATCAATATTTTTGAAAAAGTAGTTTTAATTGTTTCGAGAATTATTTTCTTATAGGAAACTATTCTTCTGTGTATTAAAATGAGTAAACATATATATAAATATTGAAACATATTAGAAAAGAAATGGTTTAAAGAAGGATGCAAAATTTGATGACTTGTCTCTTGAAACGGGAGTCAAGTGCCTTGATAACCAGGGTATAGAGCACGCTCTTGGGAATAGTTCTCCAATTACGCCATTCGAAGCAAATAACTTCACGCATTGACTTATTTTTTATGTAGATTGACCATATGCAAGATTTTTTGATTATGTCCTACCCTTGTAAAGACTTTGTATGTTCTGATAGGGGAAGAGGTCCATGGGGATAACGTCATTATCCTCATGGATGTCTGATGACCCAACCCTTGCAATAACACTGTATTTTATCCGTTTCGAAAAGAAAACAATAAAAGAAATCAATTTGTCTATTTACTGTTATCTATGTCGGCCCAAGGATCGTGCGACTTGATCATCAGCTGCGATCCATCGAGCACAGCGAAGCCGTAAAGGACGTGAGTGCATAAGTTCGTGTCTACGTCCTCTGGCAAGAATTTTCCTCCCTCTTGTCGGTACCAGGCCCAGTTTGTGAAGTAACATATCACTTTAAACTCGTCTTCGTTCGGCATCGAGTCTGATGAAGTTGATGTCGGCGTAGACGGTGTCGTAACAGTGGAGGGCGCCATCGTTTCTGAAGTCTGATCCAATTCCTCCTGAATTATAGGCGGATTCGAAGCTGTGGACACTGCAATTTAAAAGTATTTGACAAAATATTCTGTTAGTCTGATAATTACAGAATTTCCATTACCTGAATTTGTTAAATTAAAATCAAATTTTAGGAGTACTAGTTGTTGGCAGAAATGATTTTACCTTCATTTTCTTCGTCGGAGTCCTTCGATAGCACTCTTTGAAGCGTGTGCATTAACGGGTGGGGCCCCTCTCCGCAACGTCCCCGGAAGTCGTCGAGGTCCAAAGCCCAAACCATTCCACCGCCCAGGCCCATATCTCTGACGAACTGAGCTTTTCGCTCTATCATCTCTGCATCATCGAAACTGACCCATTGATTGCCCTTGTAAGCGTACGGGCCCATTCTGCGCTGAGGGTCCTGGACGACGGTCCACCCACGTTTCCGTATTCTGTCGCAGATTTCATAATAAGACAGAAATCCAGCTGCTCTCGTGAATTCTCCAGCTTGTCCAGCGCTGGCTGGAGCGTTCAGGTCCGTTCCCGCGCTTGGATCGTTTATTGAAAACGATTGGCCGTACAGTGGCATTCCTATTATCAAAACGAACCATTAGTTTCGTCTATCGCGTAATGTAAAAGAATCATGAAATAAAACGCAGCTAAAATATTTACCCATGACGATGTTTCGGCGAGGAGCGCCCTTCTTGATCCAATAATTGATCGAAAAATTCGCATTGAAGTAAGAATAGTCGTCCTCCGGGTGGTAATAGAGCGGCGCCACGTGGCCAGTTTTCTTGTCCCACTGACCGTGGAAATCGTAAGTCATCACCGCGATCCAGTCCAAGTACTTCGCCAACGCTGGAACATCGTAACCTTTGTCGATTACTTTTTTGCTGGGCGAAACCGCGGCACTCAGCAACAATCCTTTCGGTCTCAGCACGCTGCTCAACTCCCTGAGCAAATCTGCAAAACCTTGTTTGTCCGAGGGTGGACCCTTTTTGCAATCGACCTGCAACAACAACCGACACGTTAAAAACAATGTTCGTTTAAATTTATTTTTTCATTCCTTAACCCTTTGCACTCCAAATTATATTTCAATTTTGTTACCAGCGGCTCCCAATGCTTTTAAGAATTTTATTTGAAATTTACCTGTTAAAATATCTGTTTTATTTACACTGTTGTTGTATTTTGTAATTTTCAAGTGTATGATATCTGTTTGGTTTGGACTTGAAAAAATGTCAAGTGGGACTTGACGAAGGAGCTTCTGAGATAAAAATCGATGTCGAGTCACACTCGACATAGGAGTGCAAAGGGTTAAGTCTTTCAATACCAGTGCTAGATGATCTGGAAGAGAATTTTTAATTCAAAGTTCTATGATTCTTATTGGAAAACTAATTGTATGGATTTACTCACTTGCCAGCAGACGGGATACTCCCAGTCCAGGTCCAGCCCGTCGAAGTCATACTTCTCCAGGAATTGGACGGCGTGGGAGATGAATTTCTTCCTGGCTGTTGGACTGTTCACGAGTCGACTGTACTTGTCCCCGGCGGAATCGTTCCAACCGCCCAACGCGAGCAGTACCTTCAGTCCTCGTTTCTTGTAAGCGACAACGCGTTCGTAGAAATCTGTTCGAAAACAATCAGCTTGACTACCGCCATTCAGTCCACCACAGATCATGCTACGTTTATACACTATTCATTGCAGTGCATGCTTCCAATTATGTGCAATTAAAATAATGTGATAGTGGTCAACGGTTTATACTTTATTGTCTGAGTGGGAATTGTTATAATTATGTTTCGAGCTCAAAACGAAGAATGGCCCTCCTCCCAACAATTAACTACTCACGGTTATCGTAATCTGCCCACGAATCGTGGGCCTTCACAGTCAGTTCTGAGTAATCCAAGACGGCGAATCCGTAGACGATGTGGGTGCACAACGTGTGATCGATATTCTCCGGAAGATACCTTCCGATACCCCGTCGATACCAGGCCCAGTTGGTGAAGTAACATACGACCTGTTCGACAAACATACAATTATCATAAAGGACATTGTTCTGACGTCGTCACGGGTACACGAATAATGATGACTCTACTTTGTAATATCCAGACAGCGGGGACACTTGGTCAGGATCTATCTCTACGGACGGCAAGGTGGTAGCGATGGTGGTGGCTTGAGTGGTACTCGGCTCCCATTGTTTCTCGGTGGTGGTGGAAATTGGTTTGTCGACAGGTTTGGTACCGGACGGTGACGAATCTTCGACCTCGGGCTCGTCTAACTCGTTCTTGCAATTAGCACGAGCGGGCCAGTCGCATATACGAGTTTGCTTGTTGAAGTGCAGCCCTGGAGCGCAGTGGAACACTTCGTGACGACCCCATAGGCAAGCTCTGTAACTCTCACAGTCGCCAGGGACATTCGTGTAGCTGCCAGGAATGCATGCCTGGAAAACAACAAAAGTATTAATTATCGATGAATTGTTCTTTCTTCAATCATTGCTCTACCGATTCTCTGCCATTTACTCACGTTGGACTTGGAGCCCGATGCCACGATCGAGGCGCTCTTCATTGGCTTCTCGACACAGGGATTTTTGAAGGCCCAATCGCACATGCTTCTCTCATTGTGCCAGTTCAGGCCTGGCCCACACTGCTGCGGGACCAGGTTTCCGTTCACGCACACCAGAAAGTTCGTGCAAGAGTTCGGGTAAGCGTAATACTGGCCGTGTTCGCAAGTCTTCTCCGGTCTTCCGTTGGGATTTTCTGTGGTGATCGGTCTCTGAGTGGTCGTGGTGGCTCGTGAAGTGGACCACGTGATCGGTCTCGACGTGGTCGGCCTCGACGTGGTGCTCTTCATGGTAGTGGTCCATGATGGTTTCTTTGTCGCAGAATCTAGCCAACAGAACAACTTATGAGAAAAGAAATTACCGTAACGAAGAAAAATTTTTTTTATTAAAAAATTGAGAGTAAAATTAAATTGTGCTTAAAGAGCTTAAGAAGGTATCTATTAAGAGGTTCCAGAAAAAGTATTGATCCATGTACTATCGATGTACTTATAGTATACTGTCGTGATATTTTGTACACTTGCGGCAAGGTGGAATCGATCGTGATCGAGATCAAAAACGTCCAGAGCAAACAGGAAGGTGTCATCCTTCGTGCTGGATTCAGAGACACGATCGATCGAAGCAAAGAGAACCCCGATATTGCTAGCTGTCTCGCGGGAACTGAATGATTTACAGAGGGGAAGATGCTACGACAACCTTTTCACGGAGGCGTCGGTTACAAAATCCGTGGAAAAATGTGCGCAGGAATGTGTTCGTCGTTGACCGCGTACAGCATTGTAAACAGGTTTTCACTGTACCAACGTCTGTTGACAAGTGTCAGGAGAAATTATGCGCATCTCTATCTCGCATAATTCATAACACGTATGTGTTAATTCAGTGTTCTTTATATTGGAAGGCGCAGCCCATAGAAGAGGTATGGGCATCACGTGATTCAGGAGAAATTAAATATTCTACATTAAAGCGTCGTCTTCTAGATCATTATCTTTACGATCATTGTTACATGATATCTACTTGCGATTGTTTATGTCGTGCTATCGTATCTAAACAATTAGAATCGTGTACATGTACTTGACATTCCACTTAAACCTGTTTTATAATGATAAACTTCAACAGGTTTGCCATTTAGTAACAAGGCACTTCAGAACTTATGTTTACATGGTACTTTTTCATCATTACAATCAATAGGATATACTTGACAAGTTTGATAAGAGCTTCTTAAAAATACCCTGTGCAAATAAGCGTTCTTAGATGCCCTTGTCTTATAGTAACGACGTGACATGGTGTACGATCATCTTGAAATCTATTTTAACGATAAAAGGCGAGTCTGAAGAGAAACCTGAAAGCGTCAATAAGATCAAAAAGAAGAAACAATTGATAAGGATAGACACAGACTTACTATTGCCTGTTTGACATTTTGCAGCGGCAGGCCAGTCGCAGATACCTCGACGAGCGTCCCAGTGCAGTCCAGGCGCGCATTGTTCGCGTTTTAATTCACCTAACACGCATCTATAGTAGTTGCCGCAATTAGAAGGATCTGGTAGGTACGTTCCAATCGAACAAAACGCCCCTGGTTTCGTGGAAACGTGTGGCCCTTCTGTGGATTCCGTGATCTCTGGGGTTGGCTTCTCGCTGGGCGGTCTGAAATCGTTCATAGTTGAAATGTATCCTAAGTAGTGGCAAGACTTAGACTAAAATTATAGTCATCATTTGCAGTCAGAGGGTAGTGACTATGTTGCATCAGTTAACAGTCAAATATTTAATAACCAAATGAAAAGGTCATCAGTAGACTGCGGATCTTTATGCAAATTCACATTTTTATTAATAGAATTAATGAAATCAGAGCTTTATAGAATTCTATCTCAAGCCCTAAATATAATAATTCGTATCTCTTATATTTTTGCATATTAAATACATTCTGTAGTTTCTTGAGAATTCAAATTTCCCCTAAATGCATAAACATCCGCAGTCTAGTCATCAGCCATCGTACCGTAAGTAATAGATCATTAGACATTGCCTTTTTAGACAACTTGCTCTGCTACAAGACTATACAAAGGCCTTGTAACAAACTTGTTGACCAATACATCCTGATATTTCTACTTTCTTCTAAAAGATACGTACTTGGTCGACGTCCAGGCCCAGGAAACGCTCGTCGGTTGAGTCCACGCAGTAGTGCTGCTCTGCGTGGTAGACTCTGGTCGTTTGCTCGTCGATAGAGTCCAAGACCAGCTGGGCCAGGTGGTTCCTTGGGTCGTTGTGCTCGGTTTCTGAGACCAACTCGGCCACGTTGTTCTTTGGGTCGTCGTGCTCGGTCTCGGAGTCGATGTTGGTTTCGTCATGGCAACAGTGGGTCGCGGAGTGTCCTCCACGGCGTCGCTGTGAGTCGTCAACGTTGGCGGTTGTGGCGTGACTGGCTCCGATGGTCGTTGACAACCCTCGGTAGCTTTAGTCTTCAAACGTCCTGTGAATAAAATGAACGACATAGAGTAGATACAGTTACAGACAATAATCAATGTCACTGACCTAACGCACGGTTGATGGTCTTCAACAGAGGAAAGGACTCCGCGCAACAGTGATTCAAGAAATCGTCCAAGTCCACGGTCCACATTGCAGCTCCTCCGTAACCGCTTTGCAATATATGTTGTCCCTTCGCGTAGATGCTCTCTTGATCGTCGTAGCCCACCCACTGGTCCCTCAAATAGGCGCTTGGCCCCACTCCGTGTTTCCATCTCTTGTTCTTCAGTCTGTCGCAGATCTCGTAATATGCCAACATGCCAGGCTGCCTCGTGAATTCTCCTGAGATCCCGGGCCCAGACGCTGGGTCACCGAGGTCGGTCAGGTCCTCGCTGGACAGTCGATAAGCTTGGCCGTAAAGAGGTATGCCTACCAAGAGGTTCGACCTTCTTGCGCCGAGTTGTACAAGGTACTCCATTGTAGAATTCTGAAAAAAATTTCAGTGGTACATTCCTCCACGGTCCAACAAGACTATATTTGGAGTACTTAAAAAATGGCACTCTTCCTTAAAATTTGACTGATCTTCTTGCGAGATTGAAACGAATTTAGACTTACTACATTGTAATACGGATTGGTGTCGGTAGAACTCCCAAACAATGGCGACAAGTGTCCCGTCTTCGACTCCCAAGCGCCATGATAATCGTACGTCATGACGGACACGAAGTCTGCTAGTTTGGAGATCTCGTGCACCTCGTACGCTCTATCGATGACCTCTTTGTATCCGGACAGAGCGACCGCCAGCGTGAGCTTAGGCTCCTGCTGGTCGAATTCCTTCCTGAGTTCTTGCAACAGCTTCGTAAAATTCGGCTTGTCCGAGTCCGGGCCTTTCCTACAGTCGCTCTGCCAACATTTTGGATAGTTCCACTCGATCGAAAACCCGTCGAAGTTGTGCTTTTGCAGAAAGTTTATCGCCGCGGCGACGAATTTACGACGCGCGGCGCCGCTGCTTATCAGTCGCGAATACTTATCACCGGTGCTGTCCGTCCAACCCCCGATGGCTAATAGTATCCTCGGTCCTTCGATCGACGTTATACGCTGGTAGAGATCTGAAAGAATTTTGGTTTAAAAAGTCGTTTCTAAAGTTACGTGAATTCGTAGATTAATAACCTTTGATTAATATGATATCTAAGCACGGTATGTAATCTCGTACACGTTGTACCTATCATGGAATAATCAGTTCGATGTACTTACTGTGTTCTATGTCCGCCCACGGGTCGAACGGTTGAAGCAGCAACGTGTCCGGATTCAAACCGGCGAATGCATAAATGACATCGGTGCACAGACGCGGATCCAAACGTTCTGGAACGAACATTCCATCCCCTTTGCGGTACAGTGACCACGAGGTCACGTAACATACAACGCGTGGTCCTTTGTTCGTGGAGATCTCCAAATGCTCCAGTTCCTGCGTTTCTTGTAGACCCGTGTGTAAATTCTGTTCGTGAATTCGATCGTTCTGTCCGGGCTTACAAACTTCCGGTGACGCCTTCACGCAACAATTGTCGACGGGGCTGAAAAATCTTCCGTATCCGCAGTAACCATGGTGCTGCATGCCTAAAAATAATTTGTATTCTTTTAATAGTAACTACTTCTCTTTTGTTCGAGTTTCATTCGCTCACTAAATTAGATGGTAATCATGAAACATCATTATTCCAATGTATTTTACCTTCGTGGCAGGAGTAGAAACCGGAGCAGTTGTCAGGATCGCTGAAGAGGCCATCCGCGGAACATTTCTTCACCTGTGTCTCATCGTAGAATCCTATCGACTCGGTTGCAGCGTTCAACATTGGCCACGGATTCCCACAAATACCCTAAGAATACAAGATATTTCATGCGATATGTTTAAATAAGAAATAAGAAATAAGATATAAGGAGTCCGCGAGAACAAGATCCACAAGAAATAAATGTTTGATAATTCGCAGAGCCTCAGAGATCTATCTATGACTTCCTTGGGATCTATAGATCAATCGGGTTAGAAACTCACCTGAAAATCGTCCAGATCTACGGACCACAGGGAAACTCCACCTAATCCAGTCGATCGAACATACGCCACTTTAATCTTCACTGCCAGAGGATCATCGTAACCGATCCATTGATCTCCGCGTTTTATGTACGGTCCCTCCTCGTCCCGGCCAGATATCCATTGCCCATCTTCTAATTTCTCGCAGACCTTGAATTAATTGCGAAAATTAAATATCTATTTTGGGAATTAGCCTTTCAGCCTTGAAAATTAAAAAAAACATTTTCGAAACCGAACAGATATTTACAAGTAACTCGTATTTATACAGGGTGTTCTGCCACCCCTGGGAAAAATTTTAATGGGGAAAATCAAGGCTTTGTTAAAAAGTTATTAACGTTTAAAGTTCCGCCCGCACTGAATTCTTTTCTCGAAAATGCGCAGGATTTCGGGGGTACGTCTATTCACCAAAAATGATTGTAATTGACCCCTGCGACCGAGAATAATTTTTCCAGAACGATTTGAAATTTTTTTTTTCCGTCGTAAAATTCCACACCTTCTCGAATTTTTTTCTAGAAAGTGAGTAGGATTTCGGGGGTATGTCTATTCACCAAAAATGATTGTAATTAACCCCCCAAACCGAGAATAATTTTTCCAGAACGATTTGAAAGTTTATTTTTTCGTCGAAAAATTTGGGAATTTATGTAATTAGATTTTCGGTAAGGAATTTTTTTCTCGAAAGTACGTAGGATTTCGGGGATATGCGTAATGACCAAAAATGATTGTAATTGACACCCGCAACCGAAAACAATTTTTCCAGAACGATTTGAAATTTTTGAATTTAATTGTTAATAACTTTGTAACGAAGCCTCCATCAACAAATTGGTATTCTTGGTTTTCGTCTTATTTTGGCCTCTAGAATCCCCCAATACAATTTTTCCCAGGGGTGGCCGAACATCCTGTAGATTAACGTCGAATAGCCTGTGATTCAAAGTAAATAATAGTTACTTCGTAATAAGCCAATCTCCCATTCATCTGCTTAGCGTAAGCGTCCTCGACACCTGGCCCGGCGATGGGTGCTCTGGCGTCGGTGAAGTTCCCAAACTTCATCGTGTAGCCCTGGCCGAATATCGGTAGTCCAAGAACTATCTTCGATCTATGCTCCCGGGGAACTCGATCGAGCCATTTGTTCGTCACTCGAGCCACGTAATTCAACGGCGCCGGATGGAGCGCCAATTTCTCCCTTCTGAACGGCGGAGTCTCCCTCCACGCTCGTAAGAAGATCAAATCGACAACGGCGGCGATCTCTCGATCCACCCGATCTTCGGGCCTCTGGGCTACAGCTAGAATGTACTCGTGATCGGCGAGCGTTCTCCTGAGGATCTTGAGCAACAGCTTCAGATCGTTCGAATGCTCCGACGAACTTTCCCAGTCGATCTCTACGCCGTCCAGGTCGTGTTCCTTGAGGAAGCTCAACACAGATTTCGCCAGCTTCTCGCAATGGAGGGTGCAATGGTTCTTGGTTGCCTCGATAAACAATTTTCCTCTGTTTGGAGGCGCGATCGAGATCAACACTCGCAACGACGGGTTCCTTGATCGATGTCCCGTTACCGCCTTGTATCCACCTGTCGGAATCGTTCGTATAAATTAACGGGACTGATTGATCCGCAGGCGCGCTCGCTGGGCGGTTGAGTTTTTATAGCAATAATAATAATTCTTAATTTAACGATATCCCCTTGTATACATTAAAAAAAAAAAAACTTTTGGTAAAGGATGACCCAGTGATTCGGATAAGGAATAAAATAAAATGATGGCCACAGGTTAACGATAAATGTATTTCGATGTTACGTGTTCGGTCTCTAGATCGAGTCTGGCCTGGTCCATTGTCTCGTGTTCTCTTAGATACGACACCGACACCTTTTTGAAGGCTCGAGACCATTCCACTATGGCGGTATAATTACAAAGGTGTTCATATCGCACCGACAAACAACCCAACGGCGCGGCAACATTAAAAGTATTCGCAGAATCCTACGCTCTAAAGACGAATTGATAGAGTTGAACGTTCGATTTACCTTTGATTTCGTTGTATTCGCGGTCCCTTGAAACAACGACTAGTCTCTCCTGATCTGAAAAGAAAAATGGACGTTAATTAAACTGATTGCATAGTCATCGGGACAAGATTCGTATGAGCCTCGTAATCGATTCGTTGGAAATGAATTTTGGTTAAAGGTGGGTTAATCACCTAATGTGGCCGCAGTGTAGACCAGATGGGTGCACTTGTGATCCGGCACCGATTGCGGAAACAAAGAGAACGGCTCCGTCCTATGGACGGCGTTGGAGTCCAAATGACACACCACTTTAGGATCAAGGATTTGCTGCGTCCTCGTGAGGGTTGGCGGAGCCAGAGGTTCGATCCAGATCGACTCATGCTGAACGGTATCGAAGAAAGGAGGAGTTTCCCGATGCTCCACCGCGTCCCTCAAAGGCACTCGACCGTCAGGCCTGCGTTAAAGTTACGATCATCGATCGTCTATCGAACAATTTGATTAAACGGGTCAGGCTGTTCCACAAGCTGATTTTTATCTCTATCGTGGGCATCAAAATTTTCATTATTAATTCTGTTCTCGAAAATCATGAAACATCGTCGATTAAATCATTTGGAAAAATTAATCAAGGTCAAGGTCATCGGTTAAAAAATATATCGCATATCAATAGTAATAATTAGACTGCGGATGTTTATGCATTTATGGGAAATTTTAATCCTCAAAAAACTACAGAATGTATTTAATATGCAAAAATATAAGAAATACTTAAAGTAAGATACGAATTATTATAATTAGGGGTTGAGACAGCCCTCTGCGAAGCTTCCGTTTCATTAATTCTATTAATAAAAACGTGAATTTGCATAAAGATCCGCAGTCTAGTAATAATAATGGTCTTTCAATTTTTAATTTGTTTATTTAGACTATTATGAGATAAAGAAACGAATAAAGGAATTATAAACAAATTTAGGACCGTGAAAAAGAAGATTCAAAATTGTACTTTAACATATTACCCGCTCCGCCCCCTGGTTAAGCTCTCAATGTTTACATTGTGTCGATAACTCGAAAAACGATAACAAGTATATATCTCATTAATGCCAATGGCAATTTATGCCGATACCTGTTTGATACCTGCACGCGATGCTCGGGAATTGATACGTGTCGTTAGCAATGAGTAGGGTAAAGTGGTAATGATGGTAATCTGCCCACATATTATCATTCAATTGCAAAACCTAGTGTTACTCGATGCATTCAAGTATCCCCGATTACAAAAGTCTTTTCTATCAGTTACCAAGCTTATGACGTTATCACCAATGCATTCTGATACTTTGTTTCAATTCAAACAGTAATAATTTTAATTACAGAAGACTAGTTGTCTATGAAAGGAGCATAGAAAGTACGGGAGATTAATTCAACTTTCAGATAGTATGAATTTTATTATGACTTAAATAAGAATGCAACAAATTTCATTATATTTGGGAATTCTGGCTTTCTTTTGTTTTTGTTTTTCGTGTTCTGTTAAAGAATCTTAATTCTTTGCCATAACGAGTAACAAAAATAAAAAGAAACAACCATCGAAGGAAGGCAAATTGTAATTGAGCTATCAAAAAGTGTAAAATCCCTGATCTCCTCTGCTTGTAATTACAACGAGAGTAATTACAACTTTCCATTCGACCCAATAGTTTACGACTGTATTGTTATTATTCGTTATTCGAAAATAAGATTGTTCCAACTCCACTACGGAACAGCCTGACAATACTTTCTACAGATACAGACTCTCTGATGTCCTGCAGGGGCAGGCTTCCGCCGTGGATAAGGATGGCGTTCGAGGGCAAAGACTCGACAGCGTCGCGCAGAGGGAATCTCTGCGATCCATATTCTTCGTGAGTGACGGGTGAATCTATCGAGTTGTCGATCATCGGCGGACTCTCGACGGCGCCCCTTTGGAATGGAGGAATACCAATAATCTCCACGTCCCCTTCCGTTTGGCTCGAGTCCCATGGCGGCGGTGGTAGCAATTCGTGCACGGATATCCGATAAGGTGGCCCCGCTGTCGACAGGCCCACCAAAATCAGAACGATCCAAGCAATCATCTGCGCAAATAAAAACACCCTGTCAAATTTCATTAAAATCGGTGAGGATCACATCTGAGACTTCCCTTATCGGGAAAAGTCCCATTTTCTACAATCAATCTGTTAGCGACGGTTTATTTTTAAGGGACGTCGAGGGCATTTAGCTCGACGATATTTCGTTCTCAAACGATTTATGATAGGGACTTAGCCTGCGTGGGGCCCAAGAGGGATGGTTGCAAGGACACAATCCAGATGCCCGTCGATGGCTGGTGACTCGAAGTCACGCAGCTATCGGGCGTCATAGGATTGCTTGTTGAAAGGAAACGTAGGTATGTTAGAAAAAGGCAAGCGACCCGACGTTGTCTTGCTTTAAAGAATAGGAACTCTGTTCCTTGAGGATCTGGCCACGGATTGGGAAGGCAAGGGTGCCTTCTGGTAAGAGGACTAAGCTTGACCTCTTGGCACTTACCCCAGAACCGGGACTGAGGAGAGTTGTTCATACAAAATATCTAACAAATCTGTACAAACGAGGGCGTAAACACAGCTACAATTACTTATCTATAAATATGTGTAACTCGAGGACTCGTATTCCCGACGATCTCAATTAAAGCCGACAACGATTCGTTCCGACAAATGCGAATGTTCGACACGGGATTAAGTGCTGGGCGGGTGTTAAATACAAGGGTGATTAATTTCCCCGGTGCCAACCACACAGCTTGGTCCCGTTCACGGTGCATCGCGTTGCGTTCGCGCCCGTATGCGTGCCGCTCGCCAAACCTGTCCTGCACACGGAACACGCGTGCACCGAGACCGGAAAAGAAAAATATAGACCAAGGTGTGCTCGGCATGACAAGAAATCCCGGCCTTCGGTAATTGGGCTTGGCCAGGTTCAATCATAATAACGACCAGTTGCGCTGGTCTCTTGAAATATGATCGACGCGCCGCCGCAACATAACAAAGATCCTCTTTGTCGACCTCCGTGTCGTCGCCCCTGAAACGGAAGTTTCGTATCGCTGGAGGATATTATTTGAAATCCGAGTATCGCTTCAACACGTTCGCCGTCGTTTTATTTATGAACTCCGTTCTGGTTTCTCCGAGTGAGCAATTTATGAGAATTTATTATTTTTTATCATTGTCAGTATTTTTATGTATTAGAGCACGATTCTCGAACTTGGGCCCCCTAACAACATATTAAATAATTTTAGCAATTTTTGAAATTTGATAAGCATGTTCTAAGTAATATAGGGTAAAGGACCCTATTTTTCATCTCAAGATCACCCTTCTTTTAAAATAATTCTTACACCATAGCCATTTTCGTACAGATTAAGAACGTTATCTTGATTTTCATCGTCTCACGACGTTTTCATCGACACCACCTTTTTTGGAGGCTATAACTTAGCACACTCTATAATTAATACTTTTTAGTTTTGCTAAATTAAAGTCTACAGATTTATAGTTTAATCGTTCATAAATCGTGGTGATAAATTTGACTTTCATGTGGTATTTTGTTCCTAAATCACGGGTTCTTGAAAGTTACTCATTTTATCACCTCGCTAACCATTATCCTGCCACTATTTGGTGTCTCAATTAAAGTGCTGCAAACAGTAGTAAATTTAGACTTATCGAAGCCTAATGCTAGATTGATTTTTAGATCCTCTTCTTTTCTGTAATATTTCATACAAGATAAATGTTAGTTATCCAACAACGTTTTGCTAATTTTTTTTATAACAATTCTAGGCATTTTTTTAATTCACAACTGATAATGTATATTGAGTTATTATTAATACAACTAAAAAATATGCATAGATATTTTTTTAACCGACCGCAGGCTCGCAATTTATTATCTTTCAAAGAGGAAACCTGAAACTTTTCGTCGAGAATGTTTTCGATAAAAAGACCAACCTTCGGAGGACCATCTATTTCGGCGCTTATGTCCGAGCTATTTACGAAACCTGGTCGCGACTTTTCTTTTGTGGTAAAACTTGAGACGACCATCGGAAGAATGCAAGAGGAGACAGTGAAAAATTCACGTCGTTCGACTGACTCTTTCCTCTTTTTTGCGTGAACAAGATTTTCGGGGTGAGGGGTTGATCGATATCCTTTATTTCCATCCAAATACTTGCGACGACTCGTATGTTCCTACGGTCAAGCGTTTCTATCCTTGTATAACAAAGAATTCATTGTTATTTCATTCAATTTCAGCCATCAATTCTTTCTTTATATTTTATAATTAATCGATTGACTTCAAATTTTTAAAGAATCCTCAGCAGACATGCGTTTATCGTTCGACCTGGAATTATTAAAAAATATTGATCTTTATTATTTTTGTTAATATCTTAGTTATGAAAAAGTTAAAATACCGAAATTTTAATTTCGAAGTGCAGGCATTCAGTGACCTTGGGATTTGCACGGTTTCTGCGAGATCAGTCATGGTGCGTATCGTCGTACGCGGCGACGCATCGATCGCGAAACCGTAATTTATGCGAAACGCACTGCGCTGATTCATTCGAGGACAAAGACACGGGCGTGAGTGTTTAAATCCTCGCGGTGGCGTTTAAGAGATTAAAAATGCAACGCACGTAAGTACGGTGGAAGCGACCGACGCGACAAAGGGCAACGTTTGCCAGCAGGGTCGCCACGTGCCGCCCTTGTCGAGAGTTTATTCGCACCAAATCAACCCTTTAAGAGGTAACACCACAGTAAAACCTGAAACGAAGCGTTCTTTTGCGATTTGTTTTTTTAGATGGATGGAAAAGTAAGAGGATAATAATATTCAAGAATGTTAATAACCATGTCGTCAAGTGTTACAAAAAAAAATATTTATTAAAAAATGGTGCAAAATGACGACGCTGGAGCCATTCTCGCGAGGCGTGTTTCGAATTTGGAAGAAAACAAAAAATTTTCAATCACACAATCAAATTTTCAATAACAACATGGTTAACAACATTCTTGAACATTATTATCCTCTTATTTTTCCATCCATTTAAAAAAAAACGCTTTATTTCAGGTTTCTATAGTGGTCTTGCCCCTTAAGACATTCTTTATATTTCCTTCCAGCACACATGCATGTTTGCACTGTAGAGGTTGAGTCTGCGCACTAAAAAATGGACAAAGTTTTATTTATCGATATCGACTTTTAACTCGTATAATGATTGGAAATTTTATTCAATTATCGATGTACGTACAAGTATTGTCAACGGGATATCCATTCAAGCTTCACCTAAAAATTCAACAAATGTTCACAAGATTTAGTATCCAATTGTGCATTACATAATATACGTATTACATTCTACAAACGAGAATAAGGATGAACAATTAGCTCCTGTCTTTTCAACCCTTTGATTATGTAACACAATAGAGTCAGCCGTTTAATCGAGGGTGTCGGAAAATGGAGGAATTCTCGTTGACCTTAGAACAACAGGTGTGCGCGTATACAGAGTGTTCCAGGTTTTAATGGCCAAACTTTGTCAGTATATTCTAAATAAGAACTAAATAAGAAAAAAAATTACATAAACATAGATCAGTTAAAGCTTTATCAAAAAGCTATACGAAATGATAATGGAACAACATTGGATTAATATTATATACCGTTTGCAAAGAAGACCAAAATAAATTAGCCGTGAAAAATTATTACATAAACATAGATCAGTTAAAGCTTTATCAGAAAGTTATAATAAAAATACGAAATGCTAATGGAACAGCATTGAATGAATATTATATACCGTTTATAAAGAAGACCAACATAAATTAGCCGTGACACGTAATAAAAATAATGCCCGAAAGGACATTACTCTTACACACGTACAACATCACATAATACATATTGAAAAGAAGTACTTACAGACCAAGGTATACGTATACACATACACATATAAACTGACAGCACTCCATTATTCACAAATAATAACTACACATAACTCATTTCGTGAGTATTTCTCTTCAGCGTATATTAAATGGTTAAGTTATTTTGCACAAAATAATTATAACATATTTACCTTGTGCATTCCTCCTTCTATTTTAATTGATTATATCCAAGATTAATATTGCACTCCACTAGTGGCAATGAGCAGGACGAGAATAAGTTCATTGAAATTATTAATAACAAAAGTACCTGGCAGTATATTACTACCTTATGATTTCTTTAGAGCCGTAGTAATAACTCAAACTATGAAATCCTTTGATAAGTTCTATAGTAGAACGTAAATAGTTTTTTAAAAATAAAAATGGCAGCCAACGTGTTAATCGTTTCTTTGAGTTTTAAGTATCAGTGACAATGTAATGGCGGTACCCTCGCCTTTGTACGTTCCTACGCAAGGCGGATGTCGTATGTTTGCGAATTAATTCCCAACGAATAAAACCGTCACGAAATGCGGCATTTATCTTGACGTTCGAGTTAACGAGAGTCGAACAGCGTAACTGCCGGTTAATATGCCCGCTGGACGTCCCGTTTTCCTTCATTTTCATCTTTTAAACGCGCTCCAATCGTGATAAATCATTAGCGCGCGCTGCCAGGAATGCGTATTCGCGAGACAAATTTCGTGGCTCGCTCCGCGACGAAGAAGTGCCAATTAATTTTCAATCGAACGGCACGGAGAAGAGATTAAACGCCATCAAACGGGCAATTAATTACGTTTCGAGTGGTTTCTCGAGGAAAAGTACTTTATCTCTGGGACTGGTCTTACTCCGTCATTATAGCGTCGAGGCGTTTACGACGTGAACGAAAAATGATAACGGAAATGGCCGTGGTTCGACCGCAACGGCGAAACTCGACGGAAGAATCGGACGAACAGTAATTAATTTTAAAATAAATAAGAATTACGAAGCTCAAAATTTTACCCTACAACGCACGCGCGAATACATAAACTTGAACAATTGGAACTGTATTCTCTAAATGCAGTAAAAGAGTACTTCAAGAATGCATAGCCACGAATAACGAAATTTATAAACAACTCCTGGGCAAACGTAAACAAATGAAAATATTATTTTTGATTAAAATCAAAAGAAGAACTCAGAGGATGATCACGTTCTAATCTAGAACCTTCCCATAATGTATTAGGATCTGTTACACGCTATACTAGACTTCCATGTCCAACAATATTATTATTTAATAATAATAATACAATAATATTATTACAATAATATTATTTTTGATTAAAATCAAAAGAAGATCTCAGAGGATGATCACGTTCTAATCTAGAACCTTCCCATAATGTATTAGGATCAGTTACACGCTATACTAGACTTCCATGTCCAAAAATATTATTATTTAATAATAATAATACAATAATATTATTACAATAATATTATTTTTGATTAAAATCAAAAGAAGAGCTCAGAGGATGATCACGTCCTAATGTAGAACCTTCCCATAATGTATTAGGATCAGTTACACGCTATACTAGACATCCATGTCCAAAAATATTATTATTTAATAATAATAATACAATAATATTATTACAATAATATTATTTTTGATTAAAATCAAAAGAAGAGCTCAGAGGATGATCACGTCCTAATGTAGAACCTTCCCATAATGTATTAGTATTGGTTACACGCTATACTAGACTTTCATGTCTGATAATATGAAACAAGTGAGTTTTGAGTTAACTCTGAAGATTTCGATAAAAATAGTAGAAAAATTGCAGGTATGTCCTGTAACGAAGGTTCGATGAAGTATGGCTCGCACGGAACGAAATAGGATACGTATGTTCCGGTCCTCGGTGAATATATCGATGCAATAAAACATCCAGCTTCTTCTGCTCGTGGTATCGTTCATCAGAAATTTTTTTAACCACATGGTTAAATATTTCACCGACAACAATAACAAAGAATCTCGAAATTCCTTTTTTGGCATTCCAAACTAAAAACCAACTTTATTATTTATTATTCCAAGTTGGCGCGAAATTTGAAAAGTTCAATTTGTTTAGCTCCAGGTATCGGTGACAAATATCCACTTTTCTTGTTTGTACGCGTCAAAATTGAATAGCCCTGACAAAAAGTACTAAACCACTTTAGTATCCTACGTGTTCTATTGTATACAGATCGTGAATCTAGATCGCTACGATCGCGGTTTTGATCGGAATCGTAAAGATGGCAAAAATGGTAACTGGACGAACCTTGCCCCGGAGCGTAAAAACGTCCACGCGTTCTCCAGAAATCCGTGTCCGGGTTGTCGTGGTCGCGAAGGTGAACGTCGTCTATCCACGAACCGTCGATGACACCCGATTCTACTGCACTGAACGTTGATGATGATTGAGAAGCCCGCGATCGGCCCCCTCCGAACATACGCCACCTCCTACGTCAGGACGTCCGCGATGAATTTTTAAAAAGAACGCACCACCCGCCTCGCGGGGAGGGCTAACTTGCATGAATCTGGTATTCTGAACGCGCGAGGACGCCCATATATACCTACTCCATCGCTGGGGACCCCTCGACCCGCACCCTACGGACCCTGTCTCAACGTCCTTGACCACGAGAACGCGACGGCATATGTACACCAATTCTCTCGAGAGCCAGATACACCTCGCAGCGACACCAGACTTTTAGCGGATCTTTTGTGTGCGTGATCCTGCACCCGTGCACCTGGGGGCCATTTCCACGCGTTCTCTAATCCTCGATGACCACCCACCGACTCCGTCTCTCGTCGCGTACGACCATTTACCTAAAATCAATCAACGTTTTAAAAGAGCGTGCTCAGTTAGGTGATAGCAAATTTATTTCTCTAAATTTTGAAAACAAGTTTAAAAAAATAGCTTGCATGGTTCCAAATGGACCCGGGGTCCATGTTATATCATTGTGTTTGCTGTATATTGCTCATGGTGCCAGGCAGTGAACCTGTTATAACGCCTCCACAGTCTTCAAACATCGTTCTTTCATCAAATTATCTTGAACAAAAAAAGAAAATTATGGTACTGTTGGGAAGGGAGACAGAATCGAAACTGTAGAAATTAGTTTGTATGAATTTTCGGTTACGCAGAGAAAGGACCATTGGAAATCTGTTGGGTGTGCGTGACTAATTGTAATTCCACAGTTCTATTTCTAATTTTTCTAATCGAATTAATCTTACAAGGTAACTGTTTCATCTTTATTCATGAAACCACGCTAATTAAATACAGTCCGTACCAAAAGCCATTATATCGAGACATACAATTAGTCAAATGCAAGCGTACACGACAGATTTTTTAGTTATTTTTTTTTTTTGGATAATGGGAGGTTGTGCAAAAAAATTTCTACGCATATTTTTTGAAGACTATAACGGTCCGGAGGGAGATGTCAATTCCAAATTTACGTACGTACAGAGTAAAGCAAATAGCGTGTTCACCTTGAATAACTTGTAAATCATGCGGTGTAATAAAAAAATTGTTTTATACAAGAGTCCCATGGTTTCCAGGGGTGCATTCCTTAGCAGCGTGTGTACCTCTTTTGTTGTTTAAGACGTTTCATAAACTTTGTCCAAGTCATATTTTTTTATACTGGCTTCGAGAATTTTTGCTTTCCACGTTCCTGAAAAATAAACAATGTGCAATGATTGGTACAGAGGTCAAAACGATGGCGTGCACCACATCAACGAGTTCCTAGGATAACGTGATGTGTTTCTTTATGAAGCTTCCGTCCTCTAACCGATGCCTTGACTTCAATGATACAAGGAAGTTAATAGTAATAACATTACCATTGTAAGATAATCGTCTCCTTTTGAATGTGAATGTAATTTTTAAACAAAGCTAACTTCGAAGTATGTGAAAGTATTATGACATATTTGTATTAAAAATAGACACAGATTCTATAGTATAGTATATGTAAAGATAAAGTATAACATATAAATTTCATTGAAATCAAATGTTTTAATATTAAAATCACACGTTATGTTTTTAAAAAATAATTCATATTGTCAGAGATTGTAATAACCAAATATAAAATTAAAATCGAGGATGGAATAAGCTTGGATGAAAATGTTAATACTAGGATGCTGTAGGACTCAAAGTCAGTTCCTGGGATTCGCTGTTTACAAAGTAGCTTCTCCGCTTTGCGTTTCATGTCATACAGTGAACTGGGTATGATCACCTTGACGGAAACGCAGAACAACCGCAATTACGTTTTTTTATTTATTTTTACTAGCTGCGTGGATGCGCTTCCAATCTCAAGTATCATTGTCTTGGCCAATTGTGTATCAGTATATTATTCACAGAACATTCTGAAAAAAATTAATTTTCCGGAATTAACATTTTTTTACGAATAGTCAAGAAGACACAGACAGAATAGTTTAGGTTTATTTCTGACCTCGGTGATTCTTCCATTATTGTAATTTATTAATATCGCGAAACTACATTGTTTGGAGAGCAGAATAAAAAGAAAGAAATTTTTAAATATTACTTGAAGGTCAATCTTGTTTTTTTTAAACGAAGACTCATAATAAAAATACCTTACGTAAGCTGAAACTTTGCTGCAAGTATTAAACGATTTACCAAAAAATTCCTAATGTTGATTCGGTTATGCTCCATGTTGTATTACTATAATCGACATTCTATTGTAGTTTTTAAAGAACTTCATTCAAACACCGATGCAGACAGTCAGCCGAACACGATCTGGTTTTCAAACCAACTTGGCAAATTTACAGCCAAAGACGGGGAAAAAGAGCAGAAAATAGGGAGGGAGTTTAGAACTCGTCCCACTAAAGAATTCAAGAACAGATCGAGGTGCCAGGTATATCCAGAAAACTCGTGGAATCTTAAAAACAAGACAGTTTAGGGAACGACGATGATTCGCCTTGAACTTGCGAACGCTCGATTTATCAACCTGTTTACACTCCGGAAAAGAAAACAACAAAAAGCGAAAATCAAGCGAAAAGTCTCGAGAGGCATTTTAATCTTTGACAAGAAAAAACCCGAGAAACCGTTTAAGCTATAAAAGCTGGGACACGGTAAAAGAATCAGGATTCGCTGATTCCATTAGTAGAAAAGACAGCTATCATACGAGCCTGTCTTCCAAAATGGGAAGGGGGGGCCCCCTTGAGAGGGCGTTTCACGGATCAAGAAGGGAGGGAGCAGCCCAAAGTATATTATCTTATTTCCAATAAGAGTGATAGAACTTTAAACAGAAATAAAATATTGATCCCACAAAATATTTGTTTCTTCTAATAACCAGCAGAGTGACTAAAATTGGGCAAGTTTTCGTAGGACGTCTTAATACGATCGGGAGATTTTGGAGCTTACAATGGCGAGTCGGCGAAAGGACCAACGTATCTTACTCCCCATCAGCATAGTCTATCACACGTGTGTCAAGTCGTGACGTCTATTAAAAACTTAATTATACATTCCGTTTAGTTATGAAAGCGATTTAACTGGTTCTAGATACGGGGAACTCATACAACCTGTATCGAAACATTTGACTTCCCGATGCCAATGAACTTCAAAGACCACGTGAATAATCCTCTTTATCGCGGGCCACGACGCCGGCTGAACTGGATCTCCTGTTAGGAGTACATAATTCGGGGAACGAGCAATTAATCGTGCCGCTGGCGTTCTCGAATTCGAATACCGGCCAGCCGCGTTAAACATTCTGCCGACGAACAAATTCTGTCCCCGGATGCTTCCGTCTCGTCTTTTCTGGGTGGCTCGTCACGCCTTCAGGAGAACCATGATGAAAATTGACTCTCCGCTCCCTATCTATGAAATCACAAATACATTTTTCAATTTAGTGAGACGTTATTAAAGCACGCTTACAAAGCAACAAGGAATTTCGTATGGTCTTTAATAAAGATTAAAATTATAATTTGCCCAGCGTGTAATTAAGACCTCCCTTCATCCGATTATCGCCTCTTCCGTGGAATGACGAGCATTATGGGCGGCGGATGATTCGGCAATTACGACGTCATAAAAACGTGGATGGCCCGTAAGTTTTTGTATTTAAAAACCAAGCATGATGTCGCAAGGAATTGCAATTATTTGGGGGCAAACCTTTCAATAAGCACCCTCCTCCTTTAAAAAAAAGGTTTATTAAAAAATAACAGAATTATGTGTCATAGTATTGAAATTTAATTTACATCCTGATAATCGATTCCGGGTCACCCTAATATTTCTCGTCGCGTTGCGATTCATCGCGAAACTCCTTGACCCAATCCGTTTAGACACTGTGTCGTCTAACCAATCAAGCCATTAACCATTAGTGCATCTCCTCGTAAAGATCTTAGATCGTTTGAGATCTAACAAACGGGTCCGTACACGAGAAAGCTATTAACACGGTGGCAATAGATAATTCTGGAGGCAAAATTCGTCTCTGGTTCGTGGCTGTATTTCGGATGCTGCCCAGAGAGGAGCCGGCTGATTTATGTCAACACCTTGGACAGTCACGGGATCCTTGGGAAAGTCGCGTGTACCATTCGTCAATCGAAATCACGATACCTGAGCGCAGAAATCAAGGTATGTTTTAATTACGTCATCTATAAATTAACAAGTTACAGATTGTTGTACAGTAGGGCGGATTATCTAAATCAAAAGTAAAAAGTAAATATATACAGGGTGTCTCACCCGATTTTTACATCTTGATTTTCTCGCTATTGTTACTCGTAACAAAAAATGTTTCAGCGGAGGCTTGAATGGTATCGAGTGGAACATATTCTGATGTTATTAGTTTTTTTCGTGAGTGGACGCGTAAAGGTCATATAAAGGTCAACTTTGTTTTTTTAAATGGAATGGGTTATTTTTTAATACATCGATCGATTCAGCTGGACAATCGTTATAAAAAAGTACTAACAATGTAACGTCGAAAAATTAGTAGTTCAGGAGATATTTCAATTTAAATTATTTAAATTCTTAAGGGGTCTGGTAACTCTAGAATATTGAAAAATTCGATTTTTTTTTTTTGGCTTAAATAATAGTTTGAAGCCTTAAAAACATTATGCGAAAGGTCTCAGTGTCGGAACAATGTTTTTGCTGAAAATTTAGAGCCCCAAACGATGACGTGTATCTGCGTCCTGTAGCGTCATTACTACCGCGCTAAGACGTTAGCTCTGTTTACCAACGTTAGACTAGCAAAAACAACGTAAACCAGTCATTATTTGATCGATTTAAAAAATGCCGTGATGTAAATGGTCGTTACGTTGAACCATTCCTGTAAATAAACGCTAACGTCTTAGTACAACAGTAATGGTGCTTTAGAATTATTTAAATTGAAATATCTCCTGAACTACTAATTTTTCGACGTTACATAGTTAGTACTTTTTTATAACGATTGTACAGCTGAATC